AAATGAACTTCTATCACCCCGATTTCAAAGTTTAAAAGCTAATGTGGAATTACACTTTTCAAACAAATCACATACTGTATACATGATGTGCACAAGAACAAAATGAAAGACAACAAACATTAAAGATTTTCTTGAAAAGAATGAAAAAGCTAGATTGACTGTTTATAGAGTTGTTTTGTTTTTTATTCGAAGCAATTTAGGTGGTGTTAGATTTGTTGATATGCTAAATCTACAAGAGTTATATGAAGCACCTGCTGGTACATATAGATAAATTCAATTTTTTTTCTGTAATCTTTACATGAAGTATATAAGTTGCTTCTGTTATATTTAGACAGTCGGTAGGTTTTTGAGAAGCTTAGAACATCAATGGCAAGAATTATGAAAGAACAAGTCATAGACTATTGACAGTTTTTTTAAGGATGTACCTACATCTGAAACGAGAATTCCTTGCTTTATTATTCAATTTTATAGTGGGAGAAATTTTGTATTTTTTCGGCAGATTCTGCACCCCTGGTTCCGAGCATTGTAAAACTCATGAGACTGATTTATGATACCATCATATATTAATAGTAGATTATCTTTAAAACTACCGAAATGATTACAATCGATGCCTTGATGTTATGCTTAGCAGTATCGCTGATAAAAAAGGTTTCATCTTGTATTTACAAATAAACAAAGCTTATAAAATAGAAAGCTTTTCAGTGCAACCTCGTTGGGGCTAAAATGTGGAACTCACATATTCATGATCACTTAGATAATGACCGAATAGAGGATTTTATTTTTTTCGATGTAGTGAGTGTCATATTTTGCTGAGAAGTAAGATGAAAACAACTTTGTTTTTAAATGAATTCTTTATCCATACGCATATTTAATTATAATTAGTATTTTATCTTATGATTATTGATTTCTATCTTTATTCCTGTATACAAACATAGTAGATCATTTTCGAAAACAATGTTTAATGTCTCTAATCATAGCATGCACTGGTTATTACAGTAGATTCTCTAATGGTAGAATACACTCGTAACTATGGTCTATAATAGTAAAAAGACAAATTTTGAAGCATAATTTTAAATTGAACCCTAATTATAATGATATATAATTAGTGAACCTAGATCTTAATTTTTGGCGTTTTATATCTGTAATACGGAGCGGGGTGGGGGAGCCGCAAAAACCTCCCCTTTAAACATTCACTCACTATTTTCTTCGAAAACATATGCGAGTTCCACAAAAAATGACAATGGAAAAGTCATAATTTTTTAAAGATCGAGCGATGTATTTGACAGTTGCCTCAACATCTGTTTTTGATCTCTATAGTCAATAAGTTCATCTAACCTAAGAAAAATCCTGGATTTTTTTCTATACGATCTTACTAAGGCTTTTTCAGAAATTATTTTAGAATTCCTTGAAAGAAACATGTGAATTTTCGCCATTAATAAAGTATTCATAGCAACAAAAGAAGATATTACAAAATGAATTATGTTTGATTCGGGATTTTGTACAGATTTGTTCATAATTATTTTACTGTATTTGTCATTTCTTTTATGATAAGAACTTATTGATTAAGTCGCGCTTACTCTTAAATTTGCATGTATGAATTATATAACGATGAGTACGTTTACAGTTTCGAATCCCTAAACATTTTTTCAATCCAACTTCCCTTCCTCACTCGTATTTTCGTTCTTATTCTATTACTAATCCGATAGATAGTGTCCTAAGCTATGAAAATAGTCTCTTCTATTGTTTGAAATAACCTAGATGATTTAAATAAATGAAATATTCAGTCGATAAAACATGTCACGATCTATTTTGTTCCATATATGGTCTTACTTACTCTAATCCATCGGTGAATCGTGAGGATTTTTTCCAACAGCTGAAGTTTATTTCTTTCCTTAATTTTTCTCTTCATAATTAGAATTTTTGTCGTTGATCAAAGCTTGTCAAATCGATAAAGACCGTTAAATTCTATTTTGATCTAACCTTATGGCTGATCTACACTACGAAAGTTAATGAACCAATTCGATTGACTAATTAAAGCGACGGGATTTTCCATTGACGACTCCTCCATTATTGAACTAAAAATAATGAAAACCTCATGTCGAAATCCACGATTCTGAATGGTGCAGTAACTTTCTAGTAAAGACACGTTTGCTTTTAATGGGAAGTTAATACTGTATTAATTCTATAGTGTAGACAAAATCTAATTCTAATCTTTTCGCTCATCTCGCGTCAAAGAGATGCTTCATTTTGTTTTTGCAGAGAAAAGTCTAATATACTGACACGAATCATGAAAAGCAAAATGTGCAAACTTCGCAAAAACTCGGCAAGATTAATTGGATAGATAACTCAAATAAAATCAATTGTATTTAAATATGGATATCTCTTCATGCTATCGATTCGATATGCTAGTTGCTAACTTGTAAAAAGTATTTGTTTAATGATATATCGTAAAATAGAATTTATCAAACGATTAGAAATTATAATTTGGCCATGTCTAGTTAAGATTCAAGAGAATTATCTTCATTATAATAAATATTGTTCAATAAAGACTTCAGCTATTTTAAATCTAGTTTTTATTTTGACTTAAAAAAACGAAATAAGCAATTTTCTTTTATTTTTATCATAGTAAAAAACATATTTTTCATTTCAGAAATAATCGTTGCATGAGCATTGCCCATTTGGTAAGAAGTGATGAATACGATTTGCATCACGAACGATTATTTCACATTGACGAATAGCAGCAATTAATTTTGTTGCTCGATCTATTTAAATAAAATAAGAAAAAATAAGTATGAAGATGTAACACATACGACAGTCACCAACAAACACGAAGATTTTTTGTTATTTGAATTTTGGATGTATTAGGATTTGCAACAAAATTCCAGGCAATAGCAAGTCTTTCACTATGCCCACAAAGTACTGATGCAACAGTTTCATCCTGATTTAAAGGTCTCGTAATCCAACTTGAGTCATGTTGATGACCATGTTCAAAAAGTTCTTTGGATATTTTTTCTCCTTCTTCATAGATTTCATTTGAACGAGGATGAGATTGATCATGAGCACGAAATTCCTACAACAATTATTTTATTGTATCTATTTAAAAAAAATTTAATATTTATTTATATATATATATATTACAAATATTTGTCCATTAACTGAAGTCCATGAAAGACCAATTTTTTTCCTGGCGCCAGATTTGTGCAAATGAATTCTAATATCTGATGCTTTATCAATATCACCCGATGATGCATAAACATTAGCAAGAAGAATTGCAGCTGATATTAACGGATCTTTCATATCAGGAAAAAGTTTTTTCATACGGTCGTAAACTTTTTGTGATAAACAACTATTGGTTACATTTCGAGCACCTGACAACAATGACACTAAAATATAAATAATCAAATAAGATATAGAGAAAAAAAACAATTTTGAAACGAATACTAACTATACATAGTTAATACAGGTGAATGATTTTGTTCATATTGATCAATTAATTTTTGTGCTTCTTCAAAAAGTGATGCACGACTTAAACAGTCAATCTTTTTAAAAAATATTCTTTTAATATTTAATTAAGAAGAAGAAAAAAAGATCTATTAAAGTTACCATTGTAGTATAAATTCTTTCTGTTTTTTGTTGAATATTATTGAAAACCGAACGAGCTTCATCAACAAGTCCTGAATGTGAGCATGCATTTAAAACACAAATATTTGTTATTTCATTAATTAATTGTGATGGTACACGATGATACATTTCAATAGCTTGAATACCCATTCCATTTAAACCATAAGAATTAGCTAATTTATGAAAACAGAAAAAAACGTTTTTGTTCTGCAAGATAAATAAAATAAAACGAACTCATGGCTGCATATGAGATTTCATCTGGAGAAAGAATTGTATCAAAAATTTCTTTGGCTGTATCAACATATCCTGTTTTTCCCTAAAAGAAATTAATAAAATCAAAAATAAAATAAATATTAATTAAAACTTACCCACATATCAACTAAAGAATTTTGAATTTGTCTGTCAAGAAGAAAAGATTTTGGAATCTTTTCAATAATTGATTCACACATTGAATTATCACCTATTTGTGATAATGGTTTTATAACGCAAAGATAAATAATCAAATCTGCTTCAATATGATCAAGTTTCATCTGGTTAAACAAGCTTAATGTTTTCAATGGATTTTTTTCATAATTAAAACCATTCATTAGATTCCCATAACTTATAACAGATTTATTCATTTTAGAATATAAAATTTCTGCATTTGAACAATCTTGGCATTTAATTAATGCATCAAATAATGAAGTTAAAGTACGAAAATTTAAATGAAAAGATTTTGGAATTTCTTTTGAAACTTTTTAGTTAAATTCAATGCTTCTTCTGTTCCTAATTGAGCACAAGCATTAAATAAAAGGTTTATAATAATTTCATCAGGGGATTTTATTTGATTAAAAAGATCAATTGCTTTATGCGATGAATTATTTTCAATATAACCTAAAAATAAATAAAAACAAAAGATTTAATTAAAAAACAAAACCGAAATTAAATTAAATTAAATGAACCTTTCATCATTGCTCCATACATTGGTAAAGGTTTGTTTTTTGTTTTATCAAATAGCAATTGAGCATTTTCAACATCTTTACATTTCATAAATGCATCTAATAAAGAAGTAATCAAATAAGAATTTAAATAATAAGATTTTGGAATTGTCGTTGAAACTTTTTTTATTAAATTTAACGCTTCTTCTGTTCTTAAATTAGCGCAAGCATTAAATAATAGATTAATAATAATTTCATTTGGATTTTTAATCTCTTTAAAAAGATCAATTGCTCGAAATGCCATTTTATTTTTAATATAACCTTTAAAAAAAAACTTAATTCTATTTGATAAACTTTTATAAGTAGAAGAATTAAAACCTTTCATCATTGCTCCATAAATTCCAAATGTTTTCTTTGTTGTTTTGTCGAATAATGATTGAGCACTTGCCACATCACCGCACTCCACTGTATTGAGAATAAAAATAAGAACATGTAACAAGAAGAGCAAAAATATTTTATTGAAATTTACTAAAGAGATGTATTGATGATGCTGATATATATGAGTCATCTTTCATACGCGATGAAATGAGACTATAAATCATTAACCCACGTTGAAGATCTCCTAAATGAGCACATGCTTTTAAAATTTGTGTTATAGTCAAACTTGAAAACATATCAATATTAGTATTTTTGTGTTGATCAAATAATTTCAATGTCTTTTCATATTGTTTATTATCGTTCATTTGTTTCATTTGAATTCCCAAATCAAACTTTGATTTAATAATTATTGAACGATTTACAAAAACTATCATAGATGTTAAACGATAATTTAAAATTTTAGTTATCATAGATAGAGCTAATTATATTTATCAACTAATTATATTTAGTATGGTCTTGTCTACACTAGAAAGATAGTGTGGATTAATTTCACATTAAATCGAGATATGTCTACCAGCGTTTCTAATAGAAATCTGAAACAAAGAGTCCAATAGCGGGTTTTTTTTTACAAACAAAGTGCAAGATGATACTCTGTTTTTTTCAAACAAAGTATCACAAAGTGTCCAAGATTTATTTTGCTTCAATTAAATTAAAAAGAGAGAAAAAAGTTTATATTCATTTACTAATATTAAGTCCAAATAAAAAATATACAAAAAAACAGTATCTGATCACATTAGATAAACGAATCCTTTATCTGCTATTTCATAGATGAATTTAAAAAAATAAAACAAAATTCGCGCAAAAATATTGTAATATTTACCAGAGAGCGAAAACGAACCGAACCCGAACCGAACTCGAAAAAGATATTGAAAAAATGAATAAATCCAAGTCAATGTAGAAAAAATCTAATTAGGTGCACTATCATCTATTTCTTAAAAATATATGCTGCTGACAATGGTTAAAAGACCTTTGATCAGTTCTTTTAGGTAATTAATTCAACCTGTGTACAATATTTTGTTCCTTATTCATATTACGTACACATTCTGTTCGTGACGGTCGGTCACTTGTAAGGGTCATACATTCTTAATTTATCTCTCTTTTTTTCTCCCATTGTCTTACGCTGCAAAGAATGGACGGATGCTCGTCTAATTGACGATAGTATATGAATGCCAAGCAGATGCTCTATCATCATTTCTCTTTCACTTCTATCTTGACATTAGTGTAAAAGTTATATTTTTGTTCCAATACACTACTCATTTCAACTTGTCATGTGAATAAAAAATTAAAGAATAAATTTGATAATTATCGAATATATATTGCAATGTTAATACAATCAAACCGAACCGAACCCGAACTGATTTTTTAAAAATACACTCGACCCGAACCGACTTTAAAAAAAAAAAGACGAACCGAACCAAACTCAAATCAGAAAAAGTCGGTTCGATTCGCTCTGATATTTACCACAGAAAAAGAAATAATGTTTTATTTAATGAGTCACTATGCATTTCTTTATGATCCCTGCAATACCACAATAGATTTGCTGATATCCTAAGCTTAATTCGACAGCCATTACATAACCATCTAGAACAGTTTTCGACCGAATTCACTCAGTCGAATTCGTCGTTTTGATGACAGCAGTGTAGTGTATAGCTTCATTTTGTGTTGGATCATTTTATAAAATTTCATTTTTACAGTTATTTGCGCCTACAATAGAAAAAGAACAACGCCTTTGGACAATTTCGATACAAAGAAAAAAAATCACACTTGATTGCTTTCGATTTAGGATTCTTTGGTTTCTTACTAATGCATTGAGATGATATTGACAACAGCTTTTTTTTTAGAATGAATTGATCAAGTCGTTTTATACAAAGCTTCGGATTGTTTTTTTCCAAGACGAAAGATGTTTATGACGACATGTAGAATTGAATTTTTCTATTAGCTTCGGTTTGTTACAATTAGAAGGTTGATGTTCAGTGGATGTTTCACACGACACTAAAACATTGGTTGGCGATTTTCGACTTCTATTCCAAAATTCAATCAATTCGATTTGTTTTTTGTTCATTTAATCTAAAAAGAAAAGAGACACGTTGTAGAAGATATTAAAAACGACGATCCATCTCTTGGCGAATTATATTTTTTTAAGCCAACGATTATAAAAAATATAATGAACATAGATTGCCATTCTAAAAACATCCGTAGCAAATATCACAAGAATAACCATAACAACAACAATTGACATTGGACAGATAGATAGAAACGGTTAAACGAATAATACAATTAATCTGAACATGTCAGAGCACAAATTGTATTTCTAATCGTGAAAGAATAAAAGAGGGTGTCTATGTTATACCTATTAGAAATGATATACCAAATAATAAAGTGTATTCGATTTGTAAAACCAATAATAATCATTATTTCTAATTATGTTTCAAGTATCAAAGGAAATAATGTTCTTTAAAACAATTTTTATTATCGGTTGAGTTTTAAAAAACTGATTTCTTTGATTACGCATAATAATAAAACAGTCTGTGGATATTTCAAAGCTAAAAGTCTGATTGAGATATATAGGTGGGTCAACATTGACTAATTAGAGTAGTTAGTCATGAGATATCAAAAAGAATTAAAATAGATTCATTGTAAGTTTTATTTTTGAAAAGTTTGCAATTTAATTATTAATTCTAGGAAATGATAGATTCCAATTTTTGTCAAAAAATATTTGATCTTTATTATTAATATTTAATTGATGTTCGACTTCATATGTTGATGGTGAGTTTTTAGTAAACATAATTGATTTTGTTTTTATATCAACTTTAATTGTTGATTGATCTTGAAAATAATATTTTAAATATCGATTTATTTCAATTCTTACCGATTGAGGATCATTTTTCTTTATTGTATAAATACTTTCTGTTGTTTCATCCCATATTAAACCATCAGGATATTCACTAGAATCACAATCTTCATTTATCTTTTAAATAGGAAAACAAAAAAAGAAGAAATTTCTTCAGAAATCTAATATAAATTAAATTACTTTCAGTGTAATTATTTCGCTGATCTCATCAAATATTCTAAAACGATTAATTGAGCTATCTCGTAAATCGTTTTTTGGAATTCCTTGACAAATTTCAGGAAGATCAAAGTCATTTCTTGTTGAACTTAATTAATTAGAAAAAAAGGATTAGAATTTATTTTGAATATGAATAAAACTTTTTCTTACTATTTTTCATTTAAACAAAGTAAAGTTAAAGTACATGATGATAATTCATTAAAATAAATTCTAAAATAAAAATTAAATTTCATTAATTATTTTCTCTCAAGTAAACTGGACAGCAAACGTTAATGTTGACAATTGAGGTGCAGGCCATACGATTGGTCAATATGATGTTGATAAAGCTAAACGAAGACGAGAACCTGCCGGTATACAAACACAAATACCAGACAAGATTATTTCAACACTTCAATTTAAAAAAAGGAAAGAAACATTTTTATTGTTTGTTGAAAATATGATTTGATGAAAAAGCAGACTTGAAAATTTCATCAATATTTAATAGTTGAGGATGTTCATGCGATTTATAATGTGTTAAATTCAGGATTCCACGTGAAATAAGAATTGAAGGTGAACGTTTTTTCATCAATCATAGAAAAACGAACACAAATCAAACCATAATTTGTATTTGAACTTAAATTAAGTTTAACAGTTGGAAATCCAAATAATTCTAAAAGAAAAATAAAATGAATTCATATTTTTGAAATTTTTCTTATAAAATATTCGTAACCATAATTTTCGTCTAAAGGAAGAGAATCAAAGCATAAAGATCTTCCATCATCTTCTCGTTGATCTGTTGAATGATCTGGACTTTGAATATTTCCCCATCCAAGTGAATTTCCACTTGCTAAACCTGTTTCTTGGGGAGATAAAAATGAAATTTTTCTCGGAAGTGAATCATTTGAAATGATTTCAGTTGTTAACGATTGAAAAGATAAATAATATTTTATTGTTTTTTGATTGATTTCTTGATTCTTATCGATCAATAAATGATTTCGTTGAAAATGTTCATTTGGATAAAATGGAAGCGAATTGAAATGAATCCAATTTCCTTTTCTTTCTTTTAAAATAGAATGAAGTTCATCAATATTTGGCTTTAATTTAAATATTGAAAATGATTCCCTATTTTTATAATCATCATTTATCTTTTTAATATGATAATCAAGCCATTGAAGTATTCCTTGTAAAAATCCAATTTTCGGTTCTGGAGAAGCATCATCGCTAGAAATAAAATAAAAATCAATTCACTTAAATATTATAAATAAATAAACTAACGGCCATTGATGACCCCATGGACCTAAGATTGATCCTTTTTCACATTTTAATTTACTCATTAAACGAAATATCGATGAATTATAAAGATCAGCAAATCCACCAATTAATAAAACAGGACATCAAATTTTCGAATAATCTTCACAAACACTTCCATGGCGCCAATATTCATTTCTAAAGAAAATTTTTGTCAAATTAAAATATTTTATTTTCGTTCGCTTTTTTTTAAACAAACCGATTTTGATGTTTTATCCAATAAAAATCTAAAGGCATCAAGTTATGTAATCGTTCTTTCCAAACATTAATTAAATCGAAATCTTTATCGATTCCTCCTTGATACAATGGATGTGGAGGAACAGATAACAAAATTAACATTTGAGTTGGCCATGATAAAGCTAAATAGATATCAATACAGAATTTTAATTTTCAATAATGAAAAACCTTCTTGTGCTGCTAAACATCCTCCATAATAATGAATATCATTATTATAACGATCATCGGTTGAATAAGCTGAAATAATTCCAGATAAATTCTAATTAAAATTCATACGAATTTTCTTTTATATATCGAAAAATTGAAATGGCTAACTTTAGGTTGAATATAACCTATTTGTAAACCATTAAAACCAGTCCAAGATTTTCCATAATAATGTTTTTTTCATTTTTATAAATTTAATAAATAAAATAAAACTAAATATTTGAATTACTTTTCCATTTGACCATGTTTGATTTTGTATCCATTCGAGAATTTTTAATCCATCGGATAATTCTTGTTCAGAATATTCATCATCAAATATTCCTTTCGTTTTTTCAAATGAAAAATAATTTTTACAAAGAAAACAATCGTATAAAATAGCAACCTTGTAAATTTCCAGTTCCTCGAATATCAACTCGAAGTGAAACATAGCTAAATCCCGAAAAATATTTCAATCGAATTTCATCTCTTGCTGATCTATGAACAAATAAAATAACATTATTAAAATTACATAACAAAAACAAACTAACGTCCAATCTGCTTTTCAATATGGTATATATTCTAGAATTGTTGCAAATTTTTCTTCATTTATTAATTGAACATTCTTATCTATGAAAACCTTGAATGTTAAAAAATAAGATTAAAAAACAATTTTCTTTTTTTTTTAACTTTGATGCATCCATATCGTTGCTGTTGATTTAATATTTTTATCAACCGGAATTGAGATCTCTGTTAATTTCTTTACGTCATATGGAAATTCATTACGAATTTTTTTATGAATATTTTCATTAGATGAAGATGTCATTTTATGAGAAGAATTTCAAAATAGATAAAACTTACGATAAGATTCGAGCCCTTTTCTTTGGTTCTAAAATGTGATTTCGTCAACAAATTATCATAATAAATAAAAGATGTCTCTCTTTTCTTGTTATAATTTCATTTTTCAAACAACTGCTTCGTACAAGATCAAATCGACGTAATAAAGGAATTGATATGTTTCAATTATTTTTAACTGAAATGCAATTTATCGACAGATAATCATTTATAATAAATCTGATTTCATACAGAAATTAATTAACTATGAATTATACATTATATTTGATTGGTTAGATAAACTACTGAACCCGAAAGAAAATATTTCACAATAGGTTCTTTACGAGAGATGCTTGTAGAAATTTAAGAATCCAATATACAATAGTATATTCCTATTACAATACGCAAGAAAACATGCTTAGTTATTTATCAATTTAAATAAAATAAATATCAATATTCCGTTCATTTCGGTTTTTACAAATTTATTTTTGTGTTCGTTTCAGAGAATAAATCCACAAGATATATCAACAAATAAAAAAAAATAAAGAAGAATTCAATAATATTATGATAGAATGACAATATGCAGAAAAATATTCGGATTTCCTTTTCAAATTTTAATGAAACCAGATTCAATATTTTAAATGTTAGAACTTAATGTGGAGTTCATATAACATATAATGACAATAAATATCAAACATATGTAATCTAAGATATAAATGATTTGAATTATTCGTTTAAGAAAATCTTCAATCTCTAATGGGAAATAGTTTAAAGAATAGAAGTAAAAAATGATCGAAATAATCAAGATATTGATAATTTTATATACCATAATGAAAATTAAATACCTTTTATTCGATCAATTCAATTCTATTTCGATGAATAGATTATTCATTTTAGAATCAGCTTGATGTTTCAAGTGTGATAACAAACGAGCAATTATTTATTTTCTATTCAAATAAATAAAAAGAATATTTCAATGTTTTATATTTTTATTTATAATTAGATATTATTTATTACATTATTTATTTGTGCAAAAATTTAATTGTAACTTGAGATTATTAGATCTGATACAAAACAAAAAGAAAACATAACACTTTAGTCATGTTTGTTTAGATGATAATTATGCCAAACATGAATTCTTATTGTATTTTATTAAAAAAGTAATTCTTATAAACTAAAAATGTCTTTTTAAAAAAATATAAAAATTAAACAGAAATATATTGATAGAACTTTTTTACTATCGAAATAGTAAATAAAATCGATTGAAATATCATCATACCAAGAATTTGTTTGTTTTATGACTTTGAATAAAGTGGAAATAGCAAGTAACTTAAAAAATTCATTGGCAATCGGCTTCAGTTTCTTCTGAAATTTTTTTAATTTCGTTANTCATGAACAATTAACTCTTTTTAATTCTTGCCATTTATCATCTTCAAATTGAAGAATTCTTAAAAGATGATTTTTTTCATTTTCTAATATTTCAACATGACGAATTCCTTGAACATATTTTTCTGGATGTTCAATTTTATCCAGAAGTTTTTGCCAAACAACATCAAAGCGAGCGTTAACAAATACTTTACATTTATATTCAGGCATTTACTTTTTATTCTATAATAAATCAACAATTTATTATTTTATTTATATTAAACATATGAATAACTAAGCAAATAAATGCAATCCAATTATAGATATAGAAAATAAATAGTTAATATAGATGACGCTTTATCGTTACGTTTTGCCAAAAACACATAGAGTTAAACAAACAATGATTGTACAAGTAAAATGGAATGTGAGCTTTCCTATTTTACTTGTTCTAAAATAGTCCACTGATAGTTTATAACTTTTACAAAAGATAATCTTATTCTTAACTACTAAAAATAAATCTATCTTTTATTAATCAACTTTATTGAATATTTTTAACTGAGTTAAATAAAAATAATTTAGTCTTTATTTTCCATCAAACTCAAAAAAGAATTAAAATTATTTTCATTACAAGTTTTAAATTTATGTATTCAAAAAAAATCAAGCCTTTTTATTTCATAATGAAAATTTTCTTAAAATTGATTATTTTTCAAGAAATAAGTTACATATTATTATCAATAAAAAAACTATTTAATTTTGTGCAAAAATGATCAATAAATCAATTTTAATTGATTTAAAATAGTAAGTCAACAACAAATATTGACTAACGAGAAAACAATGTTCTAGACACTTGATTAAATAAATGTCTTATAATAGCATATTAGTTCTTGTCAGAGTTAGTAGGCGTAAGATAGATAACAATAATGCACGAATAGGACGTACCTAACTGCACTGAAAACAATAAAATATTTTTCTAGGCAAGTATCTCTATAACCTTTGTTCGAATATGCATAAAATTGTAAGCTTATTATCACGAGTCAATTATCTTTAAAAATTTGTTCGTCAGTATCTTGGACATATTTTATTATCATAAAGCATTGAAGGATTATTGAATGAAATTTAATTTATTTGAATTAAATCAAAGTAGGAACATTTCTTTTTTAGTTATAAATAATTAAACATGAATTAAATAACAAGAAATAAAACTAGTATTGAAAAAAAGTGAAACTAATGATAAAATTTTCATTTACTTTTTTGGTATGAAAGATAAGTGAAAGATAAATATTTAGGTTTGACCGAAACAATAGAAAAAGAGAAAAGCAAATTTACGTCGCTATATATAAATACATATATTACAGATACAAATAATATTCCAATAAAAGATTAAATCTTTAAGATTAAATTCTTTTTCTTTTAATTATTTCAATTAAATATTGAATTTAATACGAAGAAAATCCAACTTTTACAACTGTACGACACATTTACTCGATGAAGATTAAACATAATGAAAAAGAATTCTTTGATGACATAATTGTAAATTTTTTAAATCGATTAAACACATTTTTTCTTAATTTTCTCAAACAAATGAATAAACAAAATAATAGATTTTATTTTTTATTTTCTAGATAAAATATTTATTTCTATTAAACATGCCTATTTATATAATAATAGTGATAATAATATTTCTATTGATATATTATAATAAAAGAAATAAAATCGAAATCGATACAATAGAATATGTTCGCGATGGCTGTTATCCAATAATAGGAAATTTATTTTCATTAATAAAAAATCGAACGAAATTTTTAAAAAACTCTCGTGAAATCTATGGAGATTGCTTTAAAGTCAAATTATTAAATCAAACAATTATTTTTATACTTAGTCCATTTGATTGGATAAATATAATTAAAAATCAATCATTACAGTTTATGGGTGAACAATTTTCTAGAACAATTTTTGATTTAGATCATAATTTCTTTGGTTTGCTTTTTGTGTTTGTTTTTCAAATAAAATAAATATTTTATTTTTTAGGTAAATCTCAATTAGATACGGAACTTCAAGGATATTTTACTCAATATTTAAAATGTTCTAATGGACTAGAAAAATTAAATATAACACTAATTGAAGAAATGATTTTATTTATAAAAAAAGAAAAAAACGATTTGAATGAAAAGCAAATGAAATGGAGAAATATTGGATTATTTGAATTTTGTTCAAAATTCCTAATTAATTCAATAACGAAAACCTTATTTGGCAATGTTGAATTAGAATTTATCGAAAGAAATTATAGAAATTTTGATTCAAATATTCAATATTTATTTCTTTTATTTCCTAAATGGATTTATCAATTGTTATTTAGAAATTTATTAAAATCTCGTTATTATTTAAATAAATATTGGTTAAGTTCTATTCATGAATATAATGAAAGTGATTTAATTCGTGATCGAACTAATTTAATGATGAAAAATTCCGATTGGTTTTCTTCAAAAGATTATGCTGGTGAAAAAACATTTTTATTATGGTCATCATTAACAAATACAATTCCAACATTGTTTTGGTCTTTACTTTATATATTGAAAGATGAGTTTATTTTTGAAAAAGTTTTCAATGAAATAAATGAACATTTTCCCAAAGAATTTTTTAATAATATTCAACATATTTCATTTAATGATACTATTCTTCATGATAAGTTAATATGTTGTATCTATTTAGAAAGTATAATAAATGAAAGTTTAAGATTATATTCAAATCCAATGATAATGAGAAAATCAATAAAAGATTTTGAATTTACTTTACATGATAAAAGAAAAATATTTATCGAAAAGAATTCCATTATTGCATTATATCCTAATATTGCTCAAAATGATTCAAACTATTTTACTTCTCCAAATAAATTTATTTTTGATCGATTTATAAATAAAACGGGAAAAAATTCTCATGGTTTTCTTCCATTTGGATCAGGCAAAAGTATGTGTCCAGGAAAATGATTTGCTAAATCTATTATTAAACTTTCTATTATTATCTTTTTACAATTTATTCATTATAAAATTAATCATCTTGAAAATAAATTTCCAAATGAAAAAACACATAGATATGGACTTGGTGTTTCACATCCGGAAAAAGATATTCCGATTTTATTGAAATTTTAATTTTTGTTTTGTTTCTTCTATAAATCTTTGTTGAAATATATCCTTTAAATAAATATTCTTATAAAAATGAATGGATCAATTTTTGCATAAAATTAGTAATCAAATAATAAATAAAGAATAATAAGAGAAAATTAACAAATTTACTTGATTTAAATTATCTATTCAATATTAATATTATGATTATTGACAAAAAACAATTCATTGCTATTATTTAAATATTCGATTCGATTCAACCGTATAATCATACTTCTTCAGTTTTAAAATCTTATAAGAAATTCATAGCTTATCTAGATTAATTTTCTATCGAATAAAAAAAATGACGGTAAAAAATAATGATTTCTATTTTTAAGTCTCTTTATTTTAAATAAGATTAAAATGAATACATAGATATATTGATGATATTTTTAAAAAATATTTTTTACTTTTTTTCCCAATGCTATACAAGTTACTATGATACAGCTGTTATATGAGCAAATTAAGTGAAGCGTTTTTGAACTATCAATTATAATTTATAAATCTTAAGAATTAACTTTTCTTAACATTAAATAATCTCTGTTTCCAAATGACTTTTTCAATCAATTGGATATTAATAAAATGTTTGCCCATTGTAACACGGTCGAAATATGATATTTATGTAATCTAGATATATCTCGGATGAAAATTTCTTAAAATTTTGTTCACCAAGAAACTAATGTTTACTTTTCAATAACGTCTTATAAGTGTAGATTTCCATGGAATATTCTTATAATGACAACGAAACAATTTTTTTTTATCAACAAGAAATTATTTAGTTTACTTATTCTATTAAAAATCATTTTAAATTGAAGTGCTCCAATGATTAATGTTAAAGTGTTTAAACTGAATTCTATCTTAATCACCACAATAATTTTATTAATCTAAAATCGAATGAAAGTGAAACATTGAATTTTATCTAAATAATTATATTATAATTTAAATTAATGATACAACTGGAAATTATATCCAATTACATTGCGTGACAGAGCATTTATTTTTCAATGTAATTATAATAAATGCTTACGTTTTTGGAAAAGTATTTCTTGTTTCTTGATAATTATCAGACAACTTTCATTGATTGTAAGAAGTAGTCGCATTTACATAAAAGTTAAATGATAAAAATAAATAATATAGACGATGCGATTATTGCTGGATCTTAGGTGAATCTAGTACGTATGTACTCGTACTATATTTGTCATCATGAACGAGGAAATGTTTTTACAGGATGTTACATTCAAACGAATAAAAATAGAAATATTATTTATGATGTACATTAGAAATTGTTATGGGCAATACTATAGTAAAAATGTATTAGCTTTCAAAGTCTCTTCTTAAATCCATTGTCGCAACAGAATTAAAAATATATTTTTTTTGTACTGGCAAAAACATCTCTGTTATATATATATATATATATATATGTTGTAGGCAAAATTGGAATTTGCCTAGTCAAAATCAAGATTCTAATTTTGATCGTTTTTTTCAGACAGAATTAGAATTCTAATTCTGCCCGAGCAAAATTAGAATCGGGCTAGAGATAAATTCATACAGTTACATGTTTTAGTAAACGTACAGTAGATGAGAAAAATGGTTTGTCCAGTAGAATTGAAACAGCTTGTTATTGATAATTTGAAAGGCATTACATTTATTGAAGCATGTAAACTTTATGCACGTGCATCAGCAAGTGGCCGCACTTGCGATTGTAAAGGCAAATGCGTTTCGAAACAATGTCCATGTAAAAAAAATGGAGTTTTTCGTTCGACAAAATGTCATTCAAGACGAGGTTGTTGTAAAAATATGGGTGAATAGAGTAAAGCATTTAGGCTTCTAATTGTAAAATGTTCAGAAAAAAGATTTTGTTGAATAAAATATAATTATAACACTTAAATTTTGATTATTTTCTTTTTAAGAATTTATCTCTAGCCCGATTCTAATTTTGCCCGGGCAGAATTAGAATTTTGATTTTGACTAGGCAAATTCCGAATTTGCCTGAATTCCAATCTTTCCTACAACATATATATATATATACTTGTGTCGCCTATTCAACACAACGTGCGTCTTTTTTTCCACCACTAAACATTATATTTTCTTTTGTCATTCCGCCGTCTTATAAATAAAGAAGACTCATCACGTTGCCATGATCTTTTATAGTCATCCGATATTTTCTTTTAAGTCATAATTAGTGTTCACTATATAGAACTTCACTTTGACAAAAATTGCTTTGTCAAACCATGAGATGTTCAGGACAAGGAGGTGTGCATTATAGGAGGTTTTACTGTAGTTGCATTGATCATACTCATAGACCTATCATCTTGTCGCGACAGGAAAGAGCAATAAGCGAACGATGGTGAAAAACTTATCAATATTAAGTTTTTTTCTTTTAACTTCAACTTTTCAGCAAAAAAAGAGGCTGAAAAGAGGAACAAGAGGATAGGTGGGATGCCAGATAATAAAGAACAATGGTGAGTGCTATGCCTATACGCACACACCCACACCCTTTAACTATCAAATGAAAAATATACTATAAATTGAATATTTATTCTTTATCTTCGATACAAAATAGTTTAAAGAAAATCATAATAAATTATAGAATATGAATCAGAGATTGTTATTTATCGAGAATATATTGATAATATAATTGTTCTACATTGGCATCGTCAAACATGGGTTGCATATTGACCATTACGATTTCTGAAAAGCCTTCATCCATACTTGGTTTTATATAGCGTTTATTGGCACCCAATATAACAATTTCGTTAACATCTTTATGGGCTTTATCAGTGCCGATCATATGCCGAAACTAGTTAAAAAATTAAGTACAAATAAATCGAGATAGATCTTCCCGAGTGCCAGTAGATTTAATACTCTTATGTCAGTATAACAGGAAATCAAAAGATCTGAGGTTTTACCATGGCATCTCTGCAGAAATAAAATAAAGAGTCAAACTCTTTTTACGGTATTTCTTACTTGTGAGAATCGACCTGATATTCATAGTTTTGAGTCAAAAGTAATGCATTCGTTTGGGGATCTTTCTTCATTCATAAGACAACTCTCCATATTTATCCTCAGGAGTTTAATTTATTTTACTGTTAAAATATGCTGGCTATAGCCTGCTAGTGCTACCAACCCAACTGTTATTCATTAATAAAAAATATATCACTTACAAGATTATTGTGTTTAGTATGTTCAACTGTTACATTCATTACAAAGCATCGACATAGAACATTGAATTTTTTAGCCACTTCGATATATCTACGTATACAAATTTGATAACAATTAAAATACATTCATGGACAAAATAAATAAAAGATCTTCATTATACCTTTGCCGAGATTCTGTATCTATATTAGTATTATCAACTATGACACTTTTTTGTTTACTAATAGCCATTTCAGTCATTTTCACACATGTTTGCCAGGTACCGACTTCATCCTAATGAAAAATAAAATTTATGCTTTAATTATCTTCAAAACAATTACTTAGCATAGTAATGTTCATTATCTACTTACCCGATTAACGTATTCATATTGATGTGGAACAATATACTTTTTTACAAACCAACTTTTACCCGCTAAAAAATAAAAGGTAAAATTTATCATCTCGTTAGAATATGTTAATTAAACAAACATGCTGGAAGACCACACATGACAATGATTTCAGTTTTATCTGATGTCAATTTAGCAGTAGTTGGTTCAAGAAGTGATTGAATCGATCGAAGAGATTTCTAGAATGATATGAACATATATAATTTATCTTTCATAAAAACAAAACATACAGGATCAAATTTTGGCATGTCATGCAAAGCTTTGCTTAGACCAAGAAAATATTCTTCTGGCGTATAGAATCGCAAATCAAGGTTCATCGCAAACTAAATAAGGAAAAGTTAAACGCTTAGAAGAGTGTTTTATTTTGTCTTACAAGACGATCAGCAGATGAATGATCTTTTTTTGCTTTAGCTCGCCATTTATCTGGACGACCAGCAGCATCTAGAATTTATCAAAATAATTCATTGATTAAAATAAGATAAGATTCTTTAATTTTCTTACCACCGACGTAGAATGATTTAGATTTGTCAATTTTAATATCATCATTATACTAAATAAATCACAAGTAAAAGAAAAATTGTAAAATATTTTGAACAAGCTCTACTCGTACTTTTGATTCTAGAAGTGACCATGATCCAGTACATGGCTTTCGATAACGACCTGGATGAATAGCAATAAAGACCTACAAATACGATTGAAACTCTATGATAAAAACAAAAGATATTGTTACTTGAAGAGGAACATTTAATTTTTGTTGAATATATTGAATTTTTCTTCTAAAATGATCTGTAGATGTTGCTTTCATTAGACCACGTTGATTAGTGAAAATAACTATTTTATAATTATCTACGCATAATTGTTTTAATTTTTTAAAACATGTATCGAAACCAATACGCCAATCATTTTCATCGGTTGGATGTACTTTGCCTGATTTTGTTAAAATTATTGTTCCATCCATATCAAATGCTGCAATCTAAAGTTAAATTATTATGACGAGAGAATTTCATTTCAAGCAGATATATCACCTTTTCACTACTAATCACTCCTTTCGAAGTAAAAACTTCAAGACCATCACATGGTATTTCCCATGAATCTTCAGAATTTGAATTTGATTTCTTCATTGGATTTGAAGGTTTACTTGATGATGATCTAGATACAATGCGAGATAAATGAAGATTAAAGAAATTATTACAATATAAAACATACGTTTGATTGACATTGGATTGCATAGCGTGTAGTTGTTGTTGTATCCAAAGTGCACGACTTTCTTCCGAATCAGATGCATCTTTTTCTTCTTGTTGCTCTATTTTATTCATAGAACCCTTTTGTTTTTTGCATGCTGCTTCGTTATCCTTCTCCTCCGTATTTTGTCTTTTCAGTGTAGGTTTAGTTAATGAAGATGATTTCATAAGTTTACTACTAATATTTGAACATTCAATTCGAACAGTATAACAATGTTCGTTTTCTAATAAATGAAGTTTATCTCCATCATTTACTATTTGTTTATCTTTGGTTTTTATAGGACTATGATTTATAAATGAAGGATGTGTACCCAGTTGTTTAATATACACTTGATCATTTTCAATATGAAGACAAACTAGAAAATTAATCGTATAAATAAATAGAATAAATGTGGAAACTTCGGATTTCATCCGAAAGTTATGTGTACTGCAAAAAGTGCATGGGATATATGAGTCATTCTAGAATGTCTGAACACCAAAATTATCATGAGAAACTAGGCAATTTGANTGAACTGTGTGAAAAATTTCATCACGGTCTGACTACTCTCCTTTCGAAAGTTATCGTGCCTACGGCCGGACGGACACACTGACCGATTCTAGAGTGTACTCACTTTTTGAGTACACAAAAATGAAGAGCTTTGATATCAAAACAAGAATGAATATCTGAAGGCATCATCGGAAATTTTTCGTTTTGCCTTCATCGAATTTCGTCCTAAATCTGTCTCGTCATTGACCATTGGATTTAAATATTTCAAAGGATCATCGAGTAACTTACTGATATAACATTTGAATTGTTACATAAATCTCGAACGAATCTCGCTCAAAAGAATGTTTTATTCTTGAGATATCAACAAATATTTGAGTATTTGATCAATCAATCAATCTTATAGGAAGACATTCGCTATCAGCTATTCTTGTGTATGTAATATCTCATGTTGAGAAAATTTATTGTAATTGCAGCTAGTGATATTGTATCTCCAAGCAAGTTCATTAAATGACTTATTTAAACTAATATCGAATTGATTTTGTTATCATTCGTTGTACTAGCTGTATTCTAAGTTTGTGAATAAATACTAGAAAAACATAAGTTTCCCATAAGATATCGAACACAATGATGCTGACCAGTGTAGGCAAACGAAATCACTTATAGAGTCAATAAAAATCAAAGAGATCACGATTGAATGACAAAAAAACGACACTCCATTGTGGTCACTGATTGATTTAAGCTAATATGATTTTTCATTTCTATTCTAATCAATCAAGTTTCTTGAGTATTTGATTTTAGGATGGTAAAATGACTCAGTATTGTACGACTTTAGTGACTACTTCCTGTGCTCCGAGTTAGCAAACCTAAATTTATCAATAGACTATCTCAACAAAATTGAACTCTCTTTTCATCCACTATTCACATGTGATAAGATAAAAAAAATATTTAGTGTACTTTATTAAATCGTATTTATATGTACCTTGTTGTCTAGCACAACGCGTTGATTTTATTTTGCTTTGCTCATTACGTCCAACAATTAAGTATGTTAATGAATTAGAATCTGTTGTTTGTATTTGTAAATTAGGATATATTGAATTGTCTGAAATTAATTTGACGACGATCGAGGATGACATATTTATATAAACTTAATTCTTAATCTATAGATAGGAATAGTTTTTAGAAATATATATATATATATTCTTGCAAAAGAAAATGATTTTAACAAAAATCTGAACAAAGAAAAAAGATTAAAAAAAAAGAACAAAGAATATTTAATTATTCATCATTGTTCGAATCCATTCATCTTCATTTAATAACATTGGATCCCAATTAGTCATTGTTTGTGCTTCGTGTGATGCAATTAATGGATATGTTTGAGTACCATTGTCAATTAGATCAAGTAAATCCATAGCATCGAAATCAAATAAAACCGATGATGATGAATCATTTTTTGAAAAATCATCAAGTAAAAATTCATCTAGAAAGCATGATGTACCAACAGATTCCTGATATGGTAATACATAATTCTCATATTGGTTCGTCGCTTGTTCCAATGGATATTCTGTTATTGTTTGCATTTGTGTTGATGTCATTGATATAGGTAATGTTTGAACGATAACACTATTATTATTATCGGATGATTCTGATGGATAATCAAGTAGATTTGAAACATTACCAACTGTTTGAATAGACATATCTGAACGTGTTGGAGTAAAGAAGTGAGTTTCTATTTCATTAACAGGAGCATTTTCCCATTGAGTCATTGTGGATGCATTGAATGTATCGGTTGGCATTTTGTAAAAAGTAATCGGTGATACATCATCTGTCGCTATTGTTGGTGTTATTGTTGATGTCATGATAGATTTTTTCGTTGAATTTCGTGATTGTTTCTTATACACTCTTATACGACTTTGAGTTTGACTAGATTTTTGTTCAGTTGTTTTTATTGGTACGGGAGGTATTAAATTTAAATCAGTACTTGTTAATGAACAACATTCTGTACCAACAGAAACCCGAGTATATGTTTGAGTTGCTTTATCGCTATCTGATTCACATATGAGAGTAGAATCGATTGTAGAAGATGATGATACAGGAAGCTTTTCATTATTGAAGCTTTTTAATAGTTCCAATGCAAGTGGATTTATTGTAACAGGTTGATGTGAAAGAATGTTTTGACGAGATAGTTCAATTTGATCTGGTAGAAGTGGACGACGACGATTTAGTCGTTTTCGACGTTCACTTGATTTTGGTAACGAAGGAAGAGCACTAAAGTAGAAAATCATTTACACTTTATCGAGAGTAACAATTAGTTATAGGTTTGCAATTTCTCGAACTCATACAGCTAAATAAAAGATATTGTATCATTGTTAGACTTTCGATAATATAAAAAGCTCTTATTGTATTTTTCAAATTTGCTTCAGTTAAAAAAAAATATTTTTGTTTCAAAATTATGAATGTCAACAAAGTAAAAACGAAGAACTCAATTCACTGTTTGATTATCATTGAATATCGTGTAATAGGAAAAACTCATTCAAATATAAAATAATGAGTCCTATGATCTATCTTATTGATGAAATCCATTAGATCAAAGAATTAGAAAAGTTTGTTTCCGTAACATTTTCACGATCTCGTCAACAGAAGAGTTTTCAAAAGATAATTGTTACAACTAGTAGAAATTCTTCTTACTTACTTGATCACACTATTATAATAATTATTATTTTGAGATTCACTATTAGCATCGGTATGATATTTTAGTTGATGTCGTCGTAGACTTGTTCGATTTTGAAATTGTTGATCACAATTTGAGCACGAAAAAGGACAGTGAACACCACAACTAAAACAAAAACTTAGTCCTGAAAAAACATAATTCCCAAAATTTCTTCTACAAACATCTTTTCGTGTCCAATCAAATCTTGATGAAGACCAAATGATTTCAAACATTTCGAACACTGTTCTTTTTTCAGACCATGTTGCCGTAAATAATGCTATAATATGAAATTCTCTATCAAAAACTAACATAAGAGTGTTTCACTTACAAGTCGTACAGCATTAAAATTTGAAAATGATAATGATTGACTATGATCCTTTTTGCAACGACAATAAAATATACAATCGCCTATTGGGCAATGATATCGTCCGATACGTGATGTATACTTATTTGAAGCCTATATATAAATATATTCATGCAAATATTATTGATTTGTGTTTGAATTAAATTCTTAATCTACTAACAGTAACTATGCCTGTTTCTTTGTGATACATTTGAAGATGTACATTTAGTGCCATTATATTTTTAAAGACTTTTTGACATTTTTCTAATGTTGAATTTTTCTCTCCATGTGGGCATTTTACTTGACTTGTTTCGTAATTGAGTTCATCCGTTGTTGGTATAATGCATTCGAATGATGAGTTTAATATGGAGTGTTTACTGTATTGATTCATCTGACAACTTTTCACTGTTTTTCGGTTAAATTAATAATTTAATAAAGGCTTATTTTTTTTTCTGAGTTTTATCTTAAAAATAAGAATTACTTTCCTATTTGGGATGCTGAGTAGAAAATGCCTAGAAAGAAATAAAAAATATTTGTGTTTTATTACGAATGATTACTCTTGTTTAATTTATACCTGTAAGATTTAGTTTTTGAGTTTGTTCCCTATGTCTGTTGTGTACCAATTGATTATTCGTCAATAAACGATGAGATATTAGTTACAACAAGTAGCATCAATTAATGGACCTAAAATAAACAAACCTGTGTCATGTAGATTTTACTCAAGTAATAGATTTCAATAAATTGATGATCATTTAATTGTCTGTGTACAAACATGCATGTCTGACAATAGAATTTTTTTTGATAGGGCAATCAAAATTACTATTGCTTTTGAGATTTCAACGAGATAAGCAATGGTCATATCCTAATCTACATCTCTACTAGGTTAAGTGGTAAAAATAGCTGTTTGACAGCTAGACAATAAGTATCTATTTAACATAACAATCAATCATTTTAATGTATAGTATATACTCTAGGTTTTATAGCTATTATTGATGTTTAATTATTATTTTATATTTGAGTTGATATGATGCACTTCTTCAACAACCGATCTTCGATAAGACACTAGAATTATTTTCATAACAACGGTGTATATTGACTATTATTTCACTAACTAAACTTCTGTATTTGGTACATGTCTTTAATGTCATCTAAATGCTAGTGGTAGATTTTGGAAAAACTATGGAACATACGGTTAGACTCCTTTCAATATTGATTTCTTGTTATGTATGGGTGTTTGTTTTGTATTTTTAATGTTTGCTGTATATTCACCCCTTCAAAGATTGATAGGCTCACTACTGAGAGATGCAATAAAAACAACGACATAAATCAAACAAAAGAGATTCCCGTGACATGAACAGAGAAGGTTTGCCAAGCACAAGATTTAATAACACACTGTTGCCTTTGGATGCAGTATTTAAAAGAAAATTCTTTCGTTAAGTTAGTTTCATTCTATGAAATCTTACCTGACTCTTGAATACGAAACTCGCCCAAAATATTCATAAAGGTTTAAATCACAACTCTTAATTTGACATCTAAGAAATAAACAATCAAAAATAATTATTTGAATAAATTTTAGCTGATTTGTCAACAAATATTTCTTCTTTTTTTTATCTCAATGAACAACAGAAAAAAGAAACATTTCAAGAAGATATTCTCTGAGTATTTTGATTTGGAAAGTGAAAATTTTTTATTGCGATCATTGATTGATTGATTGACTGATTGAAAAATAAAATAAAATTAAGATGAAGAAAGTCTTGAAGGCTTATTAAATAATATTTTCATATCTTCAGATAAATTTTCATCAATAATAATTTTCATTTTTATTTTTAATTTTTCTAAATAATCACACTTTAATTTCTGATCAATTCTGATTAATAATTCATCATGTTTTGTTTCTATTCGTTGGATTAAATCTTTAAATTTAATAACTAAATCAATTAATTCTATTTCTGTTAATTGAGATATATTTAAATCTTGTTCCAAACGGCAATATGCTATTTTTTCAATATATAATGAATATATCTTTGCATTAGCTTCTAGCCGCCGATGTGATAACCAAAGGCGAAAATTGGGTGTTGATAGAAAATGTTTATATAATTCTTTCCAATCACCTTTTAAACCAGATGTTAATTGTGGCCCATACTGATCAAGTGTTTTGAGAAATTCTTCGTTATCGAATTCCTTTATTGTTGGCGGTTCACGGTTGGCTTGATAATATTTTCGTAATGGTAAGAGACTCGCAAAATAACGTTCTAGTGGTATGATAAAACTTTGTGTTAATTCAAGAAAAAAACGACGCAGTAACGTATTTTGTACTGTATCAGGCCGTTGGTTACTATTTGTCGATTGAAGTTTTCTTAATATTACTTTATCACGCTGTAGGTATGATCTATATTTTGTATATAAACCAGCTTTCTTAACAAATGTTAAATGTGACGACTTATCGTTTAATGTACTCGTAGGTTTATATGGTTTGATGTTTGTTGAAATCTTCTTTTTCACTTTAATTGGAGCTTGTGGTGATGATGATAATTCAATACTATCTTCTAATTCATTAACAGATAGATTATCTTCATCATGTTCTACAAGAAGAAAATTTTCACGTTTTTTAATTGGCTTGCCTTGCTGATCGTCATCTACACGAATTATGTGTGGCCATTGATGAATAAGTTTAGCAAAAAATGGATTTGTAACACCAATGATAAATTGTGGTGGCGAGAATGAGGATTTCAGTGAAGAATTAAACGTGATTTCATGGAATTCACTGTTATGAATTGTAAAAAATGGACGGTAATTATTTGCATATCGTAATGGCCATATGATATGAACTAAAAATAAAATTAAAAAATCTCAAGTCATAGCAGAGATAAAAGCTATGGAAATATTTCAAAAAAATTGATTTCCTTCTTTCATTGAATGATTGTCATTGAAAATTATTTTACTGTACGTAAAAATAAATAAAATGTCTAACGTAAAACGCTATAATCCAGACGTTTTCATGAGAAAATAAATGTTTGTCCGTTTATAAATATGACAAGTGGCATATTTTATACTAGGATCTCCATTTATTTCTGCGTATAATGTATTGATAAAAACCAAGTAAAGTCATAGGACATCTCTGTCGATACTCTTGATCAAATACTGAATGTTTATGGTTGAGAGAAAAGGGAGTGTCAACCAGAAAAGACGACGAAAATCCAGTTATGGTCTCATTAAAAACTACAACTCTATATACTATGTAAGTAACGCTTCATATTACAGACGCAAAATTAACAAACTAATTGTTCGATAAATATTCAGCAATAGTATATACAAATATGTTAGCATATTTATGTTAATACCATATATGTCAAACTTGAAACTTGAATTCAATTGAAAATTGAAATTTTCAATTTTCAACTTTTAAACCAATAGCATTCTGAATAATTGTGACTCATACATATATCGCTATGAGTTGAAAGTTGAAATTTTCTATTTTCAACTGAATTCAAGTTTCAAGTTTGACACTACTGGTTAATACTAGAATAACTTTTACGATTGAGTTAGCTTTATTGGATGACTAGACAAGGGCTTGTCTACGTAACAGAATACTTTTTCTGTTCTTGTTTCTCTTACTTTACATCTCTATATACTAATGTAAATTGCTTCAGTGTAACCAAGAGTCGAATCGTAACTAACTAGCATTTATAAATTTTTTTATCCACATTTATTAGATTTCAATTGAAATAATTCAAATGAGCAGGTTAATGACTGAAGTCTATGAAAAATATTTGCAAAACATTTTTTCTAATGCTATGACATCGTTGATATTGTCTAAATATTGTTCAAACATCAAGGGGGAAACGGCGGACTTGAAGTAGAAAAGTACGCCAAAGTACTTCAAAGTAGACTACTTGAAGTAGCTCAAAGTGCCATCCAAGTAGGAGCAAGCAGCTTAAAGTAACGTCAAGTTCAGGAAAATTTGAAGTTGAAAAGTACGTCAAAGTAAGCTACTTCAAATAGCTGAAAGCAACTTGAAGTAGCTCAGAGTAACTTCAAGTTCAAAAATTCAAAAGTCTGTCGTTTCCCATTTCTCAAACGTTCTCATTCATAATAGAAGTATCTTTATGCTTATTTTAACTGCGAACAAATCTAACTAATCATTCTCTATCGATTAAAAACAACCTCCTACCAAGCGCTTGAACAGTTTGTGAACATTTTGTTGGAAAATTCCCAACAATTGCAATTGGTTCATTAAGTAAAACTAATTCCCATAAAAGTTGAATATGATTTAAAACACATAACAATGATTGATACGTATTAACATCATATACCAATGGTATTAAGTATGGCAATTGTTGCTGTTGTTGTTCATTTTGTTTTACATATTCAACAGGTTTATTGCTATTTTTACTCTAAATCAAATATTTCCTCAACAAAAATAAAACAACGGAAATAATCTGTTTACTTCATTATGTCCAGATGAATCTTTTGATGGTGTATCAATATCAATATCATCATCTATAGGAAACTTAAATGAATGACTATGATTCTGATTATTCATTGTTTCATGAACGATGGAACGAAATTGAACAAGATCTGATGATGAAAATGGTTTGTCACCATGTGTCGGAATGCGTACTTGAAGAACATTATCTAATAACGGTAATAATAACGTCTTTCCAGGCTCAGGTTCTGGCCATTGACAATCCATTAAATGACAACATGATTCTAAACTTGTTAGGCCATGTTCGAAATAGTTTATAGCAAGTCGATGAACAATTTTTAAAAAAAGCGAAATAAACGGTAATTTCGATAAAATAACAAATGATTTTTGAAAAAATCCTCGTGGTATATTTTTATCACGTATTTGACGAAAATTAACATAACCAAATAATGAATTATGATCAATTTGTAATGCTGGTGGGACAATTGAATTATAATATTGATGATCTACGGTTAAATTTGATGATTCATGATTCATACGAAAATGATATTGAAAGTCACCGAGACTTGTTGAATTCGTATCAGGAAATGATAAATAAGATAAGTTTAATTTTTCTTTGTCTGTTAATTTACAATGACTTGGTAGAAGTAACTCGATAGATTGTCCTAATTCAAGATCAAATGTTACAATAGCAATACCATAGAACCATTTGTGTAAACGATCCCATGGAAGAAATACGGATGCTGATAATGAACCTGAATGTGAGGGTGATGATGTTGTGTTAGAAGTGCTAGTTGTTGATAACGAGGCTAGATTCGATGATGACGATGAACTGTTTAGACGAGCACGAGTTAATCGACGTTCAACAGCTAACAGATCACGATCAGAATGAGACCGATGAAAACCAGACGAAGTTGGTGATAATGGAACAGTTAAATTCATGATGCTAAGAACAGAAAATAAGAATGAATACGATTGTTTTTCCGGCGAACGTGACAAACAAGGGAGACTTGAATGCTATCAAAAATGCATGTACTTTTTTTCAAGGAACATGACGATGATGATGATAAGGATATTTATTTAAACTCCATTATCATCATGCGTCATGGTCCAGGAATCAAAATTGATCACGTATGGAATGTCAGGAAACGATTTCTTCGCTCAATCTGGCTCTACAAAATAACGCTTCAGGAACCATGATATTTTTGAATAAATAATAGCTTTTCTGTTTATAAAACGTATAGAAGAAAAAAGAAAAAGTTCTATTTTTTAACAAATTTTTTTCTGTTAATATCGATTCCCTAATGCATCTTGCGAAGCATTCAACTATTTAAGCAGATGTCAAGTTACGCTTTAATTCATCGTATTTCAATCAAATTTTTCATGTCAAACGATATTTGAAACTACAAAATTATAAGAATTCTAACTCAATCTTTTTTAGAAGTAAACTCTGAATCAAATAAATATAATTTGTAAATCAAATGCCTATTCAGAAAGTAACATAGGAATATACTTAGAATACAAATTTATCCTATTATAGCCTGTAAATCATTCTATAAATAAAATCAATCTTTTCTTTTTTCGTTACTTAATTCCTAATTTATATATAATTTTCTGTGCTTGATTATATTGTTGTTATTAAAAGCAAAGCTTTATCAAGAATTAAATATTAAAGATCAATTATATAATAAAAGCAGGTTACTTTTAGAAACAAAACTACCGAGGTTATGTATTCATTATCTACTCACTATTTTATGATTAGTTATTTTAATTACAAAGAGATATCGATGGATTTCGGTTTGTTCAAAACCTTAAACTATTTATTCTTCGTTCTTTGTTTTACTTTCACCACATGATTCATGTTACGATGAATATTGACTCTCATGAGACACATATTTTTTTTTGTTGACTAGGCTTCGTATTTATAAAAAAAACATTTAATCCAAAGAAAATATTTTCATTAAGGAAGACTTACTTTCTTAATTTTCGTCGTTGATCATGTCTAAAATAAGCGAATAGAAAAACAAGTAATACATAAAGACAAACTCAAAAAAGATACACCATAATGTCTTTTTCTTTTTAATATTGTCACAAATCGAAAGTTTCTGAATACAAAGCAGATCACATGAAATGAAAAATATAAACACAGCAAAACAAAAGAAAAATACACACTGTTGCACAACAAATAACTATGGCTAATGAAGAAAAAACAAATAACACGAGTAATAATAATAATACTGCTCTTCTTTCTAACGGACTGTTGATGTTGTTGTAGTTTTTGAATTATTTTTATTATTTGTTTCTTCTCGTTGACAATAAAGTTCTTTTAATTGTCTTAATTCTTCGATTAATGCCTTATTTTGATTTTCAAGTACAGCAACACGTTCTTCGAGGCATTTTATATATTCTTTCTTTTTACGGCGACATTCACGTGCTGCTTCACTAGTAATAATAATAATAATAATAATAATAACAACAACAAAAAGTAAAAGAAATGATAAGAAAGAAAGAAAGAAAATAAGAACCAATTTGATAATAGTCTTACCGATTCTTTTGTAGACGCATTTCTCGTTTGCGTGTTGGATCATTACCTTCTCCATGTCGTCGTGTTGGATGATGTAGATGTGAATGAAGATGATGATGTTGACTTGACGATGGAGGATTTGAAGAGTTAGAGGAAGATGAAGGTGATGGCAAATCAGTATTTGATGATGGGTTTAATTTGTAATTTGATGCTAGATCACTTAAACCTGAAATTTCAAAAGCAAACGATTAAAGATATATGATTTGAAACAGATACAATCACAGTACTAAATTTCAATATTCTAATAGAAAATTTTTAGATTATCGGTTGTGTAAATTGACTTTTTCAACGTAAATCACTCTCTGAAAACTATGCGAATGAAAATTCTTATTTTGTAGACAAAGTATGAAAGGATACTTCGATTCGAGTACAAAAGATTTAAAAATAATATTTGACAAAATTCAGGAACATATGCTGCATTAAACAAAATCATCAAATATTTCACTATTATCTTTAGCTAAAAATAGCAATATGATAAATGATCAATTTCACGTGTGACTGACTACCAAGTCTTTTTTTTCTGTAATGATGCACATATAGCACATATGATTCTAATTAATTATAGACTATTATAGAGTTCGTGATGAATCTAATATATTTTTTGTAAATTTATTCATTGTCCCAATCTTATTTATTCATATTTCAATGACAATCAACAGGAATTTGAATGCTCAAGATTTCTTTATCTGCTTAAAATTTTTGATCTGTAGATTGCAATAACAATCTTATTTTAACCAAAAGAACTAATTATCTGGAAATTTATCTTAAAAATGTATTTGTACCTGACACAAAATATGATCCAGTATTGTCGGATAAATGATTTGGATTCAATGTTGACATAAGATGACTACCAGTATTTGACATTGTGATACTTGATAGACTATTTAGAGTTTCACGTGATGCTAGATGAGCAGGAGTTACTACTAAGACGAAGATTATCATATTTTTATTTTTATTTTGTAAAAAAAGTACACTACCAGACAGGGGTGGTGATAATTGAGTGAGATTTGTTTTCAAATCCTTCTTGTTTTATTCCTTCACTGGATAGCGTACTAAAGTTAAATAAAAGAGAATAATATCACAATTGTTTATTGTTTAATACTTGATAATGGATTGAGTAGTAACCAAATTATTCGAATAGGTTTTATTTGCTTTTGTTTTATAGTGTCTAATAATAATATATCAAAGTTTACAGAAAGTGCAATAAAAAAAAATGAATGGGAGATATTACTTTTAATATTTGAACTGTTAGTTAACGATGAAACACTTGAAATATGTATCTGATTGTTGTTTTCCATTAAAATAAAATGAATTCAAATGGGTAAACATGCTGAATGTAAAATATCAATTGTCGGAAAAAATACAAAACAATATCAAACATGAAAGTTATGTTTCCTGATGGTAAATAAAAATAAAGATAAACGGTTTTAGTAATTCTATAATAAAACTATTTTTAGATTTAGAACACACGGAAGTTTATAACTATTAAATAAACTGTTTTTTTTTCTGACAGTTTTACATTCATATGACGTCATTAGATAGCCTTCATATTTTCATTCGTTAAGAAAGTAATGCAATGAAAACTAATTATGTATTTCGGGAAAATCTTTAATTTATAATTATCAAATATCAATAAACGATTATTTATTTAATCCATCTGTACCTAATGAAATTGTTCAAGTGTTATGTAAAATAAAATCACCTCGATTGTGGCGACATCATCGTTATTCAGACTCAGAAAGAATTACTAGAAAACACGAGCGGTTGAGAAATCTCGAAGAACCGAAAGTAGAAACACGCATAGAATAAAGATCAATAATATCAATGTATCATATAAAAAGAAGCATTTACAGTCACTAAACATAATTTAGAGAATTCACAAAGTTCACTCTGAAAAGAGTCACAATATTCATCATAGATCATTGTTGGAACCCGTATCACACGATTTATCGAAATTTGAATATTTGTATCAGACTACTGAGCAATAGATATTTCTCCATATCAATGGCACCGTGGCATCCGCACTCGTCGATCTGAAGAAGAATTTAACAATGCAATAAGTTCATTCTAAATGTGTACAACATCTAAAGATTTCTTCGATTATTTTCTAATGACAATTTTCAGAATTATGAGCACATGCCTATAAAGCTTACAAAGTATCTTGATGGTCTGTAAAGTTTATCATAAACTCACAAGCGAAAAGAAACATAGATCGGATGCATGTTGGTCTTATTAATATATCTTCAATTTCTTAGTTCAAAGAAATAGAATTTTATACTAAAATATATTTGTTATTTTTGTTGTATTCTACAGTTGTTAACATAGAAATAGTTATCTGACAAATTGACTATTGATTTTTGTCGTATTCATAAGTACGACGAATAAAGTTTTCAGTAAAAACACACTTAAAGCATACGTGATGCTTTGTAGCATATCAATCCTTTATATATTTGCATTTCATGCTCATGGAGTTTTCCATCGTGCAATATCCTTTATTTAAAATCTTCATAGAAACATATGTGTTTTATTCATTTATTCATCATCGATAAATTTACTTTTTCTTAGCAGCGGAAAAAAAAGAATAATAATCATTGTGTTGACATGCTTGAACTTGTATTTTATTTTCCTTCTTCCTCATTGTCAATCTTTTTGAGACAACGCTTTTAATAAATCGGTAGCCTCTTCGGCTACAGCACTGAAGACGAATTCAAATTGCTCCTAAATAAAATTAATGTTCTTTATTTTATTTAAAAATTTACTATCTCCGTACTTTTGTTTTAATCATTTTATCTCGTTGGCCACGAATATGTTCAAGTGTAGCAGGAATATTTATTTCTCGTGCTCCTCTCTGAATACAATTTAAGACAATATCGAGTACTAGATAAGTACCAGTACGTCCAACACCATCACTTAATAAGACAAAAAAAATCTTTAATGAAAATTTTTTTCATTATATAATCAGCACATACTTGCAGTGAACAATAAGCGGTGCCGATGTTCCACGACAACATTTGTTCACTTTTCTATAAATATAAGGAAAAAAGAAGTAAAGGCTAGATTAGAGTACATAAAGCTTTTCTTTTCTTTTCTTTTCTTTACAGTCATATAAAATTATGTTAATAAATATAATTCTCATCAGGTCGCTTTTGTCACTATGCAATTATTTCTTTTCCAAATTGCATAATTTCCAAAAGCTGCCGAAAGAGAAATGCATGTCTTTTGTATGGTGCCTGTAAATGTCCATTAATTAAAGAAAACTATCATAATAATATTAATCTTTCTTTCTCTCTTTTTTTTACCATGATCTTTCATAGAATGAATGCAGTTTTCTTCGATGCGTATGTCTCTTTCTCTCTCTTTTTCTTACATAAAAATCTACGAATAGAACTTAATCACGTGTATGCATACTTCTATGTAATTGCATCTCAAGTGCTAAATTATTCTTTTTTTTTTGTCTCTGATTAGTTTCAACCTAATGAATAAGGATAGAACAATTATTTTATTCGTTTTAAATACATAGCTATTTACTTGTTTAATCAAACGTACCGTCGAAAGTCAAGTATAGCTTTAGTTGATGGTGGATTACATAATTCATCCCAGGTCAGAAAATGAAATTGTGTTATAGTACGTGTTTCCATGGTTTGAATATTTGCGAAATAAAAATTTCGAACAACATAATCATCCGAATATATATGTTCCGAAACAAGATTAACCTTTGTAATAAATAAAACAAAAAATATATTTAAATTAATTTTTATATTTTTAAATAAATCTCAAATACTTCAAAATCATCATATTGTATAGAACCTTCTACTGGCCAATAATGATGGCACATTGTAATACCATTTTCAACTAAAGAAAAAATTATTAGAAATTTTCATATTGAAAACAATAGCATTGATACAACATACTAGGTCGAGTTAACGCTACAATCACACATGAACCTTGTTCCCAAACCATTTGCCAAAATGCATTGGTTGTGTTCGACATTGGACCTTGCGTTGCGATATATTTGCATTTTGGATCAGAATCAAACTAATTAAAATAGATCGGGTTTATATATTGTTCGTCTTTTCTTTTCTTTTTTTTTCTTCATTAAACTTACAATTGTACTTGCATTAATATAATCACTATTGTCATCGCTTGCCAGTTGAACACGATTATGATCATCTGCAGACCACAGATAGAAGAAGAAGAAGAAGAAGAAAAAAAAAAGAAAGATACAAGATACTTTTTCTGATGGTGATGATGATGTTTCAATTTGAATTCTGAGATAGTATTGAACACATGCACAAAGAAAATCTTCTTATGAATGCAAGGAAAAAGGAAACTAAAAGGAGTTATCCTACTCGAATTTCGATTATCAACTCTAATTAAAGAAGGCATGAAAAGAAAGACGAGCTAAAGCTATGTTTACCTTTCTTTTCTTCTGCTTCTTCTTATTGTATTCTTTAATATAAGTGCTTCCCTATGCATCTTCACATAAATATGAGAGAGAGATGCTTTTGGATAGTTATATTTAACATATGCGACCCAATGGCAGCGGCATGGATAAAACATACCCGTATAATATAAAAGCGAGACGAAAAGTGAACATAAGAGGAAATAAATGTCAACTGATGTACGTACATATATGCATCAGTCATTAAATTAATAAAAAGGTCACGATCTAGATAGTTTTAACTTACACGGTATGCAATCCATATAGCGATTCTTGTGTTCATTCATTTCTAAAAGTGCTACAGAACATGATGTTGTTGCTTGTTCATCATCGAGTTTATTGGCACAAAATGATTCCCATTCGGATTCTAAACGATTTCGATTGCATAGATGATCTTCTACATAAGACTAAAAATAGATTTTTTTTTGCATGAATACGAAAAATATCGAAAAAATCTATCAAAATCTACATACTAGAATCAAATGACCTACCATAATATCCACATTTAACGAAGTAGCCGATTCATCGGCGTAAGCTGAGGTTGAACTTCGTGATGATGAAACTTCACTAATACGTTTTGCCTTACTATTGACTGGTACTGTTTGCGTACCTAAACTACTTGTTTTCTGTACTTCGCCACTTGTTGTTGTTGTTGTTGTTGCTGTTGGTTGGATAATTAGTTGGCGAAAATACTTTGAAAAGAGAAATATTAAGTCTGAATTTTTGTTAAAATCGTTTTTTCATTTTACTTCAGAATAACCACTTGAAGAATCTTTCTGATGTATTATTTCAGTCATCTTATTCAGAATACGATCATTGCGTTTCATAAGATACAGTAAGACAAACGAACACATAATAAAAAGAATCCAAAGACAAGTAACCCACGTGACAATTGCCAAACGTGAACCATTTTGCTGTTCAACTGCCAATTTAGTACCCTTTTAGAAGAAGAGAAAAAGCTTCTCTGTTGTTTGTTCTCTTCATTTTTTTTTGATAGTTTATCTTTTATTTCATTGGAGAAATCCTATTATATTGATTTTTTATTTTTTCACTTACGATTTTAACATAACAGGTTGCACATAATTATTTAAAAGTTTCGGACAAAAAAAAAGAAGAAATGATAGTAATTTTGTTTCTTCTCGTTTTTATTCTCGACCACAACGCTAATAAGTCGTCTACTAACAAAAAAGAAATACACTTAAACTATGAATTGCTAGTTGCATTGAGTTATCAATTATGCATGCATTTTGCGTGTGAATCAAATAGGCGTTCAATCTTTGTTAGCGTGCTTGAGTTGCTCAACTATCCATAAAAGAGTCACACCGACAGACACTTGCATATAAACAAAAAGAATATCCAATAGAATCTTCTGCTATTCATTCATCTACTTGTTAACTTTTAGAGAGCATAGGAAACAAACGAAGAGAATGAAAGCATTTATGTATCTGAACTGAATAGCAATATATAATGAATCATACTGATATAAATCCTTCATTCTACCTATCTACATGGTTAATATGTAAATAATCACTCTTCTTTTGAAAAAAATTCTATTTAACTTACCGGAATACTAAGACAGAAACAGGAAGTATACTGTTTAACATATTCTGTTTGTAATTAATCTACTCAATGCATCATAAAAAGAAACGAAATGCATCTGCATCTCATGTTCTTGCAACATCAAGAAAAAAAACTGAGAAGCAATCCTTTTCTTCTTGTTCTTTTCCGTATACAAAAGAAAAGATATATAATAAAGCTTCCTTTTTTGCTTCTTTTATTTTACTGTTCAATGTTATACCGTATTGTTCAGCGTCATTCATCATTTATAGATCATCCCGCTGCGTATGTCTGAGAGGTTCATACTGTCATTGTATTCTTTCTGATAGTATATACAACATGCATGATGCATCTCGTTCGGCAAGAGAGAAAAAAGGAGTCAAGTATCAACGCTTCCCCTTAAGGGATCTTTTAATTGCAATCACCAGCCAATACTAACATACTGTAAAATAATCAGACAATATTGTTCCATATCTTCTTTTCTCTCTTTATCTCTTACTTGATTAGGATTGCCAAAGCCGGAGTCGATTATGTGGATATCCAATCGATTTTCAATGGTTTTCTGATGATTTACTAAAATAAAGATGTAAATATATATGTTAAGCTATTAAAATTATGACAACAACATTTGATTGTTCTGGTTATTGTCATATTATCGTTTACGATTATCTCTTGAGAATTGACTTCTAAATGTGCAACATGGCAGAGAAACAAACAATGAGACGAAAAGGAAAAGATGTGCTATCCGTTCATCAAAAGTAAAGATGAAGAAAAAGAAGACAAAGCCATACATATATATAAATAAGAAAGATGAAATCGAGTGGATCATTTTTTGAAATAATTAATCATGTTGCAGATAGAACAATGTCAAAAAGAGAAATGAATGAATCAATAAAAGGAAATGATTGTGGTTGACTGATTAAAAACAAAATTTATTAAAAGACGCGACTTTTTCTCTCTTTAAGTTCATTGTATCTCTGTTTTTTAGTTAAAAAAAGTTATTATGACGCATATAAGAGAGAAAAAAGCGGCCTCAGTTTATTTGTGATACAGTTACTATTTTGCTGACAGGAAGAATCTATTCCGACTTCATATCCGTTTTAAAAAATTGAAGATCAATTAAGAGCATTTACGTTGTCGCTACCTCAAAGAAAATAAATATATTGATCCTTTACACTTTTATTCCCTAGTCTTTTCTTTGTGATGTTTTTAAGATGTCGTTTCATTATTAGTTCGATCGGTTGTTCCATTGCATGAAACTCGAAACAATTAATTACATTGAAATTTAAAAAGAATTCGTTACGTTTAATTTAAATGAAGCTGTACAAAGGTCACAATAGAATAACTTATTTTTATATAGATGTTGCTAATTAATAATTATTCTATAGATCAATGCCATAAAGTCTATTGTCTTAGTTTAAAGTTCGGTTTGAAATTCTGTACAAATAACAGCTGTATCTGAATGAGAATAATTGGTTGTTGTTGCTATTCGAAGGAATGACTATGATTTTAATGGTCTAAACTCAGTATTGAAATACATCAAAAGGCCTGAATTTTTCATTGTAAATCATTCTTGTTCGATTCTATCCCTGTATAGATTTTTAAGTCGATATTTGAAAATCAGTTTCTTCGAAAGAGATCAAGATATTATGCAAGAAAATACCAACTATATGAAGTATCTCGGCAATAGTAAAGTAGAGAATCAAATTTTCTTCGCAATATTCATAATTTATTGAAATCTTAATGATACTAATAGTTATGAAACCTAATTAATCAATCAGTCAGTCAGTCATGAGACCTTCATAAAAAATAGTGAGTGTGAGAAAAACTTCACTGAAATTTCTATTAATTGAAAAGCTTTTTCTAACAGTAACAAGAGCCGCTTAGATACATATACGTAAATTGATGAACACTTTTACTTTTAATAAAAACCTTAAATAAATAAGTTTCAGCCAACAGCTGGAATAGATTTCGTTTTGATATCAACAAAGACAAGATATATTCTCATTATTTTTTTGATTCTAAAGTAAAAAATAATAAAACAATTCGACTTCACCAAAACAGGGTTCTTGATTATTCAAGGCATTTTACTCATTTAAATTTGCTAAAGTTTCGGAATACTTAAACTATTGAATTGAGTATCCTTAGGAAAACAGGATATTTAATATGGTCGATAATCCCATAGAAAATCTGTTTCTACTAGTAATGTTTGGTAAAAATTTAGGAACTATTTAGGATAAATTAAATAACTATGTGAAACACACGTATAAAAACAGGACCAATTACTTACAGACTGAACTAGCAACACTACTTGCATTTATTTGATAAACATTATCCAAAACATAAAATGTTAATAGATGTCGATCAACACTAAGAAGAAAATCACAATTCAATAAAAGTTATTTTCTTGTTAAATTTTTTCCATACTTAACTTCAGTAAATATCTCTACAGGCCAAAGATTCATTTCTGCAATAAGCTCTAAGAGACGAACGCCTTCCTTTTGATTTTCAAAACTAGATAAAAAAAAACATAGCGACAAATGAAATTAAAAAAAGACAATAGAGAAGTGCATAGTCATACTCTCGATTAATAACAATGTAGCCGTGGGTTGATTCAACTAGAAAATAACGTTCTGCATCGTTAGTGTTCACTGTTCCATTATTATATGTTACATTATTACGTCCTAAATTAATAGAAAATATATATATTAATCAAAGCAATCATTCATACTGAGTGTTTCCGAGCTTAAAATTTTTAATAATTGTTTATTACTATTGATTTTTAATGTTTCTGTTAAACCGGGATGAGTTTCCTTAATATGCATTGAGACTTTTGCTGGTTCATCTTAAAGTAAATCATAACAGTAATATAATTTTAAAAAAAAAGAATACATTTTCTTACTCATCGAAGATTCTTCTGCGATGAATTCTATTGGTTTTTCTTTCAATACGAGATCCTCGTTATTAGAATGAATAGAAACTTGTTTTTTAGGTGTTCCTTGTATGCGTGATTTTTTATTGTCTTTCATAAATGATGGGACACCAAATGAATTATCATAAGCATGAAATAAATTTCCAGATTTAAAAAAAGATGAATATGGATCTTTATGATAAAATGCTGAAAGAAGAAAACAAAAAGGTTTATGTATATTCATCGAAGAAAATTTGTCTACTAGTATGCTTTTTAGTTTGACGACGTTTAATATTATTTTCCTGTTGCTTTTCCGTAAATTCATCTAATAATTCATCTTGATTTAAGCAATCATTATAAAATAATTCTAATGAATTTCGATTCAATTCATGATGATCAGTTAATATACGTAAAAGAATACATTGCGTCATATAATCTGTCCAATCAAGATGGTAACGACTTAAAAAATGTCTAGTTAACTCTAATGCCATCAGTTGATCATTTCGTATTCCATCAACACCATTGTTCAATACAAGCGCTTTTCCCGATGATCCTTTACCATTCCAACATTGCCCGAAAAGCTCATCTAGGCATTTACAAATAAAAGTCAATTATCTTATTAAAAGTTAGGCACTCTTTCAAATTGCTAAATAACATAGAAGCAGTCAACGTCTGCAAATTGAACGTTTTAGAGCTAATTATAAACTTTTAATGAGTTGCTTAAAAGTAAGCTTTCTTCAAACCTATTCATTATTTGAAATCAACGCCCGTACGACATTTCACTTAAATAAATAAAGCCGCTATATCGACTGTTCTAACAGTAAATAAGCCTATTAGAATTTTTGTTAGTGTAATCATAGACAGCGCTCTTAGAATATCTTTAATTTAACAAAATAAATGTTACTATCGAGCTGACAAAGTTTACCTCTATCGTATAATTAGCATCTTTAAAAGTCATAATTTCAGGGGGGAAAAAACATGATTTTCTTTTCAATGTAAACTTAATGATGTTCGGATACACGAGAAGTAAATATACAAAAGAAAGGAAAACAGCATTCAGATAGTATAATATATGTTATAATGAGATGTTGAATGTTCAGTTTTTTTACCCACCAGAATGCATCTATTTGAAAAATATTGGAGGTAATTATAAATTAGATCGTTTTTTTTCAACATTTTCAACAGCACTAGTTTATCAGTAATTAATTATTTGCATAGTTATGACACTGATAAACAGATTTTTGATATTCTCAAAATAATCGAAAAACGATCTGTGCTTAGCAATAATGACTTCAGTGTATAAATAAAGATTGACAAAAAGCTTTATTTCTGTGCCTGACTTTATCTTTTCTACAATGTTTTTGATAGGACTCAAAAGTGCAAGCATATTACCATCAAAACAAATTTCATTTCTTTTGCATACACTTGGATCATATTTGCAACCTGTTAGTATGAGATAGAGTTATTTATATTTATATTTTAATATTAAAAATAATACCAACCTAATAATCCTTCAAAATTGATTTCATCTGTCTGTGAAAAAGTATTTTCCTTGAACGTCATGTCACCATTATTAAAATCGGTTTGCCGCTTTTGCCGTAGTAATCTTGTATTAGCATTTCTTTTTTCAGTTGGCACACAATCAACCAGCGGTAATGGATTTAAAAGTAAAATAGATATGATAGCGATCAACCGATGATGAGATGTTGATGAACAAGTGCAGGCCGAACAAGACGAATAGCTCATGCTTGGCTATGATCAAAATGCAAGAAAATAAATGTGAATAGTAATATGGTGTTTAGCATTGCTGTTATTTTGATGTCAACCATGCTGTCCTTTTATCGGTCGGGAAAAGACGAGAGAAAATAGCGAGAGGGGAAAAAAGAAGAAAAGTTTTTTCGCTCAGTAATTATGAATCAATATAAGAACACACTGAAGAGATGTTAAGCAAAGGATAAGTCTTTTTCTTTTCTATTTTATATTATCTTTTGTGAGAACACTTAAGATACAAAAAGAAAAAAACGATTCTTATGCAATAACTAATTAGTGTGTTAAAATTTTGACGTGAAAGCTAATGAATAAGTTAATATTTTTCAATGATGAAAAAAATTGTTTAAAATATATAATACATTGATCTATAAAAGGATTATTATTTCTTTTCTTGATATTATCTTCTATTTCAGTCATTTGAGTGTGACTTTCTTTTTACTAATTTTTGTTTCTTATTCAACATAAAGAAAGATTGATGATGGGTACCAGATGGGTTTATTACTTTAAATTCTAGTAACCTGCTAATATAATAGGTTTGACAAGAAAAAAAACTCATTTCTTTTCAAACAAAAAGCCACTCGTAGAGAAAATAAAAAGATAACGAAGCATTATTGTTGCATGTTCATCAACCGTCAACACCTTCGCACACGATTCACCGTAATAATAAATATGATTGCTATTCTCGTTGGAATAGTTGAGAAAAATAGAGCGCGTTGCTGCATTCAAAACTGAACTGCGTCGACAATGCCTATTTCTATTATTTTAAGTGTTGCTGTTTTTTGTTCCGTGAAGAAACATATAACAAATGAAATGATAATAGGCAGCTTGTCATAACCGCTTGGCCATAACTACTTACGTTGGTTGACAGACGAATAAACTATTCCTAGGACAATATGAATATAGCTGGCGAACTATCGTATTATATTAATTTAAAAGTTAATGAAAACAAAAACGACTCCTATACAGAACTATGAGCATAGCGGATTTTATTACAAGAAGAAAATACTAAAAATTCAACTATTTTCCCTTAGTTAATGTTATTCTTCTGAATTATTCATATTAATCGTATGCTTCGGGAAGATGTGAAACTTGTTCGAATGAAAAGGAAAAATTGCGTTTGTCTGCTGGCGGGAAAGTTTTCTTCTCAATGTAAAAGTAGAAGTTTTATATGACATATATATATATATATACGTATATTCAGAGACGTGAAAAATAGGACTGAGTATTCAGTAACCGGCGTCTATTCTATTTCTGAAAATTACTTTTGTATATTATACATTGAAACTGACATTAGCATTTTGGTTTTCTAAACTATTTTAATATCCCTGTAAAGCATTATTTTACACATTTCATCTATCTAATCTTGAAATTCTTTTACGACTTCGGCATGCATCAATCATAAAAATTTGCGTAAAGTATGTGTAAGAAAATAGTAATTATTGTTTATACCCTAAGATTTGATCGATTGGAAACATATTTTAAATGATGATTTTCTTATTTCAACTTGATGAAACCCAACAGTAATATTTACGATGCATTAAAAGACATGTCCTAGCAGCATAAAAAATTACGCTCCGGAAAGTATTCAAATCACTTGTTGCGTATAACAACATGGTAGCTACGATCAATTGTGACTAAATAGACATTTTCTTAGTATGCAACATCGTACTATAGTTTTTCTTTTATGGAACAATCATCCTGTTTTTATTGTTTTTTTTTGTAAATCAAAAATATCTGTACATAAATTCTCACTCTAGTACAAAGAGCGCTTCTTTCTTATAGGATAGCAGCATGATAGTTTTGTCTTTACTAATAATTAGTTTAAAATATGGCTATTTCAACTTAAAATAATTAAGTTCACATCTCCGAAATAATAAATATGGTTTCGGAATTATATTAACTCTTTGGAATCACTTATTGAATTAGACGTTATTGATAAATTACTTTCAATTGATAGAACATTGAACGATCATTCAATAACAAGAAACGAGTCAACTACATTCGTCGTTTTAAGAAAAAAACACGATCATTCTCATATGACCGGCTAAAAAAGAACTTTGCAGAGCAGAATTATTACGTGCTGACAATTTCTATCAACAATAGTCGTCGTTATTGTCTTGATCGCCAGAGCTGTAGTTTTGTTCTCGGTTCACACTAATGGTTTTAGTTTGGCTTCTTTATCACTAAATATGTTGTTCGATATTTTTATCAGAAGATCTGTTTTAAATATTATTCTATAGACACCTAGAAGGAAAACGATTTACAGAGCTTTAGATAATATTTTTGGTGATCTACTTACTAGAGCTGTATAACAGTATCGACAGGAGGAGACATGAAGCGCAAAAAAATGTTAAGATTTCAAAGAATCGGGACTATTTTTTGTACTAGCAGGTCTTCTTTAGTCCTTGACAGGTATTATAAAATAATTGTTGACATTTTGATATCAATATCGTTTGATTACATCATAAAACCAACGTACTTGAGGGTGAGGATGTGGAGTGTGGGTCTGGTATTACTATATTCTTGTTCAAAGTTACACCTCACACCCACATCCCACACCCAGGGGAACAATCATATGCTAAGATTTGTCAAGATTCTGAATCTGATCTTGTATGATCTTGTTAGATCAAGCAAAAAATCGTCGTCTCAGAAATCTTAGATCGGCACGTACCATAATATTCGTGAAAGATCTTAATATTGCATAAGATTTTCTAAAATCTTGTAGTCATATCTTACGATACAGCAAGATCTTTCAAGAATCTGATGGAAGATTCCACAAACAACGATTTTTTTGTATGATCTTATCTGGTGTTCAAGATCTAACGCCAGATTTTTAGACTTGGGCAGCCATACTCTTGCACACACCCAACGATCAAAGTCCAGAATTGCTGAACAACGAATCAAAGAATTATATGATCGGTTCAACAATACGCAGATTACACTGCGAGATCTATTGCATGGATTTTCTTGTTTGTCGTGAATGAAAAATAAGATGAAATTTAATCTGTTATAATAAACTAAGCTGCATTTCTAACATTATCGACTGCCATTGCTTTTATTTTACTGAAAAGACATTTTTTCGGAGGATTAAATCAGGAAGGACCATTTTCCGAGGACAGTTTTTACCAAGGACATTTTGCCTAAAGGACGTTTTTGCAGAGACCAAATCCCGGGGACATTTAGTAAAGGACATTTTTGCAAGGACGTTCTAAACTGTTACCTTGATGATCTATTTCAGCACAATTGTGAAACGATCAAGTTCCTGAAAATGATTTATTTTAGCGATCAAACAAGCCAAGTGCACTTTTATTTAACTACAAAATCGTACGTGCTTTTCAAATTTTGATGAAGCGAATGCTTTGATTCAGTTTTCGCTGATTATATAGCGAGAAAAGTAAGTATACGAGAAATTGTACGATTCGTAATGATATTCTTTTTTTAAAACATATTTTTAGAAGAGCATACGATTAAAATATACATAAAAGAGAGTAAATACAAATGATTTCATACGACAACATATTTGGTCTTATATTAATTAGTTAAAGCGACAATGAAAATTATGTTTACGATAAAAATAGAAAGATTTGGAAAAAATTCAGTGCCTACTCGAGTTTCCGTCGGCTAGCCGTAAACCGTTGCATATACTAAAATAATAAAATTGGTTTACATAATTATTTTTTCATGAACGATATTCTTACTTGTTCATATCCTTCTTTTCCTTGAAAAGCTTTTGCATCAAATCGATTTCCTTCATATGAAAGTAATGATAAATTTGAATCAGTTAATAGACCAGCTGGAATTGTATCTAAAGCAAGATTATTTCTATCAATACGTAATGTTTTTAAACGAGGACAAAGTCGAATATGTTCTGAGATTTTTGCTATCTAAAAATTTTAAAATTTAAGAAAACAAAATAAAAGAAAACAAAATAATCATACTCGATTATCATTCAGATTTAATTCATCAACTTGGATCGCTTGAATTTGATCTGGAATTTGTGTTATTTGATTTGATGATAGATCAAGTAATTGCAAATTGGTTAATTTAAGTATTGATTCAGGTATAGTTGTAAAACTATTATTTGACAAGACTAATTGTCGTAAACTATTGAGACTAGCAAATGATGATGGTAGTGAACGAAGTTGATTCTGAGCCAATTGAATATTTTCGAGTTTCTTCAATTGACCGAAACAATCAGGTAATTGTGCTATTGAGAAAAAAGTCCGAAGAAGATGTTCGAATAATATACTGAAGAATTCAAAATAAGTTTTATGATTCCTTTGGTATTATTTATTTGCTCATAATTTATGAATTAGAATTTTCCTAATAAAGAACTCTTCTGTTTCTTGAGATCATTAAGGCTATGGTTGAAATCTTAAAATAAAAATCCTACCAATTTGATTATTTCGAACACTTAAATTTTTTAAATTCACCATTAGACTAATTTCCGTAGCAATCGTTTGAAGCTCATTATCGTTTAATGATAATGTTCGTAGATTAGGAAGACAAAAACCAGGACTTATCTAATGAACAGTCAACAATAATAGAAATTGTATTTTCATTAATATTTACTTCTTTAAGTTTCTTGTTATCATATTGAAGTACACCAGTTTTTGTTGCTGTTTCAATATGTTTTTTCAGCGTACTACCACTATTGGCGGTATGAGTATTTCCCATCGTTAATTCGATTGATTTTTACAAATCAGCTATGAATAAACCGACGTAAGCATATCCTATGCTGAATACAGCAATTGTTATGTCAGCTAGTAAGCGAAAACAAAACAGTTCGATTGATCGGTCGTGAGGTTTAGCAGCAAAAAGTAACAATAGATGTCGGCACATACAAGCAAACACTATTGCTCTCTTCACACACAATAAAGTGATGATTTGAATGTGTTGAATTTTTTAACCATATATTATGATAGAGACAAAATATCATTCAAATCTGTAGATTATTTTTATTTCAATTAAAAAAAAACAAGTTGCATGGAGAAAAAATTACGATTTTAGTATAATTATTGTTTATTTTCGTCGAGAAAATTGAATAATTTCTTATATTTAACGTTCTATTAAATTTTTCTAAGCAAATAATTAACTAAATTTTTCCACGACATTGCAAAACGGGTACACGACTTCGTGTTTGATCACTTTGTGGATTTGTTGGTAATGTAAGAAGAGTATATTGGGAATTACTCGTTAGTGAATGATCATCTAAAGAAGAAATGAAACATTAGGACTTCAAAGTCAAAGTTCAAAAATAAATTAAATATACGTGTCAAAGTTATTTAGGATTAAATTTTATCATATGACACCTACATAATTGCTTTTGCATTTAATAAAAAAAAAATTGAATTGTTCGAAGTCAAAATGCAAGGTCATAGCATGCCTTTAAGATTATCTTAAATATACCTTTTAATCTATCGAGTATTCAAAAGAAAAATATTTGTATCCAATTTCAACTTTTAACAGTGTATTTGAGTATCATTTACTGAATTTTTCACGCATAGAAATTCATGATGTTGCGCGTTCAAATATAATCACCCTTTTTCTAAAAATGCTTCCATTGTGTTTTCTCTATTATTCATATATATGTGATGAGTTTGAGGAGTAGAATTTACCAGTAAATCTGATATGTCAACCTAGTCGAGTTCAACTAAGAAAAATTTCCAAAAGTCAGTTTCATCGTGAATAAATAGACTATGCTCGAATAGTAACAACGAACTATCACTAGACTATCGTACGAGTATGATTGGCATTGTCTGATAAATAGGTCAAGTCGAGTAGCTGCAGAATAGATGTGATAGTGTTCGGTATTCTTATCTTTATTGCTACTCTGGCCCTTTCGAATGAACCTGATTCTCATAGAAACAAGTTAAAATTTGATTTTTGAACAAAAAGAAATCGGTTGATGCGTAATTATGATGTTACAGTACCTAATTGATACCTATAATGAATCTATTAAATTTTCATGATCGAATACGTAGACAAATAATTCTCGAAAGATTGTACATCGAATGAAAATTTAATACTAAATTATCAAATCTATAGTGTTTATTAAAGATAAACACTTACTTTTCTTCATATTGTTCTTTTTAGCATTGATTCGATCTACACTTCGTGCTGATTGCCGACGAAAGTACGCCCTACCAGGTACATACGTATCTAGTTCATGTTTAAGAACATCTTGGAAATTATGTACCGGTCCAACGTTGTTTTGGGGTAAACTTCGTGTACCATGAATAGCTGCTTCGAGTTCATGTTGTGCAGCTGATTGTTTATGCTTTTCCCAACTAAGAACACGTCCACGTTGTTCGGTGTTGATAGCATTTTTTATCACCTTCATATTTTGAAAATTGTTCAGATAATATATTTATATGTGTAAAATATGAGAGATCATATCACTTACATTCATACGCATTTTACTCCAATGATCTGTATTAAGATGATGTCGTGGTGTCGTCATAGTTCTATTGGAAATAATAAAAATTTCATTCTTAGAGCGGAAAACAACCTGAATTCGAAATTTGTCTGACATTTTTACCTAAAAGGAATGCTGCAACAGAGAGATAAAGCGGTGGATTTTTTTCTTCTCTAGGCTACGGATATCATGTTTCAGTTTATTGAATACCAGTATGATCTACTTAGCGTAGTCAGCGTGTTTTGAGTACAAGGACATGTTAGCATACTTTTATCTGTGTTCATTGATGTACTGGAGCGCACACCTCTACAAAAATGGTTTAGTTTGATAGAATTACTATTTAAATATTGCAATGACCACATATGCTAGGGTAATCAGGTTTTCTGTCAATGAATCATATTGTATAATATTTACACCAGTGTTTGACATTTCTACACTGATAATAACAGTCATCGAGAGGAATTTTTCTTCTTAGCTTGTCTATCAATGATCGATTGGTCTCATCTATGAAATATTCCCGTATTTATTTTTTTAAATGGCGTAGTCAAAGAAATGTGTCTCTAAATTGGATTTTAAAACAAAACGTCTCTCAATGGCTAACAACACCATGCACATGATATTTCACAATTCTAATTTTCGATTGCTTTGCACTCAAAGTATTTTTAAATGAAATTGCAATGCCTCAATATTGTTTCTATACCACTGAAGATTTTAATAATAGAAACAAAAAAGCTAATATATTTCATTTCATAATCTTACATTTCCTGTTGGCTTGTATTGATTATTGTTTACTATAATAAAATGTTGCTTTATGTTAACTATTCGTCCGTCACTGTGTTTTTATTCTCGTTTATTATTTTTCTCAAATACATCGAGACATACTCTTTTTACGTTAGAACAAAGCACTGTATTCTGTTGTAGGCATATGAGATTACATATTCGAGTGTTTGTATTCATTCAAACGTTTTCTCTCTTTCTTTCATTCATATTTTTTTTCAGTCACAGATTTTCAGAATACAATTGACTACTCTGAGAAGTACTGTCATTCGATACCATTATTGATTGTTGTTGTTGTCGGATATCTGACGTTGGAGAGTCAGCGAACATAGGATTATAGAGTTTTCGTTTATTATTCGAATTTTCGTCATTGCAATAGGCATAGTTCTCATATGGATGTGATGGAACATTCATATTTGCACCATGTGTAACGACCGATTCAATGACACCTGGGTTCTTATCGATTATTTGTTGGCGACGACGACGTGTTTCTTCAGCTGTTGTTGTTGTTGTTGTTGCTGTTATTGTTGTTGTTGTTTGAGAAAGATCACAACACAATATTTTTTTATTTTGTTTCCGTCGAATTATTAAAATAATAAACGCAATTGCGATACTCAGCGTAATTATACTAAATAGAGTACCAAATATAAGTTTAATTGTACGTTTTTTTGTTAAATGAGGAGTTGTATCCAATGGAAATAGTGTATCAACTTTTTGTTGATGATGTTTCATTGAACCAGGATCACAATAATCGATTGTGCAATCAATAGATGATTGTGAGCAAGCATTTTTAATTTGTTCATCAGTAAGAGAATCAATTCGTTGAATTTTTTTCTCATCGAGACAATGCCCGAATATTTGTGGTGATTTTTTTTTAGCTATATACAGCCAACAAGACGTACAATTCACTGATTGAAGTTCTATTGAAAATGATTGTAAACCAATTAATTGAATAAATATACATGCATCAAGATTCAATAAATTTGTATGTGATAAATCAAGGTATTTCAATGATTTAAGATATTTGAAGGAATCTTGAACAACACCTATGATTAATAATTAGAAAGATGAAAAAAGCAGTAAGAATAATTATTGATAGACTTTTTCGTGATTTATTTTTTTCAGAAAACGACGGACGCCTGTCTATTTATGAAATATCAAACATCGAAAAACAAAGTGTTCGATGTCGATATTAGAAAATTTATTGAACAATCCTAAGAGTGATCTTCAAATAGGTTCACAAAATCTTTTTGTTTGTTTTTTTACCACGTTCTGACTACACAAGAGAATGAAACTCGATGGAAAAAGTGAATCACAGTTTAGAATCATTATGCAAATGTTTATGACCCATTGTTTTTTAGCGCATCTGGCTCTGCAGTCTAGTTGAGTGAGTGAAAGATACAAAAAGGCAATATTTCGATTGGATAAATCACGACAACGAAGCTTAATTTTATTTTAATAAAGCTCACAACTTTTTCAAATCGGACTTGTTTTGTTTTATACAAAAAAAAAGACGATCGATCAGCTATATAATCAAATTTGAGTGTCAATCTATTTTATCTATGGATGATTATAATTTATCACAAGTACTATTGAATTATCGAAGACGGACAGTAAATATCTTGACTAAACTTTTTTAAAACTACGATCGATTCTTGGCTCTTTGAGTTTAGATTTAGTTATATCACTCTCATCTCTTTACATTTTTGATAAAAGAAATGTAGATCTTCACGTATTGATAAATAGCATTATACCCTACTCTTCATGTTTCTAAACCGATCAGCTTTCGCCAATTTTAAATCAATTATAATTGAAAAATAAAATCGGTTTATATTTTAAAGAAAATAGGATGTACTACTCAAATTTCGAAATTCTAGTTCGATTACACGTGTTAGCGTAACTATCACCTTAAACAAATAAATACAATGAGAGGTGAACAAATACGATTACAAAAAAAATATTCTTAAGTAAATATTATCTTCATTGATGTAAAATTTTAAGAACCTACTGAACCAAACGCATCCCACTCATTCAACTCATAAATCATGCCAATTAAAATTCATGTTCCATACGAGTGAATATTTGCTCGATGTCAAAGTAAAACCATCATCAATAATTTGGCTCATAGTTTTATCTCTCTTTACTTTTTTTCAACCTCATAATCAGGCTCAATTCTAACCCTTCGCGTTCATTGTCATGTAATCTCATACATCGAATGATAAGAGTGCCTATATGATTGATAAAATTACAGCAGTCATCAACAATACGATTTTGTATTGGTACGTGTACATCTCTACATATTCGTTTTTTTTTTCATATTTGATTTCATCGTCTAATATTTTCAATAGAACTCAATTGTTTTTAAACAATGGATAAATTAAATGATCTATTTTCGTAGTTAACGATGTGTAATATATCCAATTGAAATTTAATATGTCATCTGATTATTTTTCTTTACTTACAATTTAATTTGCTATTCGATGCTAAAGATAACCATATTAAATTATTAAGACCATCAAGAGCAAATCTCGGTATACTAAGCAGTTTGTTAAATGATAAATCCAATTTAATTAAAGAAATCCATTGATAGATTTTATTAGGAAAACTATTAATTTGATTATGAGATAAATTTAATTCTTGTAGATGAGACAATTGAATGTCGTGCATATTATCGAAGAATTCAAATCTATTAAATGCTAAATTTAATTTTTGTAAATGAGTTAATTTAGAAGTTAACCATTTCGATGATAAATTTGATAATTGATTCATTTCTAAATCAATTTCAATGAGAATATCACCCAATGAATCAAAAATATTATCATATATATATGTTATTGAATTTGATTTTAATAATAAACGTTCCATACGTAATGATAATAGACTATGTAAATCTAATGTTGTAAGATTACGCAATGAAAAATCAATGGTTTTCCATATAATCACTTCTGTACAATTCTCTATCAATGGTAAATTAAATACAAACGATGAACAATTCAAAATAAATTGTGTGGAGGGACAATGACATGCTGCTGTTTGACAATAAATACATGATTGTTCATGCGCCAATATCGATAATGTGGCGTTGTCTGTTGTAATAAATCTATCATCACTCATAACATTTGATTTAATAAATAACATAAAAAAAAATAATACGAATATCTTCCTAGGCATCGAATATTTGAGAAATAAAAGAAATTTGAAAATAATTGGTAGTCTCAATGCTTATATAAAGATCTAGGGGAAAAGAAAGAAAAGAGAATGAAACAAAATTTGTGCTGTAACGATATGTGTATGCACTACTAGTATGGAGCATTGTCTATACTAAAGAACGTATAAGAGTGAGAAAGAAGAGAAGAAGAAAAAAGATGAGAGAAAAAAAAACTTGGTCAAAAGTTCACCCTCTAGAATGGAAGAATGAATCTGACTGAAGACATGTGTATGTATCGAAGACAAACATATTGAACAAATTTATATATATATATATATATATTCTTCAAAACACATCAATGTAAAATCTTATTGTCAAAGATACCTTAAGCAAAACTAAACTAATATCAATGATATGCGATTTGGATGAGTACAAGTGATTTGATAAAGTTTCAACTGATTTGTTTTATGTTCAATAACGTTTGTGAGAAACAGCTGGGACAAGGATACCATTTGGCACATAGAAATGCGTAGACAATGCTTTGCAGTTTTCATATTTATGTCATTATTTTCATCTTAAAATAAATTTTATTCAAAGCAGCCATACAACAAGAAGAATCAGCATTAATGATTTTTTAATTTTTATATAGTAATATGTAAACGAAAACGTAGATGGAAGACTTATGTGCTCATATCGAAGGATTATATGTCTATCGAATAATAAAGCTCTATATGATTCCTTATTCAGTTACTGTTAAAATAAAACACATTGAATAGAATTCTATGAATATATAAGACGGTTGACAATAAAACGTTGTCTTATCGTTTGAAGAAATGAAGAATTATCTTATTACATAACATAGATATTAACTATTCATCATATTGAAAGTGAGTTTTTCTTTTTTCATTAGAAAACATAGTAAACATAACTTCAAAGAGACCGACCTGTTAAATCAATGAAGGATGATTTTGTGAAGTGAAATTTACTGAAAGAATGACGATTGACATGACACTTGAACTTGGTTGCTACTTATCACGAGCTCAACAACAGTAATTTTTCTTATGTAGTGCATTTTCAACAGTGTTGAATTTTTCTAAGTCTACAAATAATCAATGAGTGAACCACTGTTAATCATGTGCGCTACTTTGGTTGTATAAATATCTTATGTAATCATGTGCAATTTGAAAGCTGTTTCTTTTATACACTTTTCAATACTATCATCATTAGAATGCATTACAACACTATTTAATTAATAACCGCCAATGCAGAAATAATGAATCGGATTAAATGTAGCGTTCTAAATAGTACTGATTACATCATTTTTCTCACCTGATAATTATATGAGAATTTAATGGTTCCATTTAGCCTGTTCTATTCTACGGTAGAAGTAATATGCAATGAACTTCTCTTCTATGCAATATGTACAACTGTATAAGTCTCTACTGCAATTTTATAATCTTAGATATTTACTCGTAAAATTATTCAAAAACGAATGTAATTTATATGTATAAAATTATAGTAACATATTCTTGAAATATCCAAATGTTGAATACATGAATTTCTTATATTAGTTATTGATAGAACATTATTAGTTAGCTTTTTGTTTTATATTCATCAAATGTAGACTTCCACTTTTGTTTATTTCTCAGACAAAAAGAATTTATACGTAATGATAGAAAAATAAAACCGATTATTGAGCAAAAAAATGGATATCATAAAGTTATAATTTCAAGTCTATGGGTTACCCGTTTTCTTTATATGTCAAACAGAGCGTTTTTCCAGTTTAATAAAAACTGCATCAGGCCCAATTGAAATCTTTTCTCGAAGTTGAAATCCTTCTTCAGTTTTATCACTAGGTAATATTCGATATTGTTGAAGCAATTCAATTAAACACATTTTCAATTCCATTAATGCAAATCGCATACCAACACAATTTCTCGGACCAACACCAAATGGCATCCAGGCAATCGGATGACGTTTAGCTAAATGTCGTTCTGGTATAAAAAGATTCGGATCTTCTGGACCCCACAAATCTGGATCATAATGAATACTGAATATATCGGGTTGAATAATGCTATCTAAAAAGCAGCATAGATAGATTTATAGTCATTTTTTATTTCTATTGTAAACAAACTTTTTTCAATAATATGACCAGAAATATTTATTGTTTGATTACATTGTCGTACTTGTCCTTTGGTTGTTATTGGATACATTCGAAGAACTTCACGTACAAATATCTCGAGATAGGAAAGATTCATAACTAATTCATAAGTATCTTCGTCATGTGACCTATCATCCCATTTGATTTGATCAATTTCTTCAATGAGTTTATCTTGTACTTTGGGATTTGTTGCTAGAATATATGTTGAACAAGCAAGTGCTGTTGACGTTGTTTCATAGCCAGCAATCATAAAAAGAAATACATTGCTCACAACTTCATCTTCATGTAATTTTTTTGACGTGAATTGTTCATCACAATGATCCTAAACAAATGCATTAGGTTTCAATGAACAGATTAAAATTTTTTATAGTAGTAGAATTAAAATAGATGATGTTAAATATTCTACGATGGCGTGCATATTCTATGTGTATATTTAGTAATAATCATTTTTTTTTGTTCTGTATATAAATAAGCGATCTTACGCGAACATCACATGTTGTCGAAGCATCGATCATAAGTTGTAATAAATCTATACGTTTGATCGTAGTGGCTGTTGATGAGCTAGTTCGAAGATTGACAACATCTCTAACACGATCTGTTAACCATGAACCAGGTGTTTCTTCAATATATTTGCTCAAGACCGGAAACAGTCTTATCAATGATCTTCGAATAGCTATTTGACCAAGATAAAATTGACAGAATGGATTAACAAAAAATGGAAATAAATCCGTCATTTTAACAATGAATAACTTATCAACATCGACGGCAAATGTTTCAGCTGATTTTTTTAAATATATATTATCAACATCATTTTGCATATCTGTATCAATACCAAATGCACAATGACCTAAACAATTTTGCAATACAAGTATATGTGTGAATATATCTATCGGATCGGTTTACTTACATATAACATCCATGGTCATCCGTTTGTATAATGTATATATATTGATCTCTTGTTCTTTATCGCAAGCTATTTCCGATAACTTTTTTAGCATTGCTTCAATGCATTTATTTACTAATGGCATCATAAGTTTAAGTTTAGCAGCTGAAAATGTCGGATTAATAACATGTCGCTGACGACGCCATCTAAGTCCAGTTGCTCCCAATAAATGAATTCTATTGCCTCTTTGAAGACGTAACAAAATTGGAAGACGACGTGAATGAAATGATGAGAATTGTTTAATATAAACTTCTTGAAGAAAATCAACGTCAGAAACAACATACATTGGTGTTGTGCCTACAAATAATCCATAGATTGAGCCATATTGACGAGTCCATTCTTGAAATTTTTTTGAGACCGAGTTAACTGACCAAAGATCTAGATAGTGGCCAAAAAAGAAACGATGTGGAGGTCCTGGAATACCAGAACGTTTGAAATAATCATAAGAATTATTGATGGTCCGCAGATATACAATAATGAAAAAGATAAAACAGCTAAATAGAACAATTGTAAGTGTCATCTCACAATTGATACAAGGTAAATGTATGCTTGTTAATTTCTGTGCGTATTTATAGATGTTTGATAATTGCGGTAGAAGAAATGATTGTTTTATATAGGCAAGACTAAACACTCGGTTGCCTTATGAAAACAGCGTACTAGATAATACGTTAGTACACTTTCTTGAGAGAAAATAAATGTATATGATTCTCTGATAGATAGAATTAAAATACGCCTATTATGTCAGTGCTTGTATACATGTTTCACCCACGTGCCATGCACGATCGTTTATTTTTTCTACGCCATACAGCAACTATTCACGTGTAGCTATTACTGGTATGTGTATAGTAAGAGATACGAAAGCAAATTCAAAAAATGTTCTCCTTTAGATTAAAATACAAATCAATTTTCTAGGAAGTTGAATCGATTAGAGGAATCGATATCTTCAAAGATTTATGATACTTAAAGTTTGATAGTTAGGCAAAAAAAAAAGTACGCCGTGTGCAATTTAAAAACAAGAAGAAATGTACCGAAACAGTTTATTTTGCATCACCTTGATTTACATTATATAACCAATCGAATGATTACAAAATTAATCAACCATTATCAAAATAAATCAAATAAATCCTTGACAAGTACAAGCAAATCGCAAATCATTGGTATATATCTCTTAGAAAATAGTTCGATTAGATATTTTTATATAATAATCATTGAAACACGGATACATTCTTCTAAAATGATTACAAAACATAAGGATACGATCTTCTACAGGTTGCAGTTATGCTCCGTTAGAATAAACAAATACAATAAATTTAACTACCTCACAACATCCCAGTAGATTTTATACAACGTAGACATTCAAATCAGTTCATTAGATATATTATTGCTAAAGAAATTATTTCGTAAAAGATAATTATTTCAAATTCTGGTACAAACCCAAAGTCTCTATTATATTATCTATATACTAATATGTCATAATAGATGTATATATCATTGATAATAACTCTTGTATTGCATAGATAAAATCCATATCAGAAATCCGAAACTCTAGTGATGCTTTACTTTTATTTCAGCTTCATCGTGGATATAGAAAAAAATCATTCTATTATCTAACTAACTCACATATCCATGCATTTTAAACTTTAGCAGAAAACAGCACTCAAGATATAGGGCAATGGATTTTGAATCGTCACCAGAAACTTGTTTCGTACGAAAGTAATTCTGCACTGATAGAGCAAAACAAAGAATGCCATCAATAGAAATTAGTTCTTGAGAATCTAAAGAATTGGGTATTTATTTTACTCTGTTTGATAATGTTTGAATAAAAACTAACAGGTAAACACGCCAGATGATACGAAAACTACTAGTAAGTTTAGATGATGTAGTGATTTTTTAAATGTGGTATACTTGAGATAAAGAAATAACGTCAACATTTCAGCGACCTGCCTTTGCACGAGTACATAGAAAGAAATTAAAATTTCTAGAATAGTTAAAAATTGAGGATATTTTTCTTCATACGATTATCTACGTTCATTCTTTACTAAAATATCTATTTCAGAAGTTTTATCAACATGTGACCTTGAATGATTTCCAACTAATGATAAAAAGTATATTTCTAATTTCATAACAATACTATATAGAGAATCAATGATATGATGACGGTACACGATACTGCTTTGAATAGTATTCTTTAAATCAAATGTAGCTCGATTTTTTATAACTACTTTTCTTGTTAGAGAAGAAATATTTTCAGATAATATAAAACGATCTTATTTTCATTTTCGTTGTTGTCAGATACACATTCACAGAATTTTAAATTGAAATAAATAAAGATAAGATGAATACGTTTTTTTCTCATCTAATTCTATCTTGAGAGTAGTTTCAAATTGTTACTAAAATAAATTTAGAATTAACAAGCTATACTTCACGATGTTTCTTTACCGAAGATTATAATGCGAAGTACATGACTCACAATTACGTTTATCTACACTGAACTGTCCTTTTAACATGAGTCATGCATCATCATCATCATCATGCTAAAAGAATGTAGTGAATCATAAAACAGAAGCTATACAAATTCCACAGATTTTATCGAATCCTAACTTTGTTTAGTAGATTTTTTGCATACAACAATTGAAAATATCATAATGCTCGTTAATCCTTTGAGTAGAAATCTTTTTCTTAGTTTTGTCTTACAATATATTATTTTGATTGTCATGTGCTTGCATAATACATATCCACACGTTAATATCGTTTCAAATATAGATTATTTCATTATTCGTATATTAAAATATATTTTCAAAAGAAACCGTCATATTAATTTGATTTTTGCAGATAAAGTAGTATGTTAATTTCTTGTTCTCGATATCTTTAGTTGCTGAAAATCAATAAATTTTATCACGACTTAATGCATAAAAAAAGCGATGAAGTAAAATTGAAATTAAATTATTTCTATGTAAAATTCTTCAAGCGTATATGTTAACAGCAGATACGGCATATGATATTTATCACTATACCTTCAAGGAATCCATAAGTGAAACCTCAATGATGAGTTCGTATTTGTATCGGTTTTACGAAGGGTTCTTATAAACTAATGAGTCATCTTATCATTGAAGGGAAAAGTTATTTGCTGCTCTTCGAATCTTCCGATACTTAAAATAGTAGTTGTTGAACTACTGATTGCTTAACTGGGAACAGGAATAAATAATAACAATCGGGTGAAAACAAAATTAATGCATATCACTGCACAGGGGTCGCGCAAAAGTAACAGAGATACGCTGCTGGCATGCCAAATTGCATTAGATTATCCTGTACATAATATGTGTGCAACCTATAAAGTATTATTTAAATAAACAGCATGAGAAAAACATTTGTATCAAGGCCCTCTGACAGAACAGGTAAAAATGCCTTTTTAATATTTTTATTCAAAGACTATTAATCATAACTGATATGCGTCCATGCGCGTGAAGAAAGGGGTAAAGCATGTTGTTCGCTCGATTTTTATACGACATATTACTAATTGTGCAATAAGTCAGAATATACCCTAGATTCAATAAGTACCTACCATTCGATTATATATAAAAATGAAACATCGATCATCGAAAGTATGATCTATTGAAACAATCATGGTTTGTAATTATTTCTTGTTTACCATGATGGAAATATGCTATAACGTTTACTTCATCAAAAAATTTACATCAAGAGCGTCAACAAAGATCGTATCAAGTACTTGCTCTTTGCTCTACATTGAAAGCAAAATATGCTGACGGGAACACCGAATTCTTATCAAATTCAAAATTTTACTTGCTTTTTCCCTGGATAAAATAACAAAAATTAAACGAAGAGACTGGCAGATAAGTATGTTTTGACTAGAGCGTACCGATGAGGAAGTTATCTGATACTCATGACATGACAATAAAGTTTGAACCATTCATCATTCAAAGTCAATTACAACTTCATATTATCTAAAAAATAAATGGGGAAACATCGGATTCGTATCCGATTGTTATGTGTACTCGACTGAGATATTAATGAGATCATTCAGTGTGCAAAATTTCATGACAATTGGATGAGGCTTTCAAGAGTTATCGTGTTAACGGACGGACACTGACCGAATCTAGAGTGTACTCACTTTTTGAGTATACAATAAATGCTGAACCTGTCGTATACTAATTTTTAATAAAAAAAAGTATTTTAAATGTAAATCGATATACAGATAGATCTATGACTAATCATATTTAATATCAAGATTCTTGTCACAGATAAAATCATGTTGTTTAGATCAGAAAGAAATATTAATATTTTTTTAGTACTGACGTGTTAATAGGGATGTAAAAATACCATTTGGAGACACATAAAGATTGCCAATTTTCACAATGCAAATCTACCAATACCAACCAATACTTTGTGTTAGTTCTAACCAGCGAAGTTAGCTCTATCTGATAGGAGTATATAAAATACCAATATCAACAGAAAAGATCCCCAGTATTGGTGAATATTCGTGAAAATTACCGTTTTTTTTACCAATAATCATCAATACTGGGGATCTTTTCTGTTGATATTGGTAGATTTGCATTGTGAAAATTGGCAATCGTTATGTGTCTCCAAATGGTATTGTTACATCCCTGCTTGTTAATGTAATAGAGCCATCAAGGAAAAAGATAAAATAACAAAATTGAATCTTTTTAGTTTGCCTTACGTTTTTGATAATAAGAGAATTAATAAAAGAATCAAGACAAACATTATATATATATTTGAAAAGCTTCTATCTAAACAAGTAGTTTTTGCATGAAAATAGAATTTGATAGAAAGTTGTCAATTTAATGAAAAATGTGAATTCTAGTTAACAACTTCATACTGAATCGATTCATGAGACTCCTTTTTGGTAAATAAATATGTTTTTTGTTGACTATTGTAAGCTATATTACGAGAAAAACAATGCGAACGATGAAGAAAGATAACAAATATTAACCAAAATTTAGTCGTATTCTATTAATACAATAAAATCATTTCAGCATATATGATTTTCACCGCTGGCAAACATAGAAGTTTTTCTTTGTATAAAATAATATCTGTTTAATTTGTTTTTCAATTTGTTGAAAACACCTATTTAATCATGTTTACATGTGTCAATTTAATTTTGAAACTGATTACATCATCTGATCTCAATAAATCTCTCTTTGATTGGTTTCAATGAGACGCTTCATTTTCATTTCAAGTGACATCACTGTTATCCACTGTAATGTAATTTACATTATTTTACTGCCAGTACAATCATACAAAGAATATTATTGTTTACTATTTCATCTTGATATAATATAGGTTATTTACCGCGACCGGATCATAGTTGACTACAATCGAACAGAGAATCGTGCGAATATAAAACAGTTGAATTTATTCCTTCGATGTGTTGTTGATTTTTCTCTTTGTTCTACATTGTAGATCATTTATTTTGAATAAGATTGGTAGTTACCAACTAAAATTAATTAACTAAATGAATCCTCGGAACATTTTTGTGATGAAAATTTTTAGAAACTTAACATCACACATTTCGCGATTGTGATATCTACGACTTTTTTCAAATAATTGTAATCAAATAATTTCGTTGCTTTGCTATGCTTCAAGTCGGCTAAATGAAATGAAAATTTTTAATAAAACTCGAACTTTCATATTATCTCGATACAGTACATGTTTCAGGTGTTTTCTCCATTGACTTGCTCACATAGGTCAATATGAAAGACAAAGATGAATGGATAAGTTTCATGTGAACAAATTGAATAATTTAGATATCAGTCGGCTATTCGTATTTTTGTAAAATGACTAAAAGAGTGCTTTAATACATATTGGATTGAAAAACTAGTTTTGGAAGAAAACTAAAACTTAACATTATACGAGTAGTGCCAGATATATATGTCAGCGTCCAATCTCGGATTCAGGCCAATCTTAGATTCGACTAGGCCAATCTTGGATTCGACTAGACTAATGCATAATAAATTCTAACGATAAATTCAAGTAGTAATGAGATAATTAACTGGAACATTATTTTCAACGAAATAGAAAATATAAATACAAGTGAACGTTATTTCAATAACGGATAAAAAATGTTAATATTTCGTTGTGAATATTGATTTTGTAAAATTCATATACCATTTCAAGTTATTGTTCTTATTAAAACATATTCATTGATAATCAACTACTGAATTCTATTCGATCTTATTAACCCTCAGATTCAAAAAAATATTGCTACGCGCAACTTTAAACGACATAAAACCTGTGTAAAACATCAATTAGACGATCAAATGATCAACTTGGATATTAAAATCGTAATGTGTTTTTGTTTACTCAATTGTATAATTACATCATTATATTAGAAAAAAGAAATATTATTAGCACTGAATTTAGCTTTTTATTTTAGATATCATGTTATATGCATTGCTCGAAGAGAACATTAGTAATTCACTATTTGTTTGGTTCGATAAAAATTCTAGCACCTTAGTGACGTAACCGAAATTTGTTAAGTAGTCGAGCATAGCCCAACCGTGCCGCTCCCCTGACTACAAACCGTATGTTGGAAAAAATATCAATATTGTAATAGATTTGGATTATTTCTGATTTAGACTCTTCGATATGCTTGTGGAGAAAATAAAATACAGGACGGAGAAGAGAGATGATCCCCGATTGATTGTGTGGAACAATATACGAACAAGGGTATTTAGACATGCATCCAAAATAGAGAGAAAGAGAAACAAGAAGAAAATGATGACAAATAGAGCACCTACTCATTACGATGCATATGTCCGGAAATCCGTCGCAAATATCTGCCAGGTAAGAATTATTAGTCACATTATTTTTGACTCATTAGAAGTACTATATTCGAACCAGCGTACCGTCTGATATTCAAAATACTATAGAGCAGATAATTTATCCACTATTTACTGTTAGTTGTTACTCTGAGAACATGGTTTCTCGTGACATATCTATTGTATTACAGCAATACTTTTACAAACAGATGTATAAATCTTTTTTCTCATAAAAACTGTGCTATCTCTCTACTGTTACGTTTCTAAATATTTGTTTAAGTTTCCAGGTCGAGAAATCTCACACCGAATTCAATAGGAACTTGATAGTATCCTATCATTCGACAGAACCTTATAGGATTCCGGGTGGAGGAATTGACGCCGGAGCCACTGGTCGGAGCTTATTGAACTTTCGATAACATCCAACGGTGTTTCTTTGGAATTCGTAGGAATCCGACACTGAGGATCCAACTTCGAATTCAGAACCCAGAATCCGATTATAGTTCTGTAGGGTACGACAAAATCCGATAAGATCCTACTGGATGCGAGTCGGATCGGGTGGGTTCCGATTGGTTCCCACTGTTGGGTTGCTCGACCTGGGAATTGATGTGTAATTTTCTATCATATCTGTTCGAAACGTTGAACATGGTATTACTGCAACATATATTCGATCGTAGATTTCATAGGCACTATGGATAATTGATAATAACAAAAGAAGTAAGAGCTACAATACATGAAAATAAAATTTCATGCAGTAATGAATTCCACACTAAAGATCAATTCGAAAGAATGATGCCAATAGGTAACGATAAGTTCATTTTAACAAATTCATAGATTTAATTCTTTATTTATTTTGTTACGTTTGCTGGAATAAGAAAAAAAATACTTGTACATTTACATGTAAAAATTTTAACATTTAGATAATTCACACTCAAGAAGATAAATTCTGAGTAAAGAGAAATGTCTTGAGCATTTTTTGAAGAAATAAGAATAGCAACAAAATTCGCAAAAAAAATTATCTGTGAGAACTTGACAAAAGCTAATGTTTTTATATTTTATTTTATGTATGATATTTACGAGTCATATTTCTTCCATTCCATTCCCTAAACGAGAAAAACAAATATTGAAATGTTTAGTACAAAATGAATGAACTAACATCAGGTGGTTCACAGGTGACTCGTCCTTTTGATACTTCTTCCCAATTCATGTTTAAACAAGTACCACCAGATTCATACTAAAAATGAATATTTCAACTATTTCATAATGTTAAAATAATTTGTATATGCGTACCATTGATTTATTCATTGCACGGCGTGTATTTTCATCACTATCTTTATAAAGTCTTTCAAAAATTCTAGAAAGTAATTGATTTTTATGAAAATAACATGATACGAGAGAAAAATCATAACTTACGCATTAGCGTCACCCATATTATCTTTATTTTCTTTCTCATCGTTCTTTATCTCAACTTCTAATTTATCCCAATCTTTTGCACGTTTACTTGACGACGGATACGTCGGGGCTTTTTCAACTACAGGTCGACTCATTGGAACTAGACAAATAATATACATTTTCAATTTAAATATTTAACACTTGTATACTTGGTGGTTGAGCTTTAGCTGCTGGTGATTTTGCATCCAACGATATCCATTGTATGGCTTGTCGCTTGTATAATTTTATTTCAATCTATTGGTATCAAACGAAGAACAGCGAATCTACAGAAAATAAAGATTAACAAGTTATCTTCCTTACATTTGAACCAGTAACGTTGAAATTTGTACGCAATGAATCAATTGGATAAGCAAGATCCAGTTCAAGTAAATAATCTTGACCAGAAGAAGGTACTTTCGTACTTATGTTGATCTTAAGAAAAATTATTATTGATTCATTATTTTAAAGAATGTGGTATGAAATGAAAGATATACATACAGTTGTATCTGTGGATTGGACGTGTACTTCATCTTTCTTAAGACCTTTTATAGGAATTTGAATAGAAACAACGCTGTCTGTTTGATAGAATGAATGCCTAGGAAAAATAGTTCATAAATAATTCTAGAAAAAAAAACATGTCCTATACAACATACTTGATTTTAACTGGTACCATTGGAGGAACAGGTAGAGTATGATTCGCTAACTTCGTTTTTTCAACAGAAACAGTTGTCAAAACAGATTTTTTGTCTATATTAGAATAAAACCATAAATTAATTAATTTAGAAACCCAAACAAATACCTGCTAATGCTTTATCACATTTTTGTTGCCATATTTTCAATTGTTCATTTGCAGCTAAACAAGGCAACTATATATATTTAGTAAATTAAATAAATACAATTAACTTACAGTCCAATTCAAGTCCACTAGAAAATGTTTGTAGAGCTTCCTCTTTTAAATCTTGACTGTATAAAGAAATACCCTTACGAATATATGCCTTGATATTTGTTGTATCTAATTGAATGGCATCATTACTATCTTTCACAGCATCTAGAAAGAAAATAAGCAAAACACCATAGTTTTAATCGTTCCAAATGTAATGTTACAGTTACCTGCATAGTTTTTTAATTTTAATGAGCATTGAGCACGTGATGCTAAGATCTTCGAAGTAAATAGATCATCGGTTTTGTCATCCTTCATAAGAGCTTTTGTATAAAACTAGAAGATAAAAATTTTATAATGAGAGAAAAACGAAAGCATTTTTTCATACGAACTTCATGTGCTTCTTCATATTTCTCGTCGACGAAAGCTTCATTTGCTTGTTCAAAGAATTTGTTCGACATGGCAACTGCCTGACTTCGTGTGCGCGAATGTATATATATGAATGATATGACTGAGAAACAATAGAATAATGGAAACAAATAACAATGAAATTAAATGTTATTCGTTAGCCCTTTCTTTTGTCTTTTGTTTTCCTGACGATATGGTAGATGACGCATGATGTTAGAAAAATAGACTCTGTCAAATAACCTAATAAGTAATCTGATCAATCCAAAAGTAAAATATTCTACATTTGCTATACGAAAATTTGAGAAAAGTAAGCCCTTGTCCCATTCAACAAGTACACGCTGTGTTCAATCATCAACAAAAAAATATAGAACCATGAAATACTTCAGATTATTTTTTTCGTGATGTTGACACATAGGTGTTATCCGCTTTATTTTCTTAGCAAGAAAAAATTTCACAAATCATTTTAAAGTTGTACTATACAACATTCTTCTTCTAATCGTCCAAAAATATGACGAATTTTGTGAGATTCCCAATAAGACTTTATCCTCCTGTATCACGTAGGTTAAATTATAATGTATCTTTGGGGAAAAGATATCGCTGCATTCAGGTAATGAGAGTTCACTATAAAACGGCTTACCCGTACTTGCTGGACATAATTAGAATAAAGTAATGATGGTGGAAAGTAACAGATTAAGTACAGGTTAATGTTATTTATAATAACATTAATAATATAAGGATAGTCCCAGGTCGATGATTCCGGTCTCCAAATCCTTCCGGAACCGGTCTGGAAACGGCTTCTTTCCGGCGATTTCTCACCGGTTCCCTAGTCTTTCCCGCCGGATCCTGCACGAAAAACAATAGGAAATGGCAATAGTGTTCCACCCGGAAAAAAACGTTTCCTGAACCCTTAACTTTCTCGCAAATTCAGCCATAGGGAACTCTAAGGAACATACAATGATCCTAGAGGAAAAGGGAGGAGGAAATCGGGAATGTCAGCAGAAACCTTCACATCCAAAACGAAAAAGCAAAGGATACTGATGGAACAAACCGGAAGCACCACGGAACCCACGATTCTGCATCCTGAAACAAAAATGAAAGATCTACGAAGATCACTAGAGATCTTTATTGTTTTTTTAAACTTCACTCTATTTATTCGTGACATCCTATCTTTTTTATAATTTTTAGTACAGTTTTTTCGGACGCTTACGAGAGAGAAAGACAACGATAACATATAGAGAGCAAAATACAAAGAACAGGAAACAAACAAACTGGAGAGGCAGTGGTGACGAATCCACGTGTATTGAATTGTTATTTCTTTCTTGACTCTTCTTCCATTATCAAATATCTTTGAAACCAAAAACACCGTGCCAGGGGAAGGAATCAAATCTTCTGCTATCTGACTAAATCAGATGCATAGAACCACTACGCCATCCCTGGCATCTTTATTGTGACTACCTTAGTTATAGGATATTTTTGTGATTAGAAGATCCAGATCGATAGAAAATCAGATTCTAAGATCTTTCCGCGAAGAAACGCTGCAATTCGAGCTTGATTTAAGGCTGAAATCATGATTTTACTAATAAAGATCTTTGAAGGTGATTTGTTCTATTTACCTTAATTAGATGATATTCTGCTGATGGAGAGTACGACACTGATTGTAAATGTAAGGAAGATCTATAACAAGTCCAAAGTCCTATGTCGATTCTTGTTTTCAATTATCATCAATTAATATTAGAAATGGGGTTGGAATGATTTTGAGAAAGTTTTGGTATAAAAAAAAAAGTATGCGAAGTATTACCTGTGACTTATCTGAACAGGTATGTTGCGCATCTGGGGTTGGAACTGTGAATGCTCACTCATGTGGATAGATTGGTGATCTTCAGGGTGCTCATGTATTGCTAGGTCAGTTTGAAGAGTCTCAGGCAATCTTGAAGGCGCTTTACTAGTAGCTGCATGGACGAGTGAATGAACTTCTAAGTGTCGAACACGCATATATATATATAAGTTAAGGCTGCCTGCTATGCAGTCTGAAGACTGTTTTAGTATTTCAATACTGTTTTTGAGAGCTCTAGTTTTTGACATATCTAACTCGGTTGAATTCGGAGAGAATGGTCTTTCTGTTCCAGTGCCTGCCTGTCACCTTCCGTTCGTATCTGTGGCAGGTTTGCTTGAAGACCTTTAAAATGATAAGATTTGAATATTTTGTCGGTTTCTAGACTTTCCAGAGATGGACGTGTAATTTATTGTTTTTTATGGTGTCCGTTTTTTTTTTGTATCAGACGTTTTTGAACTCTGTCAATTAAATTAATTTAAATCAGCTCAGTAGTGGTTACGTTTACCTAGTTATCGTGCATTGTTGCGTGGGGGTATCTGAACTAAATAATATCTTCCAATTTGAAGACACAATTCAATAGTCTATCGTGGTCTCTACTTAACTATTGCTCTCAGCAGTGGGTTGTGAGTAGTGCAATCTCTTACGCGGTATTTTGTATCCAGTCTGCTTGTTCTCACACTGCTGTTAGGTTCGTACTCCTTAAAACTGCTTTAACCTCCTGAACCCCGAGAATTCTTGCGTTCTATTCGACGCTAGAGAAAAATTTAAAAAATCACTTTTTTTTTGCGTTCTGTTGCTCTCAATCAGCTGTATATATATTTTTTCTTTTAGTTAGAAGAAAATAATCAGAAATCACCATTGGCTGAATGAACGATTCTCTATCCATTTTCTGCTTTTTAAACATGTTCAACGATACGACAGAACGAAAAAAAATATTCTTTCGTTCTGTTTGTCTTTAGCCTGAAGACAGCGGTCCTCAGGAGGTTAAGAATGACTATCATGTCCAATTTAGTCAAATGTTTCGAAGAGAGCCAAAATCTTTATCCATGCTTCTATGGAATTGTAACTTTTTCTTAATATTCCATACATTTGAACATTAAATATATAGTTGTATTCTAGAGATTCTTTTGAGAGAGCGATCAAATTGTCGATTGTAAGGCATTAAAGTGATGTAGTTATAAGGAATACGTTTTCAAATAGATCCTATCGTTTCCAGTTGCGGGATTAAACCGTCTGAAAGAAAATAAAAACGGTCGGACCTGTGAGTTGCAACCGAATCGGAAACGGAAGGAATATAGTTCGGATCCTGCTCCCGTTAAAAGGCGTCGGAACCATTCTCAGGAACCTTGCCGTAAACGGCAGCGGGATCCTGGCATTTCATCCAGTTGCAGGAATCAGCAGGGAAGAAGCCGTAAACGGTCCCGGAATACTGCTTCCATGTTTTTGCCGGAATTTCACCGGAACCAACAGTTTCCCGCCGTACGGTTTGAACCTGGGAATGATGTTTTATTAATAAAGATGGCAACTCTCGATGAAGATAATAAACAACAACTGAACTCGTTAGAAAGAAAGAGAGAGAGAAAGAGGGGAGAAACAAAGCGGTCAATGACCGACAGATCAAAGAGCAAACATCAAAGAGGATTAAGATCAGTAGACTGGTGAATGATGACGAAGCACTCGTTTCTAAAACTTGGATAATTCAACACGCTTAGGCATTGTGTAATATCCACGCTTTCTGTATATTAAATCTAATTTAAGTATAATACATTTTCAATTTTATGATGAGAAAAAATACGTATATTGGGTGAATCTTTTTTTTTTTGTATAAAAGACTCATCATGGTTGAGGTTACTCCAATCGCAACGTGTTTTCAAGAAGAATAGCCTATCAGAAAGAATATTAATGTTTGTGACAATTTCGTTCTTTGCACATCGTTGAATTTTTTCGAGAGTTTAATATAAATCTCTACAGATATAATCTTCGATTTTATTTTTATATTTTAAATTTTCAAACAATTATATTTTAATTGTTCTCTCATCACAAAAAAAACGGTTTACCAACGAGTGGTGTTCACCAAAAAAATGTTCTTATCTACAATTTTTGTGAGACTGAACATCAAGGTTCGTTTCTATAATTTTGCTTGAAATTATAACGCTGTGAAACGAGATGAATAGAAAAAAATAGATCGAGTTTTAAATGAAACACAAATGAAAACCGTTATTGATGACCAGATTATTTTAATTATGTATAAATTGCAAAAGAAAGAAGGCTGGTTGGTAAAAAGGCAATTACAGCTGTAGCATCGAGTAGCTGCCTAATTCGAGTTCGAATATAAGTGGAGAAAAGAAAAAGTTAAACTAAAACTAAATCTAGGAATAAATTTAGTTCTAGTTTAACTTTCCGATATATGTGACATATGCATACATATATACCCTTCACCCACAACCACATTTGAGCACTCCTCCATGGTATCTATCATCCACACTCACATTTGCAGTATCCCGGATACCCTCCTATGCATATGCACCCCTTCCGGGTACCCTTCACGCACACCCTCAACTAAATATGAAACTAAATCTATTTCTATCACTTATTTTCGAATTGATACCATGCAGTTGGGTGTCCAATTATATTCGAATTCGAACTAGGCATCTCATGATTAAGCGAAATTTATTTTAAAAAGATTAGAAAACATTGTTACTATGGCTATCTTCTAACTTTATTTTTGCTATTTAATATAAAATAAATAAAATAGTATAAATCAAATTTTTTTGTATTAACAAAACTAGCAAATTCATCTATGTATTTACAAGACAAAAAAAAACAACATGGCAAATTTAGTAAAATTGTTATTTTAATTATTCTTTTTCTCTTGACCTAGTTCTGTATTCATGGGGCTTCCGTCATTGCCAAAAAAGAATGAGCTGAATGCACTGTTTGTCGATGTTTCACCACCATCATCAGCAACACCTGATATCGATAATAGAGAAAATGTTTTTAATCATATTATAAGAAAAATGTAAAGCATACCACCAAAATTAAATGAAGCGAAGGAAAATGAAGTATCCACACCATTATTACTAATATTTTGATGTTGCATAAATACAGGAAATTGATCAGCAGAATCCATTGTCAGTGGTGAACCAAGATTACTCCAATTACTAAAATTGATTGGTGATGTAAAATTTCCATCATTAACAGCAGTGACATCACCAGCTTTATTATCATCATCAAAACCAAAATTATAGTTAAAATTCGTATATCCACTAAAAGAAAAAAAAGAATAATTTCATAGGTAATTTAATAGTACATTGACAAGAGTGAGAATTAGTATAATTTTACTTTTCAGTACTCGTAATAGACTCAATAGACGAAGGCATGGTAAATGTAGGTCGTTGCTGTTGTAATCGTTCAGCATCATCTTCCATGGGTTGTAATTGGTCTTCATTGATTGATGATGGTTCTGGTGAAAATGTTAATAGCATTTGTTGTACATCACTACTTGTCACTTGAGGTTGAATAGATGATGTCACTGATGATGCTAGTCGATTTTGAATTATGAAAGGTGGAAGTTGAAATGTGACTGTAGAATGTAATTTATTAACAATAGTATCACTCGATAACATCGATATTGATTCAGAAACTTGATTATCTGTTATAGGAGTAACAATATCACGTACTGTAATTGACTCTACTTGTGTTGGTGTTGAAACCAAAGCAAATGTTTGGGTCAATTGTTGATCACTTGACGATATAAATGAAACTTCTTCATTGACATCTATACTCGGGTTCGTTGTAGCTGCTGACACTGTAAATGCTTGTGTGCTTGGTGGACAACCCTTTATGGACATTTTTTCCATCTATTTTTTTTTATATGTTAAGATGAAATAGATTCAATTTAAGATTTTTACTTGAGGAATGGGTGTTTTTCGATGTGCTGTTAAAAAGAATTCTTCGTCGTCGTCATCATCGATAGCCGTTGAAAGATGAAGTACTGATGTACGATTTGAATGAATCGATGTATTTTCGGTTGTGCTTGCAGCAACTACAATTGTAGAGGCAAGTTTTTGATGTGGCGATGGTTTAACAACTTCAGGTATAGTCTCATCAATAATAATAGTCGGTATTGTTGATTCAGTTCTAAAAATAAGAATATGAGCCAACAATTCTTTAGATTGATTCAATTTCAATAATCGATATTCAACTATCATTCTAAATAACTCAGTTAAAAATAAGTTCATCCTGTGATGAAAGGTTTTAAAACAAGACAATTTAATAGCTATGAAAATTCATAACACTATCTTGAAAGATACAAAGAAAGTTCGAGTAAAATATCGTATATTAATTCATTTGATAAGCAAAAGTAAATACTACTCAATTATATATAATTAACTTACGTGGCAGATGACTTATTATTCGTTTGTTCTATTGGTACTAATTCAATTTGTTCATTTTGTGGTGTTAGAATTGATGCAATCACTGGTGTCATTGCTTGTGACCAAAAATCTTCTTGTATTTGATTAAATGAAAAAGTTAAAGCTTGATCAATATTAGTTTGTAAACAAAAATTCAACAGATCACGTTTGAGTGGTTGTGTATAAACACTTTCCCATGCTTTCATTTTATCGATTTTACTTTCGATTAATTGTTTTTGTTTACTTTCAAGTTCTAATAGTTTTTCTTTCATTTTTTCAATTTGAATAAATTGATCACGTCGAGAAATAAAACATTTAGCAATAGACAAAATTGATGATTGAAATTTTTTTTCATTGCAAAATTCCTGACGACGTATTGAATAATGTTTGTATGCTAAGTTTTGTGTACTACGCAAGAATTCTTGTCGTTCAACAAGTGAATTGTAAGCTAGATCACCTTGTTTTAAATATTGATACACTTTCGATTGTTCATATCTAGAAAAGATTTGAAAATAAATACAATCTAATGCACTGTCATGCGAACTGTGGTTTGAAAATTTCAGTCCATTGTTGTTTAATATGTTCAAATTTATTAATAAGTAATGATTTTTCTTGGTCGTACTTTCGTTCTTCATTAATGCAATCACGTTTGATTGAATCTAATATGAAAAGATAAAAAAAATAAAACTTTTCTTTTGCAAAGAAAAATATTCGGTCATTACTATTATGATCGTCGAGCATTTGTATATTAAATTGAATTTCTTTTATTCGAAGTTGCTCTGTTAAAAGTTGTTGTTCACGAGCAGAATTTTCATGTTCAATATTAGCCAATTTTGTTGTTAATTGTATTTTTTCCTTTACCATCAATTCATTATGTTTTTTCTTGTCTAGTTGAATGATAAAATAGAAAACAACAATAGAATTTAATCAATAATTTACCTTCATTAATTCCAACCAATTTTTGAAGTTTAAACCGTTTTTCTTTGATTTTATTACCTATAACAGAGAATGGTTGTTGATTCAATATTTGAAAAACAATGGACTCTTCAATTACTTAAACATTGTACCAACATTTCAGCTCGACTTGTATCAATATGGCCTGGTCCAAAAACAACCAGTGGTAATTGTGATGTTTCCATTAATGGATCCATCTAAAAGATTGGAAATAATATGATAATTTTGTTAAAAATGAAACTGAACATTGAGATTTTAAATTTCCCTACAACGATCAAACGGTTGATTTTTCCAACTGAGAAAGAAATTGATTCAAAAATGAAATATCCCGCTTTTAATATAACTAAATCGAATGATCAGAGATGCCGCCAGATATTTTCGAGTCCTGTTGTTGTTGTTGAAGAGGAGTTCGTTTTTATTTGTACTACGATTGGTGTAGAATTCTACCATTAGCAATTGAACGATGCAAATTCTCTCTCTTCTGATCTGATCGTTTAGTTCTCTTGGTTTTCTACGAAGTTCTTTCTATGCTATGTTCAAAAGAATTCGTGCTAAATTACCGGATTGGCGATTTATAGCTTTCGTTGTGTCTAATTCTATTCCAGGAAAGAAACTTCTTGGTGATTGGCGTTTTACACCAGTTTTCTTTGTAGCTGGTTGTTGTTTTGAACTTGTTCTTTGCAAATTGCGTATCAACAATATTAATTTCTGTGAGCTTTTTGTTTGTTTGAAAAGTTAAATTTTTTTTTTATGCCAAGTATAATTTCTTTTCAATAGACGACGTTTATAAGCGTAAACAAGCACACGAATTTGTTTCGAAAAAACATCAACTTGAAGATTATTTGAAAACAGTATCTCTCCAACAACCATCATCACCAGAAATACCGAATAACTAAAGTTCAAAAACAAAAACAAAAGAAATCCGGTTTGTTAAAAGAAATAAAGATACCTTTATTTCTTTTGTAAGATTTTCTAACAGATTTCTGTTAATTTAGAGTCATGAATCCATTGCGTCGTCTTTTTTACTTGTCAGTAGTCAACACTGTAACATTCATAATCGGTTCTCAAATAGCTCATACATGGCTGAATCCTATGAAAGATTATAAAGATTTTATCACTAAAGCAGAAGCAGAATATCAAGCTCATCAAGAAGAATTGCGTGAAGTAGAAGATTATTTAGATAAAAAACGTCAACAACGTTTAAAACAAATTACTTAATTTAGTTTTTTTTTGTATGTAATTCTGATTATTTTGCATTAGATGATTTGTTTTCAAAAATTAAAAAAAGTCGATGTTACGAAAAATAGATATCGGTTATATTTGACTACGTTCTTTTTTCCAATAAACTTCAGATAAATGTCTTCGAATGAAAACAATGACAATTTTCCTCCGGTTGAAGCACAAGGTATAGAAATAAAATTAATATATTTCTTTTAACAAGTATTATTCTTCTGTAGGTAGAAATGGAGATCCTCCTGCGTTAGGTTTTGAAGATGCTGTTGAACAACAACCAGATTTAGATGAAGAAAACAGAAGACGTTTTCCACAGATACCACCATTAGCATTGCACCCATGGGAAGGTATTGGACAAGAAGTCATCGGAGAGGAAGAAGATGATGACAACGATGAGGTACAAGAAATGAATGTTTTTGAAAATAATCTAAATCATGAGCACGAACAACTCAATCGTTTACAAGGTATAGCGACAAAATAATTTTTGTTTTTTAATTTAAGTAATCATACATGAATTTACATAGAACAAATACGCAATATACAAAGACATTTATTATTCGATTTAAATAATCAACGCGAAGATCCAGAAGATATGAATAATGATGATGATGATGATGACGACGACGACAATGAAGATTGGGAAGACGCAGAAGTTGGTAAGATTCAATTTAAAAGTATGATACGGATAAATCAGCGTCTTTTTATTTATTACGTTTGATATATCAGCAAGTAGCATATCATATGAGATCAAACTTGATCCTATATGATCGAAGCTTTTAGTTATTAATGAAAATTTCTTGAGTAGAATAGCAACACGTTCATGAAAAGAAAAAGAGAAACAAAACTTAACATTTACTTTCTATTTTAAGCATCGTCAGGTGAGGAAAATCCAGCGAGTGCCGTAGCTTATGATCGTCTATTGCCAACAACACATTCATACATGAATGTACAAAATTTTCAAGAATTTAGTGGCGTTTCTTTATTATCTGATGATCGTCGTTCTCTTTTGCATATTGTTGAATTAGCAAACATGATTTTAATACCAAATCAAAGTGTTCCATGGCAAGTCTTTAATACACGTACAACACGTATGATTAAAGAAGCTAAACAAGAAAATCGCTTATTTGGTGTTATTGATGCGTGTTCATCATTATTAACCAATGATCCAAAATATGGTACAACAGCTGAAATTGTTTCTTATTATGAAGAACTCAATGATGAATCATTACAATTAAAAATCATCGGTCGACAACGTTTTATTATTGATGATCCATCAACAATGAAACGTGATTTAAATGGCATACTTCGTGCATATGTAAGAATTTTACCTGATTTGCAATTAAAACGACCGCCATTACCAGTTATAAGTCAAAATTATATGCATACCATTAATTTCGTATTACAATATGATCTTTGTTTACAACGACAAAAACGTTTAAATCAAAAATGTGTCAATGATAATGAACATCAAACTATTGGATGTGGACAAGCATTAATTAATTTAATTAAACGAAAACGAACAACATCCTCATCATCAATAACTTCCCATGATTCAAAAAGTAGGCGTAAAATATTCGAATCAATTCTAAAATAAACTGCTTTGATTCTGTTATTTAGGCTTAGTACTACCGAACCTTTCAAAACAACATTTATTTCGTATGCGTTCTCGTACATCTCCTTGGTCTTTGACACCTTATCCCTATTGGGTTATACGTCGATATGATGATGTATATATAATGTCATTAGTAAAAATTGAATTAAATAATACAATGATAGCTAATGATGATGGTTCGTTACCTGTAACATCAGATCGTTTTGCTGATTGGCTATTAATTAATATTCCATTTGAAATTCAAACCGTACAGAAAATTTTATCATTTCCTACAACTATTCAAAGATGTGAGTGTTTATTGTTATTAATGAAAATTAAGGAGAAAAATGAATTCTATTTGTCTTTTATTTTAGTGCGTTTTGTTTTATCATGGCTTAGACGTTATAAGAGATTTGCTTGTCGTCATTGTGCAGCAGATATTTGCGAAGATCGTGATATATTTTCAATGTCTGCTACAGGATTAATGGCAGCATACGTTAACCCACATGGACAAATTCATGAAACATTGACTGTTCTACAAGCAAAAAATATTCGTCTACTTGGTCATGAAGTAGCCGAACATTCATGGTTTCCTGGATATAAATGGACAATAGTTCAATGTCGTTTATGTAGTAATCATCTTGGTTGGCGTTTTCGTAACCCATCACTTAAACCATCAACATTTTATGGTTTAACACGCAATGGTCTGATTTTTACGAAGAATACAACAGAAAATGATAAAGAAGAGGAAATAGAAGAGTCTAGACCAAGACGACAATCGATAGTTGATGAAGAATAACATCAAGTGTTTTTTATGTAAATAATTTATTGTATATTTACCTGATTTTTTTATGAAATAAATCATAGCCTTAAGCAGCCCAGTAAATTTCTTCTCTATTTCTTATTTGTGTTTTATCATAGATATATGCATTTTCACGTAAAACTACGTTATATAAAAATGACTCGTTTAACCGATAGATGGAGATAGTTATCGATTCAAACATGTAGTTAGTTTTTGTTTTTGTTTTTTTGAATTTATTTTCTTATTTCTTATTATATCTTGTAATAATTTTTATTTTACTATATAATTCTAATTTTATTTCAATTTTTAATTGGTATACTTCTTATTTGTAAAACGTTTTTTGATTCGTTAGTCGACTGTGTCCATTGTATGATCGATAGTATTGGGAAAGGGACAGTACTGTTTACTTTTTTTTCTCTTTCTTTCGTATTACTAAGATAAAAAATGCTATCTTTTGATTTCTCATTAAATTTTGTTTTAGTTTTTAGATATTAAATTTTCTAGAACATGTCCAACTACGGTAAAGATTCTGGTGGTGGTGGTGGTGGTCGAAGTAGTTACGACAATAGCAGGTAGTTCTATTAACATTGTTTTAGTTGACTTGACTAATTGTTGGTTATTATTTATAGTGGACAGAAACGAAACTATTCGGAGTACAGTGGACGTGGCGGTGGAGGTAAAAAACTTTTTTCATGTCTTGTATGTCGGTTTTTGGGACTTCAAAAATTGACGCTTCATACAGGATGATGATTGGCACCAGCACACACTTTGTCCTCTGTGCAGGTTCTGGAAATAGCGGTGGCTACAGTCGTGGCAATGATGATAATGGTAGTAGTGGATATAATCGTGGTCGCAACGACTATCAAAGTGATGATAGAGGTGGCAGTGGATATAGTCGTGGTCGTGGTGATCATGACAATGGCGGTGGTGGTTTTGGCGGCGGTAGTGGAGACTCAAGTATGGAAACGCAAAGAGATACAATCTTCATTCAGAACTTACCACGTAATGTAACTACTGAAGAACTTAAAGAAGTATTCAGTCAAATTGGAGTAATTAAGGTAAGATCTCGGTATTCTCATAGTTTTTGAACATCACATTGATACTCCTATTTTCTCTCTCATAGAATGATAGAAAAACAGGATTACCGAAAATTTGGCTTTATAAAGACAAGGCAACTGGGGAGGGTAAAGGTGAAGCAACAATTACATATGAAGATGAAGAAGCAGCACAAGCTGCCATCAATTGGTATAATGGTAAGATAATGTTCATTATGCTTTCTTTCGTAAATTATGTCTATTGTTTGATAAAAATAGATAAAGAAGTTCTCTCAAATATGGTAAAAATCTCATTAGCTACTCGGCGTGCTTTTGGTGGTAGAGGTGGACATCGTGGCCGTGGTGGTGGTGGATTCCGTAGCCGAGGTAAACATAAATGGAAAATTATTTACTTTTTTTTCTATATTACCATATATTTTTTATTTGATATCGTAGGAGGAGGTGACTTTGGTGGCTACCGTGGTAGAGGTGATTATCTTTGCTTCATTTATCATTAATCGAATTGTATTTTTTTTTATATTAGGTGGAGATCGTGGTGGTGACTATCGAGGAGGCAGTGGCGGAGAATATCGAGGCGGTGGTCGTGGTGCAAGTCATGGTTCCAGTAGAGACAATCGCTCTAATCCATATTAAAAAAACACTTTCTGTTCCAGAAAGCAGATTGTTCCAGCTACAGAGACAAACATTCACCAGCAAAATGCAGAATGTATCTATTTTTGTTCTTTTCTTGTTGTTTTCTTTTTCTACTGCTACTTCTCGAAGGTATTTCTTGATGACGAAAACTTTTGGTCTCGTTTTTTTCTCTTCGTACAAGTGTTTGTCTTTGTCTTTCTCTTAAAAAATATATGAAACAAACAGAAACAACCAATGTGGTCATCTTGTATTTTTCTTTTCTATAACTGTCAATATATATATATGTGTGTGTATGGCAACAATAAAAAAAACCGCTGTGTATCATCTGTTTGAACATCTGTTCATAGTAGAGATATACAGAAAGTTAAAATGTGCAATAAAGGGAGTATTGGATCATCTTAACTGTATCATGAACAGAAAAGAAGGAATACATTTGAAATTAAAAGTAAATCAGCGATATGCTTAATTTTACTAGGAATCCTATAAGTATAAAAATAAGTTTTCACTATATATAAATCACATTTACGTTGTATGCATTGAGAAATAAATTACCGGTTGTTAATTGCCTCTGATTTACATTATACTGATGTTTCCGTGACTAATACCAGTGAAATTCGTTTTATTCTGATAGTGTTTACGTTTCCGTTCTCATTTCCTTGTTCAATTATTTTCTAGCTTGGAAACAAGAGTCTGACAGAATAAATATTAATATAATTCCCATTAACTATTCTCACTTCTTCATCGAACAAGACAATTTTGACTAAAACAATCTACTTCTCAGTGTTTCTTATAAATTCCGCTGTTAATGCTTTTTAAATTAAAAGAGTTTTCCAATTAGACATGTACGCAAGAAATATATGTACCGAATGAACATCCATAGTGTACACAGTTCGATCAGACAATAAGGACAAATGTATTCTAAAAGTTTCAGGTGTCTTCAGAAGATTTCAATAATATTTTGTAAAATTTGAAAATGTTTCATAAAAATTCAAGCTTAATACATATCTACATCGTATTCACTCGAATGTAAGTCGTAGACACGGTCACCATGTTCAGAAGAAAAATTTACGAAAATTAATATATATTTGTCGAGAATATATTATTCTACTTGTTTTGTGTGTCTATTGTAATCTTCCTCTTGTTCATTTACAAGTTCTCGAAACTGAATAATTGACAGCTACGTAACAGAATTTTTAACGAAGAAGACTAGCAAATGAAAAAAAGTAATAAACATAAACTAAGTCATCATCACTATTTTACTAACTGTTTTTATATTTGTGCTTACGGGATCGACAACAAGTTTGTTTACACATGTACGAAAACATAAATCGGTAGACAGCATATAGTTGAAATTATTGATTCGAGAGATTGCTGTGAAATCTAGTAACGGTATCATAATAGAATTTTGAATAAAAACTGAAGCATTTCTTCAACACACATACTACTTCGCAATGATTATTACTTTATTTATAATAGTCTATTTTGATCTATAATGATATTGGACTGATCAACAGTTGACATCTAAACTGGACAAGGAAGGAGGAAATATTTTTCACTTTTCTATCAGGTGAACTAATATTGAATACCAAACTATCTATAATCAAAATATGCAAACACATAAAGACTAAAACTTCAGTTTCTCTACACATTTTTTTCAAATGCCAATAACAAATACGTGTGTTTCTTTTTCCATACGCAAATCATTTCCAAGGAATTCGTGAAGAATGGTCAAACTGTTCGTTATTCAGTAATTTAAGAAAAACAGTTGCTGTCATTAATGGTTAACTTTCTCAGTGATGATGAACGACATCTACTAGTAATTCTTTCTCAACAAAATTAGAACAATGGCTCGAATAAAATATGATTCAATCAGAGTAGACTTGGTGTATGCTTTCATTTTTCTGATAACTATATTCTGTACTGATATCACTCATGATTTCTACAATGATGAAAAATACTAAAACTAACAGTAATTTGCCTGAATCAATGCAACATATGATTACACCACAATACGAACAGATTGTCAATGAAATCGAAAATATTTATCATCATCCTGATATAGGTTGCTCGTTGTTTTTTGCTATCTTATTCATATATTCATTTTTGAGATCTTTATTTCTTAGGACTTATTACAATTGCTCGTTGGCTTAATCTATCTATCATGGCACCAAATAAAAAAATAAGTATATTACTGATCGGCAATCATAGTGCTGGTAAATTGATCTAATTTTCTTTGGGATATTGATAATCTAGTTGTTCTTTCGAAATAAAAAGGTAAATCATCACTTGTTAATTGGTATATTGAAGATAATGTTCAACGAACCGGAGTAGCTATTGAAACTCAAGGTAAATTGATCACAATAAAATCATAAAAAGTGATAATTACAATACACATTCATAGGTGTGTCTATTATCACAAGTGGTAAACGACGAGAATCACTTATGGTAGAATCAAAAGCAAAGAAATTTTAAAAAGTTAGAACCATATTGATTTAAATGTTTAGGGTCCAGCCACAATGCGTTTATTTCCATATCTTAATGCTTTGGGAAACATTCCTGGTCAGTTATTTGTTCTTCGTATTCTTCTTATAATATCTTTAGTTTAGGTCTTCTCAACTATTTAACTACGGAAATATCATCATCGAAACAGAAAAAATTTCCACTTGTTTCATTTATTGATACACCCGGTCTTGTTGATGGTACTATGGCATATCCATTTGATGTTGATCAAGCAATTCTTTGGCTGGGTTTGTCTTTCAAAATTTTTTAAAATTTTCTCATAGCAAAGCAAAATGAGATCTTTTTAAATCTTAGGTGATTATGCTGATCTCATTTTTGTTTTGTTCGATCCGATCGGTCAAGCGTTATGTAAACGAACATTGACACTGGTCGAACAATTAAATAAATTAAATCCCGAAAAGATGCACTATTATTTAGCTAAAGCTGATGAAGCTGGTAGTGATCGAGATCGGCATCGTGTGCTTATGCAAATTGTACAAAATCTATGTCGACAACCGGAAATTTCTAAAACTAACTTTGATATGCCAACTATTTATTTACCAGATTTAGCTAAAGTAAAAAGAAACAAAGACATTAAAATCTAACAATGAATATTTTTTCCTTAAGGAAACACGTTGTACGAATCAAATTCATGAAGTCTGTTCAACAATTGATCATGCTGTATTCAGTGGTGTACAAAAATCACTCAATACACTAAACAATGATTGTAAACGATTGGAACAATGCATCAATGAAAGATTAGTTTTACACGAGTAATGAAATTAATCGTTAATTTAATTTTTTTATCAATGTACTTTGGATCTTGTTTTTAGAAAAGTTAAAGTCAAACATCGATCATGGAGTATTAAACTATCAATCGTTCAATTTATTTCATTGTTACTAGTTATACTTTCATCCATATTACTCTTACGACGTTATCTTGAAACATCACATCTTAAAATTTCCACGTTTCTCGATGAGTCATCAACTTCATGGCAAATCAATTCTACTCTGGTGAGACTTACCGATTCGTAATGTAATATTGATCTTCATATTGATTTATTTTATTTTTTTCAATTAGAATTCAATTGATGATTTTCTATTTTATCCAGCTTATTCATTACTATTCCTAACTATATTTATTAATGGAGTTATTTTTTTCATTGGACGTTTCATAAAAAAGTAAACTAATTCATTAAAATCGATAAATCAAAATTAATTCTTTTTATATATTTAGTCGCCAAAAAGATGTACTTAATGACCGAGAAAAAAAGATGTTTGTCGCATTTAAACATCATATTGAAGCAAATGTCAGTGTTAAACAAGTAAGTTTTGCTTTATCTTTTCTCTTCTGTTGGAATTTCATTTTCAATTGTTTTTATTTTAGAAAAATCTTTATGAATCATTTTTGGCTGAAGCAATTGATTAGACAGATGATAAGATATACTTGATGCTATATTTAACATTGATATTTATTATTATTCTATCGACATTTTGTCTTCCTTTTTTTCTTTTCTTATAAATCTTAATAAATAAATGTTCCAATTAACACTTACAATTGTATTATCGTGACTTCATATAAGCTTTTCTTTTCAAATTCGATTGATAACTCACATTTATATTTTATATGACTCGAAGAGATTCTTTGCATTTTAAATTCATATGAATACTTAACTATTTTTTAACATTACAATTGAAAACGTTTACGATGTTTTTTTTTTAAATGTGCAAGAAAATTTCGGTGGAATTTCTGATTCAAGTGTTTTTATAAGATGCCATACCTAACATAGAAATCACATAATTATTCTTGAAGCTATCTACCTATTAGGCGAAATAAAAGAAAGAGAAAAAAGTAAAGTCACGTTTTAAGATTGTTTTGTTTCTCCGGAACTATTATTACTTGAACGAATAATATCCTGCAAGAATCACATTCGATAAATATAATTATTGAAGTAAACATTTTTCTAATGAAATGATAAAATTCTAATCGATTCATATTAGAACAAAATAATATATAAATCAAGAGTACGATGATACACTTTTATTGTATGTAGATAATAAAAGAACGAACACTAATTTTTAATCAGATATTTCGTAATAGTTTTGTGAGAGAGGAACTTAAGAGAAATCAACCAGCGTTGTTTGACTTCTCTTACAATGACTGTACATGGATACTTGGTGGGTTTCATTTTACAATATTAAATTACTTTGCTTTTGTTTGATACATAAAAAAAACGAAACATTAATCTCGATAAGAGAACATGTAAGATACTACAACGAAAAATATAAGATAGCAACCTATCTGGCTATTCAAATAATATAGTAAGGACGATTAGTCAGTCTCGTTCAACCATATACAGATAGTGGCATCATTGTTTCATGAGAAACATTCAAAACTAATTTTCTCGATGGTTTTCGTATCATGGGCACATCATTTTTTATTTTAGGCCGATTTGATAATCGATTCGTTGTAACTACATTTGCGACAGTACTAGTTAACTGACTAGTATCCATTACTGGAACGGTCGATTTTTGGTGTCTTGATTCGCATAATAAAGTAGCTTTTACTGGAATATTAATAGGTGGTAGTACAAGTCGTTCAGATGGCATTAAGTCTGTGCGTCTTAAGTAACGAACAAGACTTGGTACTAAAATAATTTAAATAATAGTCATTCAAAAGTTTTTAGTAATAAGAGCTTATTACTTGATCGTTTTGGTGCTTGTTGTATATTTAATATTTCCTCTTTTACATCTTCAGGTGCAATTAAACCGGAACAACATTCTGGTGTTGTTGTCAAACTTCCAGTTGCATGAGAAACTAGCCGTCTCATTTTTGTGTACGGATCTTTTGTCATTGGTTTGATAAATTTTTCTCTTGCTATTATTTTATGATATTCCGCTTTCCATGGATGATGAATAGGCTGAGTCTCATAGGTTTCCTGTACATAAATGTTTGTACGATCGGCTACTCGTTTTGATTGAGCAGAATATCGAGATCGTAGTGATCTAAAATAATTAAAAATTAACACGAATAAAGAAATCTGATGTTTTCTTATTTATGTACCGTGGTTGTTGTATAGCATGTACTGCACTTTCTGTACCAGAATATAATGAATTAGGAGGAGTAACTGGGTGTTTTGGAGAACTAATTTTTATAAATGTCTTTGGTGTAAGTAATTTCGATGTTTTGTTTGACATCGGCTAATAGTCTGTCTTGATAAACGATACAAAGAAAAATATGACAATGAATAGATTAGTTGTTGTATTTTTTTATTTATAGAGGTGAAAATAGGAAAAGAGAGAAAAGGGCGAAGAGGCACGACATTTTATCCACTTGAGCATGTCGACAACTACAGCAGGGAAGGAGAGAGAGAGAGAAAGAAGAGAAACATTTGTGCTCTCGTCACTCTTTCTTTATCGCATCACATAACATACTTGAGGCACAAGCGATTATGTTAAATAATAATCTGCTACCGACAGTCACAACTATCAAAAGCTAAATTATTATTGTATCCTAAGGCGTCTAATCGAATCTAATAGTATTGTTATTCAAAATAATAACTCAGAGCAAATGCGCATTTTGGTACTTCTAATTACTTTCAAAATATGGAAAAACAACAACATTCAATTACATATACCACTCTATAATAGCACAAACGGCACTGTTATCCCGTCGTCAAGGAGCATTTTGTGTCTAGTCAACATGAAATTGAAGATAATCGACATGAATCTAAAGTGAACCGATATGTAATACACTAATTTATAGGCATAAATCAACAATGTGTCGTATCAAATCATGAGAAATAGTAACAACTCTACAAGTGTACTGTACGAAATTTTTATTCTACATTACGGATGAAGAATGGAAGTAATAGCTCATTTTTCGTACAAACTAGACACTTAAAAGAAATTGTTTTCCTATTTCAAACGGAAAGAAATTATCAGAGCATGGAGGAAAAAATGTTTTTCTTTCAGACATCATAGAGTTTTTATTGATTTTGCTTATAAACGTGCAGGCACATCGTAGAAAAACATTGGTATCCGTGTCATGTAGAAAAAATGCATCTTTTTGAAGAAAGACAGGAAGTTTTTATAATCAAAAAAGAAAACTAATTAGATAAATAAGTTTTGATTGCATATCAAGTCATATGAAAAATTATGTAATAATCATAACAATAGAAATTTTCTACACAAACATCCACACCATTCTCATCGACTAATATCTTTTGTCCATATTTATCAATTTATATAAATAAAAGAATTGATAAATATCCCTCTTCTTCATTATTCCTTCTGAATAAAACAGCTCAAAAAAAAAATAATCACATGTTTTAGATCTACATAAAATATAAGGAATATTATCTCGAATTACTTGACAAACAAAAACTGGTCGGATTCAATCGCTGTCAAGAAGCAAAATCTGAATTCCCTCTTAGCTACCACGATGAGTATGCATTAATACGATAAATATTTCTCATTTTCTTTTTGTTCATGCCTTTCGCTTTAATTCAGCCTAAACAGGCAACCGAATTGCAAGCCGAAGAAATTACAACGAGAAGATACAATATCAATGACAGATAATGACTATCTACTTGCGGAACTCAATGGCGAATTTGAATCAAGAATTTATTATACTTTTTCTGTTTACAGATGTAATAATTGATTGTATTTAATAATTAAAAATAAACTGGCAACATGAGTGTTGAGTAGAGAAGAGGAAGTTGTTTCATACTTAAAATATCTAATAGAATAGTGCAAAACATACTAATATAACTGACATTATATATGAACTAAGAGAAGGAACCACTTGATTTTAACATTAATATAGTAGCTGTTTTGTTTTTCAAGAAAAGATTATTTTTATGTCATTTTAACGCTATATTGACATACGGTCTTTCTATGTTGTTTGACTTTTATAGATTAATCGTGACCGGTTTTGAAGTTATTTCAAAATATTTCGTTGTCCAAAAACTAGCTCTTGTGAATTATGTGTAAAGAATCGTCGATGTAGCAACAATGGTCAAATTTAAGTTCATTCGCATTCAAAAATTCTTTTTATGCCAATTGTTTTAATTCGAATATAAAACTAATCTTGAAATCATAGGAATTGCTTCATATACATTTGTGTGTTAAAATAGTGTTTCTCTATATTAACTGAAGAATCCACCTGTTTCAAAAATATTTATATTTCAAAAATGTTTTGTTATTTTTGATAAACGAGGACAAAAAAAACAATCACTTCATGCTATTAGCTGATTTCCTCAGGAAGTATTTTTAATATGCTCACGATTGTTTAATTATAATATTCGCTATTCTTTTTTTCTGTAGGTAACTGCATGTACGACGGAGGCAATGATCAGAAACTAATGTTAATATTAATAAATCAATAAAAAATATGTTTAAGCAAGCACCTGATGTACACGAGTAGACTAAGAATGGCTCATTCTTTCAAATGGTACTCAGTGAAGACAGAGAAAATGCATATATATTTTGGTATAGACAATGATGCATGTACATCATGGTCAGAAATAATTCTAGAGCGGACTATTTTACAATGGAAATCTAAAAGAATACATTGATGTGATAAACAAACGTTTAGCAAAACGTCATCGAACATTAATAATAGTGAAGTACGTTTTTCGAATTAGTATTCCATACCGACCTCTAATTTGAAAAGAAAACGCACAACAATACTGAACGATGAAATGAAGTGTTCAAATATTTTAATTGCAAATTGTGATAATCCTAATATATCGTTGTTTACGAGATGAATCCTCTCAAATAAACGATACATATCTTCAAAATAGTTCAAACATGTATTTTATTTCTTGTTTCCAAAAAATGTGTTGATGCTTCCGATAGATACTAGAAAAGTTGAGTAATGAAATTCGACTTTGAACTTTTCATACGGATCGTCTTTAAAAAGAATACTTGAGGGTGTGGGTGTGTGACAGAAACATGAATCGTGTCAAAGATTTCTGCATTGGTAGCAGCTTTCACTTCAAGTGCTGAAAGAAAACCTTTTTGTTGATTTCATTCATAGATTCGTTTGAACTGATGTTTTCAAATGCATATAGTATCTCATTTTAAATACTTAGTTATAAACGATAACTTGACATAGATTAAACCATAAAAATATCGTTACTGAATAAAATCTAACTAACGAGAGTGGGCCACCAAGTGTTCAATCGCTTTTGCGTTGAAACTACTTATATTATGTAGTTCCCAAGGAGTTGTGAATACGCTAAAAATATTTTGGGCGGATAGCTTATTGTTACGAAAATAGGCCATTTTTATTGTATTTTTTAATTATTGCTGTAGCTCCCTTCAGGAACATTCGAAAATTGATTTTCGAATTTTAACTTGAGATTTTTTTGTAGCAACACATCTCAACGAGAGTAGTGTTTCTGGAATGCTTTTGATCATTGAATTTATTTGTTTCATTAAATCTGCTACTTCATTTGAAAGATGTACAATAAAAATTTCACAATGCCCGTGTCTAACGATAGGAATAGTAGAAAGGTCTGAAACATTCACAAGAAATTGTTCTCCTTAGCGAGTCTTTCTATGCAAAGTTTCAAGTCAAAATTTGAACATCAATTTTTTAATGTCCCTGAGGGGGACCCCAGGCACTCAAAATAGCTCATACCTTAGAAATGGCCTAGTTTAGTCACAATAAGCTATCCGCCCAAAATATTTTTAGCGTATTCATACTTCTTTGGGAGTTACATAATGTAAGCAGTTTCAACGCAAAAGCGATCGATCACTTTGTGACCTTTCCTCGTAAGCATACAAATAGTGAAAATGATATACCATCGATTTCATTTTGACTATTTTTACAGTTGAGTTTGAACAAATCCAGTAAGAATTGTAAAATAATTCAATTCAAAAATTCAGAAAACTAATCACTAATTTGAATGCATTGACTTTTGGCGAGAGGAAGATTCGACTGAACGACATTTACTCAACCTGTGTATGACCTTCTTTGCAATAGAAATAGAAATAGTACAAAAAATGAAAACTTCTCTTTTTCCTATTGTTTGAAACTTCTGATATTGACATTATGCCTATGAAAACATATAAAAATTTGACAATCGCTCTTGCTCATGAAATTGATTAGAAACTGTGACTAAATCATAAAATAGTGTGCAATATCAAATGATAAATGTATCCTTATAAACGTGTAATTAAGTGGATTGTATGTAATCGCAATTTGGATATTGTCATAGCCAATTTAATATTGATAGATCATGCAATAGACTCCTTTTGAGAATCAAATCTCAAGGTATGTCGTTATAATTAAGTTGTTTGGGTTGATTCATCATGTAATAAATAAGTTTATTGCATGTATTTTTTGCATTGGCTATATTTGCTAACACATAATAATCGAAGTAGATTTGATGAGTTTTAAAGTGACAACAACGATAGTTTTTATTTTCATTGCCGAATATATTCTACCTTTCATGATTAAAATTTTCATAGATCGTATACAAGACATGTTTTGTTAGAATTTTTTTCGTATTTTTTCTCATCTAGTCAGTTGAACTATAAAAATAAGCAGAGAATCAATACAGTTTTTAATCGTCACTCTACTATTTGTCTTGAACGTAAAAGTCAAATAGCAGCTAGATTGTATCGAATTTTTTCATTTGTCTTTTTATTTTCGGATCATCAAAAATACTTACATACAACAAGAAAGAAATATTGTGATTGGAAAATTTGCTGTAATTAAAACAGTATGAAATAGAGTTTTAGTTTTTTATAACCTATTATTAAAACATGATAGTATAAATTATATCTATGGTATTATTCTTCTAATATTTGTTACAAAAACCTAATCCAGTTAAAACAAGTGTATACTTGTAGAAGAAGAAGAAGGTTACTTTTTTTTGTCTCAAAAAATTTTGTACTCATTCACCGATATATTCTTGCAGCTATTGTGTTTTCATATTTCGCTTCGTGAAAGAAAGAAATGTCATTTATACTATACATCAATACTAGTCTTATTTACATACGATATTCTGAACTAATTAACTACTAGTGGTATATCGTATTATCACTAGAATCAGTCATTAAAAACTGCAAATAGGTATAGGCGAGTAAATGTATAAAAATAGGTTTAATTTATATCAGCAAAATCTATTATTGAGCATGAATGAAAATAAACATATTTTCAAGGCAAGCAATTTTTCATTCTATCTTACCTTTGACTTACACACTCATCAACATGATGAATGTTCACGTCTATATAGGTGAATGACTGATTGAATGATTATGCAGGTGATGTGCATCTCAGTTACTGATATGTAGAAACATTTGACCTTCAATCACAATCATTCGTAGTAAGCGTGTAATTTTTTGTCTTTAGTTGCGCACGATGCCTAAAACTGTGCATACCGATACAAAGCAGCGTCAACGGAAAGCATTGATAACAAGAGAAAAAAACGAAAAAAAAATTCCACACCCGACTAAACACCACGTACGAAAGAAAAGAGACACCGTCAACTCATTCTCTATTTGAATATAAAGTGGTTTGTATTATCTTGATATTGCACAGTAGTTTTTGATCAAGATATCTTTCTTTTATGTGAGAAAAGAACAAATAAACATGTTGTCAATAACAAATCAGGCTCTCAATTAAACGTTATGTTAATCTTATGTTTATCTGTAGATAATATTTTTGTTAGCAAGAAGTGATAATATACTAAGAAAATGTCCTCTCAAGAATCGTCGTCCTTCTATCAAAATAGTTCTGGTGAAAGTGAACATGGAGAAGGTGAGTTTAACGTATATTGTTTAGAAAAATTGTTTAAAATGCATACATAATCCACTTTTTTTTTGACTATGTTAGGTCAATATGATGTTGCTTTTGGTGGAAGTTTACGAGGTGCAGCACAAGGTACCTATTCGGGTTATGAATCCACATCTACAACAGGTTATGGTGAAGCAGGAGTTGCTGAAACACTTCTTGCTGGCAGTGGAGGTGCACGTAGTGAATATCACTCGTCATCAGTCTATGGTGGATTCGGAGCTGGTACTCCAGCAAGTAGTAGTGGCTTAGAAACTGGTTTAGAACAGCAAAATATTTCGAGACCATATCTAACCACTAATGGTGGTTATAGTTCTAACAATTTAAAGCAGCAATCAATATCATCAGCAACATATGCAACTGATACTCAAGGCTTCTTTAAGGATCCTAATCCAGAAATTGTTCGGCGGCCAGCTCCCGGAGGTCCACAAACATATACTCAACGAATACTTGTTCGATTTTTACAGCCACCAGCGGTTCCTCCACCAGGCGTAAGTATATTATTAAGTCAAAAAAAAAAGATTCTATATTTATGAGCCAGTAAGAAAGAGTTATTTTTCAACGATTTCAGCCTCTCATTATCAAAGAAGTTCGTCCACCACAACCACCTCCACCTCCACCACTTTATATACGTACGTAGACATGTTTATTAAAAATCAAATGTTATGCATACATCTAATTACACAGGACAACGACCACCCCCACCACCGACATTACCACCAATTGTCATTCGTGAAGCCCCACCGAAATTGCCTCCAGCAGTAGGCACACAAGGTACAAGCAAATGATCAACGATTGTTAGATTTACAAAAGTGAATGTTTATTTTTTGTTTTGTTTCTCAGTAATAACAAAGATGCTACCAGCTTTACCGGTACCACCTCGTTCAGTCATTATTGAACGTTTACCACCTTTGCCATCTAAACCACGTGATATTGTTGTCGAACGTTGGCTACCATATCGAGCACAAGAGAAACGTCGTGTGATTATTCAACGAGCTCCACCACCAGTCGTACAACAGCCGCGTAACATTATTATTTAGTATGTATAAGACATTCATAGGTTGAATGGCACTTCTAACTATTAGGGTTAATGTTTAGTTATGAAGCACCCAGTACTAAAATTGTTCGTCGATTTGAAAATTTGGGTGTTCAATCTGCTAATCCAGCTGAATATGTGGCACGTTATGGTACTCAACTAGAAGATTCTCAAGCACTTATTACACAGGCTCGACAAGCTGGTGTTGTTGAGGATATTGTAAGTCTGTGCCGACTTACTATCTTTATATTATCCATCGCAAAAGAAATATACTAGTCATTGAAAAAATTGTTTTTTTCCTATTTTTAGACACCCCCTGCTGGTTCAGCATCAAACTTCCAATCGTCGAGTTATGAAAGCTACCAATCAGGTGGTGCTAATGCTAGTTCTGTTGGTTATGATGTTGTCTCGTCCTCAACTAGTGGTTACGGTGTCAGTGGCGGTCTCACAGCACTCGGTGATGCTGGTCTAAACTTGAATAGCGGTGCGGGTGGAGTCTTATCTAGTGGATTTGAATCATCTTCATCTTATAATGCAAGTAGTGGTACTGGTGGTTATGCTGGAGGTCTAGGTTCATCATTTAGTGGGCTTGGCCTTGTTGAAAATGCAAATAATGTTACGGATGGTAGCAGTAGTTATGAATACTATTCATCACAACAAACGATTAATCAATAAAGTCAATTGACAATTTTCCATTTGTGACATTGATAAATGAACACTTATACTTTAAAGCAAACGAAGAAGAAAAAGCATACTTAATACTCTTCGCTGCTTATTCGATTACTGTAGAATTTATTGTCTCATTCTTGTTTTCATAAATATCTACGTACCAATTACAAATAATTGAGTAGTTTAAATAAATAGATTCATTTCTTAGATAATGAACATCCAATGTATTTATCTCATAACAAATTATACAGTAAATATCATAAGATTTGAAATATGATTGATTTTTAAATTTCTTACAAGGTGCCTTCCTTCCCTTCCCTCTATCAATATTTAACTGTTGCCATTGTATTTGTCCGTTCGTTAAATGTATTGAACCAATTGCGTAGTAGCGAACGAACAAATGACAAATCTTTTGTTATATGCGTAATCATTATAGTCATCATATTCTAAGTAATTCTTCAATTAAATCTGATAAAAATGGCAGAATATCATCATCGAGATATGCGATCAACTGTAGTCAATAAATCGCATCGTTGTATCAAGGCCAAATGTAATCGTTCATTGCCATGGAATCATTCCACATCGTATAGTAATGGTTTGTGTGAACGACATTTCTTTTCCATAGATCTTCCATCAAGTGATGATGATGATACTAATAGTAATAATAATTTAATTGACGAGTTAAAAATACTGTCGAACAAAAAATGCATCTATTCAACGAATAATCAATATCAACCGTTACGCGGTGATATTCGAAACACGCGTGAAATTTTTGATGGACATCAATGGTAATTAAGTTGTTTTTAAAATTTATTTATTCTTTGATATTAAATAAAGGTGCCTTATCGAACAAAAAATTGATTATATATCATCGACAAGTAATAAATTAAATCATTATAAACAAATAATAATTAAATAATAATAAAATAAAAAAATATTTTCTTTTGAAGGTAATAGTCACTTTGATTTGTTGACGACAAAAATTAATAATGAAGAGAATTCATTTCAAATTCTTCGTTTATTATCAAATTATCAAATTATTCAAGATGAATTAAAAGTAAATATACGAATTGAACAAAATATTTCTCGTTCTAATCATTCGTTGTTGTTTTGCATTATTTTTAGAAACGACAAGAAAATAGTTAAACTAAATTAATGTTTGTTCAGATTTTATTTTTTTTTGTAAATACAAGAGATTTTTTTATAGAAATCAAGTGAATTATATCAGATGATTTATATTTTCTGTTGTAGATGCCTATTAAAATAAATGGATGAAAAACGAGTGCAGAGTAATTAGTTTTTTTTTTGGTAATTAAACTTGTTAAATAAAATCTATTCTTTTGAATTTAAAGAACTTATAAAAGAAGCCGAACGAATTCAACATTCTGTTTCACGAAATCCAAAAGAAAAAATTGATATCTATCATGAAACAGCTGAAGCATGCCGTTCTATAGGTAATTTTTTATAACAATAATAATGAGAATTATATTATTACTAATATTTTCACTCCTATAGGAAAATATGATCATGCAATAAAATATTTTACACTTGAATTACGTGAAGCACAATCAGCTGATATACGAGACGATATTCTTTATTGTCATCGATTTTTAGGTGAATGTTATTTCGCTAAAAATGAATTTGCTACAAGTGAAAAACATCATCTAAATTTTCTATCATCAGCACAAGAATATATTGATGATGAACGCACAGAACAAGCTTATACATGTTTAGCACATACTTATTGGGTATGGTTAAGTTATTTACAAGATGATATGTTGCATGATACTGAATGTGATCAATTTCCACGTGAAATATGTAAGAAGAGTTTAGACGCAGCAAAAAATAGTTTATTAATGATTGAAAAACTTGATTATCAACTTAAAATTGATATGAAAGCAAAACAAAATATTAAAACGAAAGATATGGAAAAAAGACAACAAGATTTAGCTTTAAAACGTGTTCGGGCTTATATTAATATTGGTAAATGAAATAGTTTTAAAAGTTATTTTCATCGAAAAGAAAAATTTTTAATGATATTTTTAGCCAATGCTATGAGTGATAAATATACTACGGGTGACAAATCGGGTGCTAATCTTAAAGCTCTAAGTCAATATATCAAAAGTGCCATAGAATTAGCCAAGTAAGTGTAATTATTTTCCATCATAAGATGTTAGAAAGTAGAAATTAAAAAAAACGGGAATTTCACTTAGCGATAGGTTTGCCCATAAAGAAAAAAATTCATAAAACATGAACTATCTGATGTTTGTAGAAAAAATTTATATTATTCGACCAGATGAGTTCTAGACGTGTCATAAGCATCATTTGTATGAATCTTCTCTGTCTTGAAAACAATAAATTGGCTACATTATTATTATTATTATTATGATTGGGTAGAAATCAAATTATAAGAAGTGGTAACTTAATCGATTTATTGAGTTTTAAACTCTTAGAAGCGTTTATATGAATATTTCGAATTTTCCTATTAAAATTAATGCTTTTATCTGTAATATTAATTCATTTTCAGAAAACATCAATTACATGAAGAATTAGCACGTCTTCATTCATCCGTATCAACTTTCTACTTAAGTGTTCCTAATTTTCTACAATACAAGAAAGAAATTATTGCTACTATGGAACAAGCTTTACATTATGCACAATTAGCAAAAAATACATCTGAATATTTATCATGTTTACATGATATTGCTCAAGTAAAATGTTATCGTAGAATATTTTTCTTTTCAGAAAATAAAATAACACTTTTCTTTAACTAATTCTCTCTAGACCCTTCTACTATTCGATGATTATCAAGGTTCTAAAAGTTATCTTTTGAAAATTTATCGCTATCGAAAAAATGATCCCATCAAAGAAAAAGCTCGTCGTGATTTAGCTGATGGTAAAAATTATCTAATTTAAGATATGAGTAGTAATATTACAAGTAACATACGTTTTTTTAGTTCAAAGAATATTAACTGGTCTTCAAGATCGATATGAGCAAGAAACAGATTTAGCAAAAAAAATGCATTTAGCAGAAAAATGTGCTGATACCTTTTCTCGTCTTAAACGAAATGAACAAAGTAAAAATTATTATTTAAAACAGGTAATATATCTAAAATAGTTTCTCTTCCTAAAACAAAACTGAACATCTAACAAAAAATATCAATCTCGTTTAGTTAAAACATGCACAAGAATTAAATTTAGATGAAAGTGAAATGGCAACTATTTATTCATCACTTGGCAGTATATGTCAAGACTTGAAAGAATGGCAAGAAAGTATTAATTATTTTCGACGTGAAATGAGTTGTCGAATTGGTTTGGGCTCACGTGCTGATGTTGAAGTATCCTATTTCAATTTTTTGTTTTTATTTTCAAATTAAAATTTTGTTTACTTTAGCAAGGATATTCTCTTTGTGAAATAATTAAATGTGAATATCGTCTGAAAGTTGATCTTGATGTACGAATAAAAACATTCGAACGTGTTTTAAATATTGCTCGATCAGCAAACGATCGAAGTTTAATGGTAAAATTTCAGTTGTTTCATACTTTACTTTATCATCGATCATATATATATATATATATATGTATATGATTTTATTTTGATATAGAGAATGGCAATTTCACTTGTATTTGGTATGAAACTACGTGATTCATCTATACATTTAAATGATGATTTAGAAGAGTTTATGGCTAATGTCCAGCCACCAATAACAAAAGAGAATTACAGTGAAATTTTACGTCGAGCAGAACGTACGAATAGTGAAATAACGGATTCTTTACAATCCAATGATGATGAAGACGACGAAGAAACTAATGCTAATGGCAGTGATGATGATGATGATGATGATGATGCTATTTTAGCAACACTATCCGATGAAACAGACAATGAAGATGAAAATGATGAAAATGATAATGAATTAGATATGACGATACGCAGTAAAACTCGGCAGGTAAATAATTATTTATTGTTACGGACAACACAAATAAGTGTTTCTTCTTTACTACAGAGAAAAAAAATTTGGAGAAATTGTTATGGTGAAAGTCGTTTACATTTAGCCTGCAAAGAAAAAAACGGATTAAGAAAAGTGAAACAATTTATTGCTGAAGGGGTAAAACTAAATTATTATCATATATCGATCGATCTTATTTCTATGCATGCATCAACTAGGATGATATTAATCTACAAGATAATCATGGTTGGACACCATTACATGAAGCAGCCAATCATGGACATGCTGATATAGTTCGATATCTTCTTGATTGTAAAGCAAATATCAATGTAAAAGCAAATAATGGAATAACTGCTCTTATTGATGCTTGTAATACTGGATGTTTTGATATTATTGAAATATTGCTTTCGTATGGTGCAAAAGCGAATATTCGTACGAATAATGTCTGTTGATACTGTACTACGTATTGTGTTTTATTATAATACAGAAATGTTGACTATTTCAGGGTTATACAGCCGTTGATTATTTAACATTATATGATGAAAATATGTCACCAGATGATCGTCGAAAATTTAATCGTTTAAAAGAATTACTCTTAGCTGCTATGAGAAGTAATCAGCTATTGCTTTCGATCGATAGATAATCGTTTGATTTCTTATATTTAGAGGATGAGCCAACTTATTGTACGCAGAAAGTTATTCGTAGTGATTTTGGAAATGAAACAGACGAAGAAGAAACGTATGAATAATTAAGACATAAAATAATTGTTCTATAACACACTAAATAAATAAAACCTTTTTTGTTTTCTTTAAACAGAACACTTACAACAGAACAGAATTCAAATAGCAATGATAGTGTGGATGGTATTGTAGAAAATGATATTGATAAACGTCCCAAATATAAAAATATAATGAATAATATTCGACGGGGAATTCGAACAGACGATGACGAAACAGCTAACAAACAAGTACGTTTTTTTTAAATCGATGTATTAGCAGGTTTTCTATAGTAAAAAAATGATTTAGTCACCTGTAAAAAGAAAAAAAACTAAATTAACACCATTTATATCTGATGCTGAATATGAACGAATTAATACAAGTGAAAAAAATTGGGTTGTCAACGATGCAGATCCAATTGAGGCTGACGATTCATCTGTTTCTACAAAAACGCGAAAACAACGTCTTCAGCGATCCCGTTCGCCATCAGTGTCATCATCACATACACCAGCACGTAAACGAAAGCGAACAATGACTGACACAAAATCTCCTGCAAAAGTATCTGACTTGACATTTTCATCTCTTCCACAATCATCAAACGATATGGATCTTGCTACCTTTGATGATTTGGATATATTTTCACCATTGAAAAAAGAATCACCTCTACCATCTCATCCTACTCCATCTCTGTCACCAGTTCTACAAATAATGACCCCCAAATCAATCGGCCGATCGCGCCATCCATCATCAACATCATCCACAAATACAATAGCAACAACTATAAGTGTACCACCTTCAATTTCGCATGATCCAAGCACGAGAATTATTCGATGTTTAGCAAATACAACTCAACGAACAAGCGAAGATAAAAAACTTCGAATACCAATGTAATATCAATCAAAATCTTTGTTTTTCTTCTAAATATCTAACAGATTTCTTGTTTTTTTAAATTTTATAGGTCACCATCAGCTACTCTAACTAGTCTTCGCTATCAAGTTCTCAAACGATTACATGATAATTTTCATATTTATGCATGTTCTGTGATACTCTATGATCGACAAGATTGGGAATTAGGCATGGCCGAAAGTGATACCGTCCAATTAGCTATACCAGTCGATGAAACTGATGTACGTTGAAATCAATGATTATATTATTTTAGAAATAAATTTTTCAATATTCTATATTTAGATAAAAGCAACTTACATTGAAAAAGACCCAGTTCTTCTATATGAACAACTTTGTAAAATAAATAAAATTGGTGAGAAAGTCATTTTGTTTTTGTAGAGTATTTTAACTTAAACAATTGAATTTTTGTTACAGCTGCCTATTCAAATATTCGATCGGCATTAAAAATGTTTTTTGATAAATTTGAATTATCACTTCAACGTTTAAGTTTGAGACTAGAACAAACTATATGTATATTGCAAGTATTCGAAAATTTTATGTTTATTTATTCAATTAACTTATCAGGTAGTGATTATTGGCTTATATTTTGAAGAACTTTTAGAATTTTTATTCTTATTTTTCATTGAAGAGAATAGTCTAACTGATGGAATATTTGATCAATTAGGGAAACTGTGCTTAGATCATCTGAAATCATTGAATCTTTCAAAAAATAGATTTACATCTAATGGAATACGAAAATTATTTGAACAAAAATTGATGGTAAAAAAATGAACCAAGTCATTTATTTCTATTTCTATTTTATAATCTATTTAGAATAATTTACTTGTACTTGATTTGACTGGTAATTCAGACATTGATTGTGTTACATTAACGTTTATCCGAACTCGGTATCCAAATCTTACGGTGCATCATTAAACGGATTTACTACTATTTCTTTTTTTGTTTATTATGAAAGAGGACGAATTTTGTACACGCATATATCATATTGACTTTCTTTTTCTAGATATGACTTCTTTTTTGTGGCCTTCCTCACCATCGGCAACAGTCGCTGTTCTAGTCTTATTCTACTGTCTTCCTGTTAATTATGTTGGTTTATGTTGTAAACTTTACACTATTGCTTATCTTATTTTTATGGCCATCGGTTATCTATTTTCATCAAAACGATCTTTACGTCGTTTAACTCTATTGGCTAATAAATCATCTTATGCACTAGTCACGGGTGCATCAAGTGGCATAGGTGCTCAAATATGCCGTCATCTAATTCAACATGATTTTAATCTTATTATGGTTGCTAGATCAGAAACAAAACTTCATACATTGGCTGATGAACTTCGACAAATCAATGATAAAATCAATATTCACACAATTATTCAAGATCTTACTGAATACAATGCAGTTGAAAATTTGATCAATCGAATTGATACTTTAAAAAATGTTAATATTGATATAATTATTAATAACGCAGGTCGAGGTTGTACAAAACCATTTTTTCAAACATCAACAAGTGGCATGGCATACGAACAAATGATTGCTCTTCATATACGTGTTCCTACTCTTCTGATTCGTCACTATGTGCCTAAAATGCTTGATCGACCATCACGCATCGTTAATATTTCGAGTGAAATATCGTATATGTCATCACCACGTGCTGCTATGTATGCATCAACAAAAGCTTTTCTAACGCAATTAACTACATCTCTTGATTACGAAATAGAACAATTCAATGATAGCAATAGTAAGAATAATGTTTCTCTTTTATTGGCTACGCCTGGACCAACGTTAAATACAGAATTCGATCATCACGATGATTCCGTTGTATTTCGTCTTCCATTTGTAACTCTAACAGCCGAGCAAGTTGCTAGCCAAATTGTGGATGCTTGTTTACGGGGTGATCGTTTTTGTACACCCGGTTGGGCTAATCAATTGACCATTTGGTTAATGACAAAAGTACCGCTTAATTTTACACATCTTGTTTGTTGGCTTCTTTGGGCATCATGGTCTGAAGTTAAACAATGGCTTTATGAACGACGTCATTTGGTTATTGTTTGTTTTAATTTAATCTTTTTTCTTTTCGTTCTTACTTGCTTTCTTTTGGTTAAAATAGGTCGACAATTATATTATCGCTTCTTTTGAACGCAAATAAAAAATTTCTTTTCTAGATGGATAAAATTGTTGAAAATCTTAAAAAGCAATTGGAAAAGCCCAAAATTACAACTACAGAAGAAAATGGTAAGAAAACATTATCGTGCATACGTCTATGTTCGATGGTTGAATGCCATTTGAACGAGTCTTTTTGTTACAGTTGCGATTTAGCACCACTGAGAAAAAGTCTCCATGACAGACTTCAAATCTTTAATGATGAGGAAAATAGAGAGCAGTGGTGAAGATTGTTCGAATCAATTATTTATTTAGCTCTATTGTTAGACTTTGTTCATTGAGAATCTATTTACTTGAAAATTTCAAAATTTATTTAGTCTTATCCAATTTTTTTTAATACACTAAATATGCACTAAAATACAACCCGATAGCTTGTAATATGTTTTCATCAGGATTAACTTGAAAATTTTTTATTTTATTTTTATTCTTCTAGAATTTGATTTATTTACAAAATTTTTAAGAGAAGGACATGAAACGCCTCATCAAGATGCAGCAACACTAAATAAGAAACTCCATATACCCAGAGATGGAGCACTAGGACATGCTCATCATCATTTCACAAAAATACCAAAATTTTATGAAAACGTATGGCGAAAAATATTGCTCACTACTCGTATTTTATTTCTATCATGCCGATTATAGATTCCAACTGATCCACTCGGTAGAAAATTACGCGAAGAAGCACGAGCCTTATTTCTTCATCGAAAAAGTCAAGAAATCATTAGCAGTGATGAAGCAAATGTAAAGCAATTTAAAAATTCATCCAAGCAACATAGTTTATCTATTTATTTTTTTAGTCATTATTAACATTATTAGAAGAAAATGCTTCCGCTCCACTTGATCCTGAATCACCGAAAATAAATTATGATGATTTTATGCGAGTTGTTCAAAAAGCAACTCCAGCCATTGCGTATGTTCTTATCGAAATCATTCAATTTTTTTAAATCTTATTTCTTCTAGTAATCTTTTTCCACCAACAATTTTTGCTGATCTCTATCAAAATGATCCTTACGGTCGTGTACGTATACTTGATCTATATCAATATACGATGCGTAAAATGTGGTATCATCATTCTCGTATGGGTTTATCACTGTATGATAGCATTGGCCAAGGATATCTTCGAGAATCTGTAAAATTCATGTTTCTCTATCAATTTAAAATTTCATATTAAAATATTTTCAAATATTAGGATTTAGAAGATTATATATACGAATTAATTCCAACCATGCATCAATTATCACAATTACAAGAAACGTTTTATAAATTTTATGTTTGTACAGCAGTACGAAAATTCTTTTTCTTTCTGGATCCGTTACGTACAGGACGTATTGCTATACCAGATATACTTTGTAGTGGTTACCTCGATAAATTACTTGAAGTAAGGAAAAATTAAAAGCAAAAAAATGATGTTTTGATTGTTTTTCTTTTTGTTCTAGTTACGTGAAGAAGATGCTGAGCCAGATGATCTTGAACAAAATTGGTTTTCATGTCAATCAGCTTCAAAAATTTATACACGATATTTACAGCTCGATAAAGATCATAATGGTTTATTATCACGAGATGAATTAGCCAAGTAAGTGGTTATTTTTAGATATTTATTTATTTTTCTATATTACTTTGACTTAAGATATAATTCGAGTACATTGACACCTGTATTTATTATACGTGTTTTTCAAGAATGTTTAACATATGGTGGTGAAATGGATTATAAATCATATTTAGATTTTGTTCTTGCGCTTGAAAATCGAAATTCACCACAAAGTCTTCGTTATCTTTTTCAAATCATGGACATTGATAATAAAGGCTATTTACATCCTGGTGATTTAAACTTTTTTTATCGAGTAAATTTTATTTATTTATTGTTATATTTAAATTTTACCTTCTTATTTTTCTTTTCTTTTCTATAAAGGGCATGATTCAAATGTTATCCACAAGACCATTAACTGATATACCTCCATTTAATAATGTTCAAAATGAAATATTCGATATGGTTAAACCTGTTGATTCAATGCGTATTACATTAAAAGATCTTATCAATTGGTTCGTTATTAATTTAGATTAAGTTTTTTTTACATAATATCATTTATTCTAGTGGACAAGGTGGCTTAGTACTTTCAATTCTCATTGATATTGGAAGTTTTTGGACCTATGAAGTAATCTATAGAATACGACAGTTAGTTTTTATTTAAATATTTTTCTTTCTTTTTTTAGAATCGTGAAAGTCTTATACCACAAACATCGACAAAAGATGACTCAATTCATGTGTGATATCAATCAAACAAATCGAATGACTTTTTATTTGCTTGTCTTGTTTTTTTTTTGTTTACTAATTTTTGTTTGTTTGTATGAACTAATACTCAAAAGAATGAATAATTAGAAATGATTTATTTGTATTAAAAATAATTATTTTAGATAAAAAAAGCTATTCATGCTATGAATACAAGTCAATCATCGCTGTGCTTAAATCAATTTTCTTGGGAAGAATGGGATAATCAAATGATTGTTGTATTATATCGGTAATAGTTGAAGTTTATTTGGAAGGAAATATATTTTTTTACTTATGAAAACTATTAATTAGGTGTGATCGACGTTTTGTTGTTCAACGATATATTGAACGAGTTCTTGCAAATTCTTCTCAATGGCAACGATTAGCTAAATCGTCATTTTCATCGATAGAACCAATTGGTCGAACATATAAAATGATGGAAAATGAAGTTAAATTAATGCACAAGATATTTTCGTGGCATTTGAATGAAACTTTATCGTTTTCTATTATTGGTGAACGTGAGTTCAAATATGTTTTTATTCGTTCGATTTGATGATGTCATTTTCAATTAGTCGATCAGCTACTTGACTGGGAAGATTTACTTGATTTTATCGAACGAGCACAGATGACTTCAAAAAATAATAAACGAAATCAATCAAAAACAATAAACTCACCATCAATTGTACCGACTATTCCCGTTGGCACATCTGTACTAACAATGAAAATTTTAGAAAAAAATCCAATTACAGACAATTTACAAGCGAAAAAAAACGATTTAGCACCAATTAAAATGAATAAAAAAGGTATCCATATTAAAAATAATTAATCATAAAAACTTCATTTATTTGTATTTTAGTTCTACAACAACAACGTTCTTTTGATGAAAATACATTGTCGTCTTCATCTAATAATTGGATACAAATAAATAATATCTGTATTCCATATATAAATAAATCACAACAATCGCGTCTTCTACCTTATCAAGTTTTAGTCGATTGCGATTTACTCAATGAAAAAGATCAATCGTTTCTTTTTCATTTTACTACAAAAGCTACTTCTATTGATATTGAAAATTTTGAAAAAATTATATCAACATCATCTTCAATCGATTTTACGCTAGATAATGATTTAATACTTATTGATTTGTATCATTTAATATTTGGAATGTCAAAAGTTCTTTATGTTAAATTGCTCAACAATCAACGTGATGTAAATAAAAGCTATAAAACGTATGATAATTTGAACAAAATTTTAAGGATTAGTCTTATTTTCTACAAACGCTTATCAATATTTTGAAGTTATACCTGATAAGAGCATAATGAATATTTATTTTCAATTTTCTTTTGTATTATAGAGTTTTGGCACAACGTGGTGGTACTGTGCTTGTTCATTCTCGTTCAGTTCCGTTTATTACTGTTGGTAAACGTGATTGCATGTTGCTTGAATCATTATCAACAACCCTACAACTAACAGCAAAAACCATGTCTAGTCTCCGTCGGCATTCTCTACCTGCTCATTCTCATCAAATCGATTATCTGCGTCTGGTAGAATTTTATCGACGGATATATCAACAAGATGATAGTAAAAATTTAAATCAACAACAGCAATTACTTGTAAATATTGATGAAATTCAGAAATACGTTGATGAAAATGATATTATTATTGATATGACATTAGCACAATATCAACAAGTTGAATTTCAAAAATTAAAAAACCAAATAAATAAATCAAAACGAAATCCAACGAAACGCAAAGCAAACACCACTATGAATGAATTACAAAATAGAACAATAGAACTAGAATGAAGCATAATTTATATGACTTTTCATCTTGAGTTAAATGTTACGATACTTCTTTTTGTTTGATATTTATTTCGAGTCGAATGTCAGATATTGCATTATTGTTGTGTAAAATAGTTGTAGATTCAAACTCAAATATGTCTCTATATGATAATATTTCTAAATAATTTTCAACTTTCTAAAAATTTATCTGTAGCTGGCTGATTAAACTTGAAACGTTCTTAATTTTAAAGTATGATCATCTCACAATGACGAAATATGCACATTATCAAAATTTATTTAGCTGAACTATGATTATTTTTAACAGTATTGAATCCTAATTTATTTATTTATTTTTATTTCTTGTTCAAGACCTCTAATTCTCGCAAGTTAACAATCGAAACACTTTCATTCCCAATTATGCTTTTGGGTGTACGAAAAGAAAACATTATTGTTGGATATGAAGACGACAACCCGATCCCTCAATTCAAAGTAGCACACAAAACAATCATACTGTCTCTAGATTATTTTCGTATATCTTCCAAGTATTAGGACATTTATTCTGAACGAATTTCAGATAAATCTCGATGTTTTCCATCGACTATCATTATGTAACTATTAGCTCTACCTAATTATCATTTAGGCACGTGTATGATATGCAAACTGATGAAGCAAACATAGAGATGACGCAGTATTTACTGAGAAAAGAATGAGGTGAGAATAGTATTATGAGAAGATATTTCTAAGTTAATAATACATGCATATTAGAGTTGACTTTGAAATTCAATTGAATTTTTCAAAGTTAACTTCAACATTTTTACATAAGCACATAACAGGAATTAATGATTAAGAGGTTAATATTTTCGCTTGCTAATTGAGATTGCCATGATTTTTCATGTTTAACAGTTTCATTTAGATGGATTGCTGTTTGATTCTGCAAGGTTATTGTTTGTTCAGGAGCTACACGGTTGGCCGAGTGCAAACCTTCTAATGTATTGTGTTTGACAATGCTCAGATGAAATTGTGTCGATATGCCTGCATAAATCATTGGAATCGAAATCACCCATGTTTTAGCAAAACAAGCACAAATAAATGCGACTGCCGGTGGGGTACCATATCCTTGGCCACCAAACGCCACTATAAAAAAACGCAATTGCATATGGAGTCCACGTAACGACGAAACCCTACGTTGTCATAATAATGCCTAGTTAGAGATTAATAATAATAAAAACCGTTTACCTAATTAAATTTTTTCATTCTTTAAAAACAAACAGCAAAATACATTTATCTTCTAGAATAGCCATACTCGTAACACTCTCAGTGATTACATGCAACTGAATAGTATTCCACTCGTTATAATTAACAATCTGATAGAATAAATTTTCAGGTAATATTGAAACGAATTTTGCTGCTTCTCAGATTCTGTTCGAATGTAAATTATTCTGTATTTCTCGAATAAAATGATTGTATATCACAGAGACCAATATAATCTAACTAAATATGACTATACATATATTGATTCTAAGTAACGATAGCAATTGCCAGTACAGAAAATGCTTACTTTTGACAATTCGTCGTCCCATTTCAATTCATTTCGCGCTAAGTGCTGTTTGAATGCCACGTTCAATGTTCTCACGCATTCGTTTTAGCTCAATCAGTGTCATTGTATTGGTTGATGTGAGAATGATTAACCCAGATGAATGAATCCGATTGAATCTTATGAAATCAGACGAACCGAGAAAGTCCCATGGGATTCCGGGTTGAGGAACTACTAACGGATCCCTAATGTTGGAATCCGGTGAAGATCCGACCAAATCCAACAACCGAATTCGATAGGAATTTTAGAAGTCGGATTCCAACGAGGTCCTAAAGAAACCTATCGGGTTTTCACTGGTTCCTGCAAGAGTCGATCGGATTGCAACACTAGGAATCCGGGTGTGGGTCCGCAACCCGGGTTTGCTTAGAATCCTGCAGGAACCGATCGAAACTCGATCGAGTCCGGTTGGATCCAGGTATCGGATTGTTCGTCCTGGGTTATTATATTATACGTATATTTTATTTTTTAACTATTTTAGCTTTTATTCGTACTTATCATTGCTCAATATCACAGGTAAGTATTATAGTTTTAGTTTTTTTAATTTTTTTTTCGTTGTCTCAGCTTTTTACCCCATTTTGTTTATTATTATTTTAATCTTATATGATGATAATAATTGTTTTTATATTTTCATTTTAGTTTTAATTTTTTTTCTATTTTCTATTTTAGTAATATACAAAAAGTAAGTATTCTTTTAGTTATATTTTTAATACGTCTTACGGAGGCCTTCTATAGATCGGCATGAAACTGGCCAAGCCTATCTTGGTGCCCATAGCACGTACAGGCCGCTATATAGTTCTCTCTGTTGTATGTTCTATACACGTTAGATCTATGTCTGTACGTGAACAGCCCCGTTATACCGCATATATCCTGGTTCAATCAAAATATCTGAATAAAAAATTAATTTTTAATCATAGATTTTATCTAGAAGAGAATTTACTTCCCAAATATTTATCTTTTTCTCATAATATTTTATCTTTCTTTTAGAAATGCTTTTTTCACCGAGCACGTACATTTATTTGGCACCAGCTTTAATATATATCTGGTAAACTGTACTAGAGCGCGTTACAATCAATCAACGGTGATTTGATGATTCTTGGCCAATAGAAATGAATATCTGATCCTCTATTCGATTCTATTATTCAAACACTTACTAATGAGTTAATAATCAATTATATTTGATTGCGACCATCAAGCAGCCTTTATAATAGATGTTTATAACGTTACAAAATGAATGATTATTTTTTGAAAATATAATTTCTGTCGTGAAGCAAATAATTCGAACCAATCAACGATTGCCAAAGGTGCAGACAATCCGCATGTTTTTTAGATTGTCCTATTTAGTTAGGCATATATGGCAAATATTCATTTCATATTTGTAATAACTATGCATGATCTCTTTATTTTTATTTCGAGATTTTGAATGCAACTTTCTCTTTCTCGATATCAGAAAAAGGTATAATTTAGTTTAGAATTTTTTCGCTCGTCATAATATAATTGCTTTTAATGTTTATCCAAAGTAAAGAGATCTTTTTCTTATTTGATTAATTACTTTTCAGATCATCATGAAACTATTGGTACTTACTGCACTTGTATTTATTATCTATGCTGCATCAACAACATTCGCAGCTGACGATAATGTAAACTTTTTACGTCATTTTAGAATCTACTTATTTTTTCTGTTGAATTTTTGTCTCTTGAATTTTGTAGCTTTATGTAACAAAAAAAGTATACTTTGATATTGAAATTGGTGGTAAGAAAGAGGGTCGTATTGTTATTGGTCTATTTGGAGATGTTGTACCAAAGACAGCCGAAAATTTTGCACAATTAGCAGCTGGTACAAAGGGTTTTGGATATAAAGGTTCAAAATTCCATCGTGTTATTAAAAGTTTTATGATCCAAGGTGGTGATTTTGATCGTGGAGATGGTACTGGAGGCAAAAGGTAATATTTATACATTTGAATAAGAAGAGCCAATTATTATTTCATCATAATTTAGTATCTATGGTGCTAAATTTCCTGATGAAAACTTTAAATTACAACACTATGGTGCTGGATGGCTTTCAATGGCTAATGCAGGTTAGAGCATCGAAACAAAAGATACCTGCATATCTACTAGATATATATATATTTTCAGGTAAAGATACCAATGGTAGTCAATTTTTCATTACCACAGTTAAAACTGAATGGCTTAATGGTCGTCATGTAGTTTTTGGAAAAATTCTTGAAGGTAATATCTTTTTCTGTTAATTTATCATTATTAATTTTTGTACTCTCAAAAAAAACTAGGTATGTCTATTGTACACAAAATTGAAAATGCGAAAACAGGTGCCAATGATCGTCCAGCATCCGATGTTGTTATTGCTGATTCTGGTATTATTGAAGTACCGCAAAAAATTGCCGTCGAAAAAATGCCAGTTGATCCTAAAGTTTAAAAAGGCATGTTGCCTATTTGTTAAACATTTTTGTTATTTATCACTAGCTTCTTATGAATGGGATACTTCCTTTTTTCCTTCTCTTTATTCTGATTGTCGTGTTTATTAGCATTGTGTTTTAAATATATATATATATCTTACAAACAAAACAAAAAAAATCTGTTCTTTTTCTTTTTTTTCTTGTTCTGTGTACTCATGAAAGATGACTCAATGCAGATGATGCAATGTATAATTATATCTAGTGAATATATCTTGAGTGGTATTCTGAGGAAAAAAGAATTACAATTGAACTATTTCGCTTACAACTTTGGCAGCATTTTATATATTTGTGCTATTTTTTAATCTAGACTATAATTTTTCACTCGTTGTATTATATTTCAACAATGGATAACTCGACGAAATCGAAGCGTAATCGTGCAGAGAAAAAAACCAAAGAACAGCAACAGCAAAAACAAAAAGAATCAGAGGATGAAAGCATTAATGATCATGAAAATGTTTTTCATGAAGATTCTCAACAGGAAAAGGTTTCTTATTTGTGGTGCTTTGTTTATTACTGAATCTTGTGCATATGCGCGCTTCATTTAACTAATTCACTGGATTGCTTACTGTGCAATTTGAGTTATCTAGTTTGATTAAAATTAATATTATTTTAGAGAATACCTGAACCAAATATAGCAACAATCGTTCCTGTGACACAAGCAATGTCTTCCAATCCCAATCGTTCAGGATCTGTAGGTTCATCTGTAGCTTCAACAATAAATAATCCAAATTCTTCGAATTCAAATAAAAACCAACAAAGTCAAAAAATTAAACTTGCAGCACCAGAAGAAAAATCAGGTTTAGAAGCGAACTCAATCGGGGATATTGCAGAAATCAGTTAGTTGAAATTTGTTAATTTTCTAACAAAAATGAATTCATGTTATGTAATTGAAGCTGAACGTGTTGCAAATATAACTATTGAACAAAATCCAAAAGGTCCACCAACTTTTATCCAACCAAAACCTCAACAAACTCGTGCTGAACGTCGTGCTATTCAAGTCTATCTTTTTAACAAACATAATTTTATTTTTATTTGTGTTCATAACTTATATTCTAGGAAGCCCACAGAGCTGCGAAACAATCAAAACAGAAACCAAGTACAACTACTCAAAAACTCAATGAACCGTCACAAGCTGCAGGAAATGTAAAAAAAACAACTACTGATCATCTTTCTACATCAACTTTGTCAACACATTTATCAAGTAAAATTTGTTTTTAAATTTATTATTACTGTTGTTTTTGTCGATTGAAGTCCAATAAAAATTCTATAATGCTATTGCAGATAGAAGAGTTTTTTCTTCATGTTTTGCATTATTGACTGACTAGAAACGTGTCAGTAGTCTTCTTTTTAATAAATATTTCCTTTCTTATTTTAAGCACCTCATAGACTTCAATCTGAAGCTGGCGATTCAACACTATCAGTTATTTCAAAATCAGCAAGACCATCTACTAATGCAACAGCTATTGCTACTATTGCCACTACTGCTCTACCTTCAAATCAGTCTCAACAAAATCAACAACAGAAAAGGTTTGATGATGGACGTGTGACACTTTTTGCTCATCTTACAATTTATACACGTAATCTTGATCGTCTTGCAACAAAATCGTAAGAAGAAAAGAACATTTTATTTTCTATCTATCTTTTATTTTATGAAACTTGATTCTAGTGAGTCAAAATTAGTACATCCAGCTATTGTTAAGTTAGGTTTACAGTATGCAACGAGACAAATAGTTGGTTCCAATTTACGATGTGTAGCATTTCTTTTTGCTATTCAAAAAGTATTGCAAACGTTTCGTCTTATGCTTTTTTTTTAATCAATAATTATTGTTTCTATTTAACATTTTAGATGCTTGAAGATTATGAAGGTCCACTAGGTTCCAATAATCTATCTACACTTGATCCTGTTGATCTTAATTCAAGATTAAAAATCAATATTAAGTAAATGAATCTCAATTGGTTTTTTTTTTGTTTTTCTTTATGACTCTGAGAATTTATTTAGTTTTCTTACAAAATGTCGTCCAAATGCTGTAACCATGGGTACAGCTATACGTTATCTAAAAACTCATATTGAACGTATACCACGCAATATAACTAATGAAAAAGTTAAAGCATTACTTAGTGATGTTATTAAAAGTTTCTTACGAGAAAAAATTGAATTAGCTGGTATAGCTATTGCTGAAACATATGCTATTACAAAAATCACCAATGGAGATGTTATTCTCATATTTGGACAGTAAGTTAACCACTAAAATGTTTTATTTCCTCATTGGATTGAATGAAAAACAAAATATTTAGTTCTTCATTAATAATGCGTATTTTGGAAACAGCAATTAATCGTGGAATTAATTTTCGAGTCATTATTGTTGATTCTCGTCCACAAGAACATGGTATGATTTATTCAAATCAATTTTACATTTCTATTAGAATAAATTTAATTTAGGTCTTAAATCTGCTCGTAGACTATTGTCATTGAATGTGAAATGTAGTTATGTACTTATTAATGCAGTACCATTTATTATTTCTGAGGTTCGTAGCTTTTAATAGAATGATTCTACACGTTACACTTGATATATTTTATGTATAGGTAACAAAAGTATTGCTAGGTGCACATGGTTTATTAGGTAATGGCTATGTCATGAGTCAAGTTGGTACAGCACAAATATCTCTTATTGCTAAAACACATAATGTTCCTGTACTTGTCTGTTGCGAAACATATAAATTTTGTGAACGTGTTCAAACTGATAGTTTCGTTTTCAATGAGCTTGGTATAGTATTAATTTATCAACGTTTAAAATAAAGTCATATCTTATGTCATAATTCAGGTGATCCAAATGATTTAACTGTTAATCATTCATTGCTTTACGAAGCTATGCGATCTTCATCGTCAACAGCAGAAACTTCTAATTCATCAAAGTCAAACTTGAATATTCTTAATATGACATATGATGTTACACCACCGACATTTATAAGCGCAGTTATTACAGAATTAGGAATATTACCTTGTACATCAGTAGCGGTTGTCATCCGTATGCAGAATAAACAACTTGATGACATATGTGGGCAAGAGCAACAATCCATAGTGAAGACGACAACAGCAGTAACGACAACATCAAATATTAATATGTTTGCTACTCATTTAGAAACTGTTCAATAATAAAAAAAAAAGAAAATATTATTCTGATTGCTTATCTTTTGTTTGCTTCTCTCTTGTTCTATCGAAAAAAGAAACTATATACAACTATTGTTCTGATGTTTCATTTCTAACAACAGAAATCTATTGTGTATCAGTTAGTAAATGATAACTGAAAGAAAAAAGAAAAATATCTTTTGTTAAATGAGATCTTTGTATTTCTATTACGATATTAAACTCTGCTTTTTATTACATAAATACTAGACTGATTTTAAAATATACAATGGTGCGCTGGTCGAAACATAGATTGTTAAAAAAGCGCGCTGATCACGCATAACTTAAAAAATAAATCGCGATCGATAATAAACCAATAAACCATTGCTTTAGATTACTAACATTTTGTAGAAAAGCCTATAATAAATATCTTAGAAACCGGGCTACTAATTGGTGAATCCTATTGGCATCTATCAATGATAATATTTGATCATTTTAAATAATAACATCATATCAAAGTTGAATGTAATTAATTTAGTACACATGTAATATGTTGTTACTTAGAATGAATCATTCTGTAATTTACTGTTGCTTCATTACATTCTATTGCATAGCTGAGAATATTTTATGATGCAAGGCATCTTTCATCATCTTTTCGGAGTCAATAGCAGAGGCTTTTCTCAATTTGCTTTGTTCACTTTTTACAGTTGATTAATAGTTATTAATGCTGTTCTTATATTTGTTTTAGAGATAAGAATATTTTTACGACAATAAAATATGGATGATTTTCAATATCAACAACCTCAACATTTTCGAATAACGAACAAACAGCGTGAAGAAGAAAAAAAAAGAAAAACAGGTTCTTGCGGTGGTATTCCTGATCGGTAAAAGCAAACTACAAAGCTTTGTTTTGTTTTTTGTAATCATTTCTACAAATCGTTTTTTTCTCTAGATGGCTTGATTATTTAGGTGTTAATTTATGGATTGAAAATACTCGTTTCATTGCATTTAAATGTCCACTAAAACCGGTTCGTTAATGTTCTGAATAGATTATAACACTTTCGTGTATATATTTATATATATTATTATTAATTGTATAGGAAATGCAAAAGCATTTGACTGACGAACGACGTTTTACATTAGGTGATATTGTTGAAAAACTTGATGATCAAGGAAAAGAACTTGGCTTAATAATAGATCTAACAAATACTGATCGATACTATAAAGCGGCCGTTTGTTCTTTTCGATAAATATGATATCTATTTTCATTTTATAATAGGATATTGCTGATGCACAAATTCAATATCATAAAATGATGACACCCGGTCATAATCAAATTCCAAGTGAAGCATGTTATCAACAGTTTGTTAATGTTGTACGAACTTTTCTTGAAGAAAATAAAAATAATGGTAACACGATGAACATAAATGAACTTGATTTTGAGACTTTACTTTAGACAAATTAATTGGTGTTCATTGTACACATGGACTTAATCGGACAGGTTATTTAATTGTTAGGTAGACCAGTGCAACACAATGCTTTGTTAAATAAATGTCTTTAATTATACATTCTTAGATATATGATTGAACAATTGGACTTTGAACCGAATGAAGCTTTAGAAGGTATTAAATACAGAAGAAAACTTGCTCTTTTTTTTCAAAAATGAATTTTTTAGCATTTAATCGTGCTCGTGGTCATTCCATGGAAAAATATACTGAAGATCTATTAAAACGCAAACCACTTTCGTACGTAAACATACAAAAATTTAAATTATTCTAATTATTTTTGTTTCGATGCCATTTTTGTTCAGTAAAACTACACAATCAACTACTTCTCTATTGACTTCAGCTTCATCATTAGTATTAACTAATAATAATACCACCACAGTCAACAACAATAATAATAATAATGATAATAGCAGTGCCAATGGAGATCAAATACAATGGCCAACATTATATTCTACAATAGAAAGTATGTCATTAAATGGACGATATACACAAAAACAACAAAAATCTCAACCAATTCCAAGCTCAATATCAATGCAGGATTATAAAAATCCCGTTGAACAACAACAGATACGTTCAACTAGTTCAGCTTCTATGCGTCATGGGAACGATCTATTAAAGTCTCGAGGTCATGGACGTACAAATAATAGTCAACAGAATGCGACGAATAATCATTTCTATCGACAAACGTCAGTAACCCCTCGTATTTTAAATTCATCACACCGAGAAAATCAAACTTCTATTCAATCATCATCAACCTATTATGGATCGGGTAGTAATGTTGGTCGAGGTCGACCAATGACCGGTGATCGTTAAATTGTTATCAGATTATATGTTTTTCCTTTTTTTGTTTTGTTTTATGTGAAATCAAAAGACTTTCAAATAAAAATTTAAAAAAACTTCGAATTCAGCAGTTCATTTATTTTTGTTGAATATGTTATATGAAGAACAATACTCAAGCTAATATATTAGATACTTTTAAATTATCGCAATAGTCGTAAGCATTATAAGAAAATACCGGAGAAAAAGAGTGAGAGAAAGAAGTGAAAAGAACGGGCCTTCATAATAAGATCATCAAAACGACCTGAAGAAGAAGAACAAGAAGAATGAACTATTTCTTTCAATACTTTGTATGTATGTGTTTACTGAAAAAAGTAACAATATAAAAAGAACCGAAAAATAAAGTCCATTAGATACTTGACAATATAAAGTGGCAATAGCAACCAATATATTTTTTATCGTCTCATTTACACAATTGAAGTTTGTGGCTGTTGGTAAGTACGACTAAGTAAAAATATTTCGATATACAGTGATAATTCTGTAGAAAATTAAAAACAATTATATCAAAATTAATATCAATTTATTAATAAAAAGAATTTTTTGTTAAAAAATTACCATTCGAAATTTGATAACGTTGTGCTGTATTATATAGCGACCAAAATGGCAGATTCAAATATAAACATTGAACTTTCTCCTAATGAAGTACGTAATTTAGAAACTCATGGTTATAAATCACGTAATACTTCACAACGAAATTCAATTCTTATTAGCAACAGCGGAGCTAATCTTGGTGTTAATACTAGTGGAAATAATGCATCCTTAAGAGTACGTCGTGAATCATCAATAAATTCTTTCGCTCGTGCTGCATATGAACGTCGTTTTATTCGATATGAAAATACATATCAAATGGAACCTGATGACGAGCATAGAATTGATTTAGTTCGCATACGCCGAGTTGCAACAAGTATTATTGAAACAGCTATAGCGGGCTATAAATATGATGGAAGTCAAGCAACAGTATTCACAATGGCATTAGCTGATCGAATCCGTAGTCAAATGAAACAATTACCATTTTCACGTTATAAAATTATTACACAAGTGTGTATTGGACAGAAGAGAGGTCAAGATCTACGTATTGCTAGTCGATGTGTATGGGACTCTAAACAGGATCGTCATATAACAATTACCAAAGAAAGTTCAGATGCTTATGTAACGGCGACAATTTTTTTTATTTATTCCGAATAATACAAATAATCTAGAAATTAAATATATATCCTCGAGACTTCTGATGAATTATTTTAAATAAAGAAAACAAAAGCCAATAAAAAACTGACATTGTTCTATTGCATTGAATTTCTCATCATTTTGTGTTATTACATTGTTACAAATTTTTTCTAGAATGCTGATTTGCATTTAATTTTGTTTCTTTTCACATATTGCAAAGAAACTATGAACGATACAACGCTAGAGAATATTTCCTTTGAGATAAAATGACAAAATAATTCAAAAATTGTACGTAAGGCAAATTTTCATGTATTACTGAAAGTTTATCAATCAGCGATGGCAACCCTACTCATTTTTTTTTCTTCTCAATACTATCAAGGACAAGACAAGGACGTACTCCATTTTTGTTTTTCTTTACTATTTTTGAAGAAGAAGATGATGATGAGGTGACGTATACACGACGACGGTATGTGGGTAACTCCAGTAATTGATTTTTGACTCTTCCTAGTATTTCTAAGTATTAAGTTTATTTAGCATCGATTACAAGTAGACACATAAAGCGTTTGATACCTATATATAGAAGTATTTAGAGATACACAACTATCTGTTATCATCAGTCTGAATTTAAGTTCACAAAACAGCGTCTCTACAACAATTAGATAAATATGGGTTCATTATATATGTTCACTATTATTGTTTTATCATTATCGACAAGAGTTGATGCCTTTAAACATCCATCGGATCGACAAATTCAAATTGATCAATGTCTAAGCCCAGATGGTGATTATTTCTGAATAAACCATTTAGATCATGATTCATTTGCTTTTTCTTCTCTATTTTTAGTTGACATTTGTGATTTTATTAAATGTGAAAATGGCGGAAGCTGTATGAAAGATTTAACAACCGCTGATTGCTTTAAATGTACATGTGTACCTGGCTTTACAGGAACAATATGCGATACAACTATCACCATATTACGTATAAATATCTTTTTTTTATCATGAATTATTTATTTGTTCGATTTCTCTATTGTAGCAAATGAATGTGATCCAGGATGTCAAAACGGTGGTACATGTATTGATAATCGATGTGAATGCAATGCAAGTTTTACAGGAACCTATTGTGAATCTCGAAGTAGATGAGAATAAACGTTGTTTGATCGTTGTAATAGCACCAGTGACTGTTTTGTATACTTTTTAGACTATTGTTCACCTACTAATCCATGTCAAAATGGCGGCCGATGTACTTCGAGTAGTAGTACTTTTGTGTGCGATTGTACAGGCACAGGTTACACCGGTTCAACCTGTGCTGACATAGTATCCACAAGTATGCTATAATTTTCTTAGGAGAAGAGAGTTCATTATTTTTGTTGTTGTAAATTGCTATCATGTAGACCATTGTGCATCGAATCCATGCCAAAATGGTGGTAGTTGTTATGCAAATAGTAATTCTTTCACATGTGTTTGTCGTCCGGGCTGGATGGGTACGACATGCACACAGACGACCACAACAACTGCCCCAAGTAACTATATTATCAATCATAATCATTATTAGATGAAAAACTAGTTTTCTTTGTTTTCCTGTCGTCGAATAGGTGTCTCACCATGTTTGTCAAGCCCATGTAAAAATGGTGGTGATTGTTATAGAAATGGTAATACCTTTGTGTGCGTATGCCGTGCTGGTTGGACAGGTACGACATGCACACAGACGACCACAACAACTGCCCCAAGTAACCATATCATCCAGCATAATCATTATTAGGTGAAAAACTAATTTCCTTTGTTTCCCTGTCATCGAATAGGTGTCTCACCATGCTTGCCAAACCCATGTAAAAACGACGGTAACTGCTATACAAATAATAATTCTTTCGTATGTGTATGCCGTGGTGGCTGGGCAGGTGCAACATGTACAGAAGCCACCACAACAGCTGCGCCAAGTATATATATCATGAATTATAATCAATATTCGATTGAGCATTACTTTTCTTTGTTTTACTTTCATTGAGTAGGTGTCTCATCGTGTTCTTCAGGTCCATGCAAAAATGGTGGAAGATGTTTCAATAGTGGAGATTCTTACTTTTGCTATTGTGGACCAACCAATGCTTACAGTGGTAAAAACTGTGAAATAGTTTCATCGGGGATGCCATCGGGTATACGACCGTGTTCGATTTCTTTAATGTAAATAATATTTTCTCTTTTAAAGAATGTCAATTGAGTTGTGGAGTTGGTTATTGTATATTAACGGGTTCTTCGCTACGCCCGAACGCCTGCATGTGCGGCAGTACCGTGCAGCCGACAATTTGCACGTGAAACAATACGAACTTTTTTTTGGAGATGTTATATATCTGGAAAATAATAAATCAAGAAAAATGATGCATTTATTTCTCCATATGAAATAAGATTTGTTGGCAACATATATAAGCAATATGATAAAAATTAATCTTACATAAATATAATATAGATTCTGCTTCAAATCTAGTTGTTGAGTAGAAATGGTCAGACTCTCGTTTGATTACTCCAATTTGTCGTATTTCGAATCAACTTCGAAAACAGTCTGAATACTAACATATTTCGTTTTTCATTGAATGATAATTAATAATTAAAATTATTATCTTTCTTGCGTCTTATTTTGCCAGTATTATTTAACACTAAGAAAATTCATCATTAGGTACATTTAATACATTCATAGAATAGCTGGGATGCTTGAAAGATACATTTCTTAATTGTGTCTATGAAATACTCATCGTTGTTCTTCCATAAAAATTTATTGCATGATTTTTGTAAATTATTACCGTTGACTATTTAAAAAACATATAGTCATTATATGTAACGTTCTAAAAAATTGAAAATAATATTTTATTGTAGATGATGTGTGAATCAATATTTTAAAATGTGTCTATAGTGAATTTAGAATGATTTCTCGCCTTTGAAAAACAAAATCAATCAATAAACGATTGGATAAAAGATTTTTCTGAAAAGTTTAACAACATTTTGAGAAAATCTTGTGAGCGTTTCTTTTAATTGAGATCGTGCTATTCAACATAGTCATCGTATTTTTCTTCTCAATGACATCAATATAAAAAAAGAACGTCCTTCATGGAGTTGTTTGTCTTGTTCCCTTGAAATAATGATCAGGTGTTAAAACGCCCACCGACAACAATATATTCGATAACGTGAGTAATTGATTCTTTGATCACTCTTTAATACGAACGTTTCACGTCTAATCGACAACGACTTAACAAAAGAACATAAACAGGCTTTAGATGAATCAATATAATTTTTTTAATCAGAAAAATCCTACTGCTTGAAAAAATAATCATTCGTATCTGACTAGCGAGCTCGAAGAATAAGATGGTAGATTTTCGGTGGCTAGCTATCTCAAACATATTCTTAATACTACTATTCAAAACTACCGATGCATTCCAAAATGAAACTGATCGACAAATTCAAATTGACCAATGTCTAAGCCCAGATGGTGATTATTTCTGATTAAACCATTTAGATCATGATTCATTTGCTTTTTCTTCTCTATTTTTAGTTGACATTTGTGATTTTATTAAATGTGAAAATGGCGGAAACTGTATGAAAGATTTAACAACCACTGATTGTTATAAATGTATATGTGTACCTGGCTTTACGGGAAATATATGTGATACAACTATCACCATATTACGTATAAATATCTTTTTGTTATCATGAATTATTTATTTGTTCGATTTCTCTATTGTAGCAAATGAATGTGATCCAGGATGCCAAAACGGTGGTACATGTATTGATAATAGATGTGAATGCAATGCAAGTTTTACAGGAACCTATTGTGAATCTCGAGGTAGATGAGAATAAACGTTGTTTGATCGTTGTAATAGCACCAGTGACTGTTTGTATACTTTTTAGACTATTGTTCACCTACTAATCCATGCCAAAATGGCGGCCGATGTACTTCGAGCAGCAGTAGTTTTATGTGCGATTGTACAGGCACAGGTTACACCGGTTCAACCTGTGGATACTTGATCACCATAGGTATGCCTTTATTTCTGAGAAAGAAGTAGATCATTATTTATTTACTTGTAAAAACACTATGATGTAGATCCTTGTGCATCCAATCCATGTCAAAATGGTGGGAAATGTTCATCAAACGGCGTGACAACAAACTGTTCATGTATCGATGGTTACTACGGTGCCTATTGTCAAATTTCTTCAAGTAAAATGCATTTTTTAAAGATTAACCAGTTCAAATATAAAAATGATTGCATAGATCCATGTCCTGAAACAGCTTGTGAAAATGGAGGTCGCTGTGAATGGGTAGCGGCAAATACTTATAGATGTGTTTGTCCTGCGGAATTCACTGGTGTTAGATGTGAAACTTTCGTATTAGGTAGATTATTTGTTTGACAACTGTGAATATTTCGTATGAGTCGCATTATGATTAGCTAACCATCCATGTATAACGATGCCATCAATTGTATGTAAAAATGGTGGTGTTTGCACAATAAATGGGCCTGATTACCTATGTAAATGTGCCATGGGTTGGAGCGGAACTAACTGCCAAGAAAAAGTGTGTATGTTAGTTTTTTTATACGAAAATTCGAGAAAAAAAACAGAAAATCGAATCGATTTCTTTTGCTTTTTCTTTGAAAGCTAATGATACATGTGATCCGAGCCCATGTGGTACATATGGTACTTGCTTCTTGGTAAATTTACCACAGGGACTCATTCCTTATTGTTATTGTAATGATCGATGGACAGGAAAATATTGTGATGTGAACATGGATGGTGAATATGGTGCTTTTTCTTCGTGTTCTATTTTAATACTTAATGATTAAATTAAACTTCATATTTTTCAGGAAAGTGTACAAATGAATATTGCTTTTCTGGTGGTACATGTCGAATGAATGGGAATATCACATACTGTGATTGTACAGCAATGTACACCGGCCAACGATGTGAATCACTAATAGATACTTCAACCACAACCACAACAGCAACAACAACAGCAACATCAACAGAAACAGCAACAGCTGCTGCTACTACTACTACTACTACAACTATGAGTAGCTCAACGGAAACACCAGGTAACTAGTCTTTATTGACATTATTTTCTAATAGAAACAGTTGATTTCATGGAGTAGAATTTTGTTCACCAAATCCATGCCAGAATGGTGGAACTTGTCTAAGTACCAGCAACACTTTTCTATGTCTATGCGAACTACCATGGTCGGGAGCTATTTGCACTACATATGAACTGATTACGAATTTCACTTCAACGACAACTGCCGTCACTACTACAACTATACTAACAACCGTAACAGTTTCAAACGGTAAGATCATTTTTCATCCCAAAGATTTACTATTTTAATAAAAGCAAGATGAAAGTTTATGTTTATATCATTGAATCAAAAGATTACTGTCTTTAGTTTATTATATATGCATATGTAATTTTCATGTTAGTCCCCACGGCATGTGCAAGTCAACCATGTAAAAATGGTGGAACTTGTGTTCCTATCGGTAGTTCGTACTCCTGTTTTTGTGGTACAACCAGTATTTACACAGGTAAAAACTGTGATTCAACTGCACCAATGCCTATTGATGGTAAGAAATATCCTTATGCAACTTTAACGGATTTATTAACTATCTCTTCTTGTTTTTCCTGAAGAATGTCCTTTGAACTGTACGCCTGGTCGTTGTATTTTCTCGGGCAATGCTATAAAACCATATGCTTGCTTGTGGAATGGAGTGATGCGCCCCGCAGACGGTACAACTGCATAGCTAGCTGTTCTTTTTTGTGAAACAAAATAAAATTTTAACTAAAAACAATGGTCACTATCTGCTTATAAATCAAACGTGATTCTTGGTAATAAAATTTATTGAAAGCTTATCAGAAACAATTTTCGAATTGTTTCAAAAGAACTATTTAAGTGTATTGGATAAAACAATGATTTAGTATTTTGCAAGTGATATTTTGAGAGTTACTATTTACTTTAAAATCATTATCGATTTTATTTTCTGTTTTAAATTGAAACATAAATTCTATGCAAAGTAACTATAATTATTGAATTCACTTTGAAACTCTTGTTAAGGCTAATTAGTAATATAAATGCTTTGGTTTTGGAATCCTATCGGCGCTTTGACTTTCGAACTCTATTCAATTTTTAACAATTCAATACTATTAATTGGATTCATGAGTGATTGTGCCCCTGATTTTTACATTCAACGATACGCTATTGTATGAATATAAAGAAAACAATGATTCATTTTTGTGTAATAAATGTACATGACTATTAATGAATTTCAATTTAACTAATAATTGAACACTAAATATCTCTAAGTTTTATCTAAATAATAAATATATTATATGGTCATATATCAAATGTTTTTTTTTATTTGCTTTTTGTTTCATGTTGACTCTTGTTTTCATGTAATGATGCATCAATCTGAAACTTCATCACAAATTGAATAAATATCAAACATTGGTAGAAAAGCTCTTAATTGTCGATAGTCATCATTAGATAATTTTAATACTATGCATAGCCTCATAGTTAATATTATTGTGATTTCTTTTTTTTTACATTTTTTAGGTCTAATAAATTGAAAGAATACTTGTTGATAGCTCTAGATCTTTTACGAATTCAAGCAATTTATATGAAACAGTTACATTCCTAAAGATGAAACGTTAGCGATTCGTTGTATTCTAATAAGAAAATCTTTTTTTTTTTATCAGATTTTCCTTTGCTACACGACAATAACGTATTTATTCTCTGTTAGTAATATGTAACGTGATTCTGCAAGTCTAGCAGTAATTGAATAAAAGAAATTCTAATAAGATGGATCAAGTACAGAAATTTGAGTACTTAAAAGAATCATTTGAAAACGATACTTACCGGTTGAAAGTAATTACTTCAAAGAGAAAAGTACATGAAAAAAGAAAAAAGTTTTTAATCTTTTCTTCGAGCGTCCTTGAACGAACCTTACAGATATATAGGTTTGTGTCTATTCAGAACAACTATAATAATTAGAAAAAAAATATTCAATACAATATGAACCAAGGGTTAATTCTATTGATAGTAGCAGTGCTACTAACAACACTTACTAATGCATACGATTCTCTATCTGCTGTTCGAATCGATAATGGTTGTCCAAATACAGGAGGTAAAACATATCAATATTTGATTGTTTAAAAAAAACTACTTTTTACATTCGCCAGTGAGGATGTGTCAATATGTAACATGTGCTAATGGAGGTGAATGTCAAGAGACTGATACTCCTAGATGTTTTACATGCAATTGTAGAGTAGGATTCGTCGGTGAAACGTGTGAAACAAAACAAGAAATTAAGAATACAAGTAGAAAATGATTTATATAAAAGTGGTTACTCGCATATTAGTATTTTTATTTTTATTTAAGCAAACCTTTGTGAGTTTCAACCTTGTCAACATGGTGGTAGCTGTTATCCTATTAATAATAATGATTTTGTATGTCAGTGTTCTCCGTCTACTACCGGACGTTATTGTGAACAAATAGTGAAGAAAAATTCTTGTGATTCACGGCCCTGTTTAAATGGCGGTACATGTATTATCAAGAATAATACTTTTGAATGCATCTGTCCTTCTCAAAATACTGGACATCAATGTGAAATAAATCAACTAACATCAGATGTATGCAGTACTACTACTTGCTTCAATGGAGGAATCTGTCACGCCTCTGGAAATCGGACTTATTGTTATTGTTCTTCTGGAACTACTGGACGTTACTGTGAAGATACATTACCGTTGAATCCATGTCTATCATCGCCATGTTATTCTGGTGGTACCTGTATTCCTAGTAATGATACTTTTAAATGTCTATGTTCAACATATAACACAGGAAAATTTTGTGAAAACTTCAGTTCCTCGCATCCATGCGCTTCGGCACCATGTCTCAACAATGCGCATTGCTTTGGTGTGAATCATAATACTGATTTTTACTGTTACTGTGGCTATGATAGAGCAGGCCGTTTTTGTGAGATAGAAATGACATACAAGCCATGTCAATATTCACCATGTCGTAATGGTGGTAGTTGCATTTCTATGAATGATACCTTTCGTTGTGAGTGTCCTCCAAGAACGACGGGATATTACTGTGAGTTAAATGAAGAATTAGACTTATGTAGCTTATCACCTTGTCTTAATGGTGGTACATGTTATAAAATTTCACAAGACCAAATCGAATGTCGTTGTCCTTCTAACACTAACGGATATTATTGTGAAGAAGTTTCAGAAGAATTTAATCTATGTTACAATCAACCTTGTATGAATGGTGGTACGTGTATTGCAAGTAATGGCAGTTTTCGATGTATTTGTCCTCCATATAAAACTGGACATCTATGTCAAGCAAATCAAACTGTAACAAATGCATGCCGTTCTTCACCTTGTTTGAATAGTGGTACTTGTCTTCAACTGAATGATTCGTATACCTGTCTTTGTACCAGTAACTTTAGTGGTAGTAATTGTGAAAGAATTAATGAATCGCAAGGTAAATTCATTTGCCATGTTTTATTGCTATCTAACATATTTTTTTGCAGAATGTAAATTAGATTGTAGACCTGGCGTTTGTATACCTACCAATAATGTACAAAATCCATATGCATGTCTATGCAATGGTACACTTAATTTTAACAATTGCTCTGGTAATTAGAGAAGTTATCAGCGAGCAATAAACGTCATACATTAATATTCTCAATCATAAATTATTTACTTCTATTGTTTTCACGACTCTTAAAATCTAGAGTGAAAAAAAAATATATAATTATTTTACTTTGAATAATAATAAAATCTAGTAAGCTATTCAAATGAACAGATAAACACAGAAATTTTTTATTCTATATTTTAATTGTTATCGACAGAATCGAACTATGATAATTGAATACTTTATAAAAATGAATATGAAATATAATTAAAAGTACCATTGCAAAATAAAGCATTGTTCAATTAATTAATAGGAGAAAATAAAAGGTATTGAATCGATTAGTCACGTACAAGATAGTGAATTTCATCTTCGTTCAATAGCGAATAATATTCATTTTAATCATTAGGATTCCTAGCTCATGTATATGAATGAATTGCAAAAGTATTGTACCGTTTCGAGAAAACAGCGCATGAAAATTTGTTTTTGATTTTCAACATTCTAGATTGTACATTGTCGTGTACTATGTGAGAGGAGAATATAAAAAAAATTTCCCGACTACCACTATTAAAGTGATAAAGATAAAAAAAACTTCTTGATATATGCTAGAAAATTGTCATGTAGAATAGTCAAGTTGATAGAATCCGGCTACACTCTCAGAATGATATAAAAAGCATTCATGGATTTACCTGTGATGCCATTTCAAGTGAAAACTCTTACAGGAGAACGAATTGGGAAGGTTTACAAAAGTTGTATAAAATTAGACAAATAGGATGTGACATTTGATCTTTTCTACTTATTTTTTTAACTAAACAAGAGCAGGTTATCAGCAGCACATAGTGAGTTGAAAGTCCCTGAAACAAAGAATAGATTGATATGCAATGCGTTGCATTTGTCTTTAGTTTCTAGCATAGTTATTCATCAAATAATCTCGCGTGGTATTTTTCAATTAATTTTCATTTTTCTTAGTAGCTCTATGCTTTCGGATACTGATATTTTCAAGAATATTTGACCACAATGAGTGGATAAAATAATCAAAATTTTATCTCCAACTGCCATACATGAATACAATTATCTATCAAGTAAAATGAAACATCTCGCGTGACATTTAGAGTGACAACTGAATTTTTCAATTTTCATCTTACATTTTTTCTAAACAAGATATAATATAATTATCTTATGCTTTTTAACGATTTTATTCCCCATTCATTGGCTATCGTTCAACACTATTTCGATTAAATTTAGACGAATTATTTAATCTCAAAGTCATTCATTTTTAATCTCGCGTAACAGAAAGTCGAGAAATGAGTGTACATTTAATGCATCGAAAACAATGAAATGAAAATCGTAATTAAAATGCCAATCAATCTGATATTAGAAAAGCGCAAGCTATTTATCATAAATTTCGTCGACTTTCGACAATCAAAAAACTAAAGAAAAAAAGTCGGTTATAAGTGATTTTTTTATCAATAAATGGCTATAAAAATCGATATTTTTAAATTTGGGCGTCTAATATCTCGTGATTAATTTGAGATAAATTCATGATTATTTGTGTGGGATAATAGGGACTTCTTAGAGGCGCTTAATCTGAAAAAATAACAAGGATCGATTGAGAGAATCAACAGACATAGAAATTTTTACCTCTTAGAATATAACGGTACAATAAGTTTGCAATTCACTCATATATATATATATATATATTCTTATTGAAAATAGTATTGATCGATTTGGTGAGCTTACTAATGTTTTTAAACATTATTCATGGTTTATTTCGTCAAATAATACTCATACCAAGTCTCAGTATCTATCATTTAACTCATTTTATTCATCTTACACGAGTCCTGATATGTATATAGATCAACAAAGTTTAGAACAATATAAAGCAGATATATTAAAAATTATGGCACCCTATAATTAAAATGATGAAATTCAAATAGGTATTAGTACTCAGTAAAAATAAACAATAATTATATACCGATATCTATCATGAAATGTCATACAGTTGATAAAAATTTAATGTTGTACATCAATCATAAATGGACACCGTATTTAACAACAGTCATTCGTCTTCGCATAAAAAATGTTGACGTCCTAATAAAACACATGAATTGGTTAATGAAACAACGAACTAACTAGCTATCAAATTGATCGTTATACAGATGCTACTGTAAAAAAATACGAAGTTTATAAAACATTATAATGAGTTTAATCCTCTTGCTTGTTTCACAATATGCAGATAATTTCGAAAGATCGATCGTATTTAAGGTTAATTTATATGATCAATTGAAACACTATTTCATTGGTATTTAAAATTACATGGATAGTAATTTTGAATATAAGTTTTGATGTTAATGAAAAAAAGGAAGCAACCTATAATCAACGATAACGTATAAAATTCAATTTAGTGTCTTCGTGGTATCTTCATAAAATCAGTTTTCTAAAAAACACTTCAACTAATACATCATCATTAAAAAGCATCGTATTAAACATTACATAACTGTCTCTTTAATTATTTTTCGTTTTTCATTACTGTATGCAATTATTTTTTTTTTCCTAAATTTTCATTACTTTCAAGTTCAAAATCACCAATCGTTGGAATCAATAAACAAGAAACTTGCAAATAAAAGACATAAAAGTCATCCATTGACTATCGACATTTACATTTATTCAAACCAACAAAATCTTCTAAACCAAGTAGGACACTATTTTTTGTTCATTGTCTAGATTAAATAAAAGAACATCTTCGTTTATCACAAGGTAAACATTCTTCTTTTTCTCTCGGACGTGAACAATGATTAATCCTCAACAAACGTTTGTTGTCATCTTTGTTACTATACATCGTGCATTGTTAAATACAATGGCTGTGGTTTTTTTGTTCATCGTTGTGATTGCAACACAAATAATCTCGATCAATAGTCAATTCGGTGGTTTTGGTCAAACTCCATTACAATGTTGGCGTTGTGATTCATTAAAATCTGATCAAGAAAGATTTGCTGAATCACGAAAATTTGCATGCCTTCGTCATTTTGATTTTACGCAACATTCAGCTGAACCATGTGATGGAAAATGTTGGATGTCCTATGAAGTTATTGAACCCAAAACAAAAGCTGAACGAGAAAAAGCTATAAGAATGGTTGATGAAATACCTGATACAGATCGACGTTGTTTTACAAGTGACGATCTAACAAAAGCTAGCATGATCGGATTAAATGCTGCTAATGGATGTCGTGATGTCAAAATGAGAGAAAAAGTTAAAAAATTTTGTTTCTGTGACACTGATTTTTGCAATGGAACTTTATCAACGAACAGATTTTCGTTTGTTTTATTTTTATTTATTTATTTTCTTTCGTTGTTGCGTGTTTTCAGAAGTTGACTGATATTTTACATTAATATAAATGACATTCAAATGTGTTTTATTTATCTTTTGATAAGGCACTAGTAAAAATTTATTTTCAATACAGATTCTCAGAACAAAAAGAAACATGCATCGATCTTTATTGTAGAGAATGTAATTGTCTAGAAAGACTTTCAACTAGAATCTTAATTTAGTCAAATATTTCGAATATGACACAATTCGTCTAATGTACAACAAGGAAGTAAAAAGGATAAGCTTTCAATACGCAACCGTAGAAGTAAATAAACAAATAAATCTTATCTCATTATTATTCACCAGTATATATTTAGTCTAAAGCATGGCTTTTGATTTTAATCAATGTCTGTCTGAATAAATTTCTAAAGAAGTTCTTCTAATAATAACAATAAATTTTTGACTGCAAAGTTTAGATGTAGTCGAATTCAGATGTTTCCCAATATCGTTTCTTTTAAGATGAAAGTTTCACTTTTTGTTTTTCAACAATCAACAGCTAGTCTTCAGAAAATTGAATGTTTCCTTCCTTAGACACAGAATGATTTCAATGTAACTATTTTCTTAGATGTAGTTTGTACAATACTGTCGAGAATTGAGGAAAAACAATTACGACAATTGTAATATATACATGCATAATAGACATTCAAATCTTACTTTAGAAATTATTATATTCAAAGATTAATACTAGATTCATTTTCTTAGTTTTGTCAGAAAGTGTATCTATTCATCTATAAAGGCAAGTGTGGAAAGAACTCAAGGTTTTTATACGTCTGAGCTATCATGCATTCTTTCAATGTTGTTGAATTACATTAGTTAACGAGAATCAGGTTTACAATACTAACTCTTAGAGAAATTCTCATTTGAACTTAAATTCACTGAATAATAGTCATTTTATTGTGTGTCTAAGACGTGCTGAAATGTATTTTCAATGTTCAACAATAGTTCACACACCTCATTTATAGTCTTAGTTGATCATAGATTTTTCATAAAATGATAAATTTCTACAAACGAAAAATCAAATAATCTGGAATGCTTTGTTTTTCTTCTTTTCGAATAACCGTTTATTTCTTTCATATGAAACACATCAGTAAAAGCAAACAAAGACACATACAGGCAAATAGCATAATTATGACTTAAATAAGGTTCTTGATTGTTAAACACCGGTTACATATCAATACACAACGGCGAAAAATAATCGAAACTATATCATTAATATCACTACTAGACATGATAAGAATATTATATATTGCTTTTTATAACCGGAAAGTAATATTTTTCATACATTTGTTTTCTTCTTCTGCAATGATTCATCATCGTATCTTTTTAGATCACCAGATATCGGATTGTACTGACCAAGGAGATAAAAATCTGTTTCTTGTCGTTTTTTCCCATAATCAGTGTTCTTCACATAATCGTCGTACGATCCATAAATAGTACCTTTATATCGTATAGTTGCTATCGGATTTTCATCAATATGTGTACTCTCATAGAGACCGCCCTTCATGTAGAAAAACAATAGAGATTATAACAAAATGAAAATTTTAATTCAATTAACAATTATTTACTTACAGGTAAATCATTTTTATGAAGACCTATTGGAGTTTCTTGCGGACTATAATACCATTTTAATCTGACTAAATCTTGTTGCGTTGATTTATTCCGATAGAATTTAAGCACCTTACCAATGTACGATAGTGATTTATCGACACCATGTAATACAACACAATCACCAACGCGAAGAACTTGTTTAGTGTCATGACGGCATATCGATGAATTCCGAATATTTAATGTCCATTGAGGAACTTCTACTGTAGATGAACAAGCCGGTTTTTCTATTTTTATTCTTTTTGACGAAGAATTCGTAGTGAGAGATGTAGTTGACGATGAACGACGTGAACTGCGTTGACTTATCGATAAAATTGGGAGTATTTGAGAGGAAGAAACACGCCATTCTTCCAAATTAATACCTAAAAGCATAATTAATACATTAATAAAAACAAATGTTTTCTACATTTTATAGAAAATTTCAACAAAAGAGAAAAAAACACCAGAATTGTACGTCGAATTCTACTATGACCAACATGAACGAGTCAAGAAAGAATTTTATTCTGTATTGAAGTTATGATAATAATTAAATTTTAAATAGATCAAATATATTTTGAATAAACTAGAAGATAAATTTCTATTTCCAACATAATGTTATTGCATTGACTATTTTTTTGGCCATGATATGTTTTGATGAAATAACTACTAGATCAAATATTTTAAGTTATTTTTGCCCTTTTCATGAAAACAATATAATTGAATTATAAAGACTTGTTGACTAATCAAATAGCAGTTTATAATGATTCAGGGATATATTAAATAGTATCTCCACTATGAAAAACAGAATAATCTAAAAATCATAGATGTCAATAAGATTTATGAATCGATTTATAATGACTGATGATTGTGTTTTTGTTGAATATATTTAAAACAAAATGTTCAATGCTTTTTCACCAAGAAACTTCTGTTTTCTTTAGTAGTAACTTACAAAAAAATGAATTCTAAAATTGTTCTGATACCCTCTCCCCTTCTAGGATAACCATCGATAAAAAAAAGATCTCGAATATAATTACCTTTAATAACATAATCATCAGGAAGTAAACGTATTTCACCAAGTTTAATTAATCCCGTATCACCATCATCAAATAACAGAGTCACCATTGAAGATTTATTTGTTTCCAATGGTATTGTTTTAACAACAGCTGGATGAAGACCACGTAAACTAGTACTCCAATATGCACAAACACGCGAACCTTTTGATAAAATATCAAAATTTTCTGGTATCACTTTTGGACAAGCCAACTGGCATAAATCATGTGTCGGTATTAAATACGTTTGTCTTTCATCATGTAATCGTACGAGCAGTAAATCATCATAACTATTGATTTTTTGTATAATAGCTTCATATAACAGACCATGGTTTGGTAAAAGGATTTCAAAATTTGAAGCTATTTGGTCAACTTTTAAATGAACACATACCGATTGTTTTACTTTCGGTTTTATTCTTTTCAGTTCGATGAAATTCTTGTGAATATTTGGCATTAAAATATGACAGTCAGAATGATACGATCCATATAGTAGGAGATTTTTTTCCATTTGTAAAATATTTAATATTGACAATGAAAAATGAAGAAATCGATCTTTAAAATTTGCTTTAGGATTAAAATACAGGCGTTTTCGAATTTTTTTATGTTGATATTTTTGATAATTTTGTTTTATTAATAAATGACATTGTTTGAATAGAATTTCGTAAGTTTTTGATGATGAAACTTTTTCATTTAATATAGATTTTTTATGACGAGTATCGAGTTTACACGCAATATCAGCTAATTGTTCGAGAGCATCAATAGTAAAAGAAATTTGTTTAATTTTTATCTGATTTCGTTGATGAATTAGATCATTATATAAATCCAATATATGACCAATAAATATTCCTCGAGGTGGATTGAAATCTCTTAATACATGATATTGTTTTTCTTGTTGACGTTGTTTTCTATAATTGATTATTCGATGAAGATAATTATCAGAATAATGTTTGGTTTTTTTCTTTGTAAATATACTATTAACGTTTTGACTTCTCAATCTTAATAATTCATATGTTGGTGGTCGATATGAAGTTGATAAAATATATTCAATACTAAAATTTGAACACTGTTTTATTGTTTCACAGGATGATTGAGATTGTTCGAAAAAGCTTTTCTCATGTTTCGAAATGATCATTGTTGAATCTTGTTTGCAATACGGTGATGCACAATCAATTACATCGATTGATTCACTTTTTATATTTGACAATGGTGGCGATGGCAGTGAATATTTACGTGCTGACGAAAGATCAATAGGTTGATATTCACTTTCAGATAAATCTGATAAAAAGAAAACAAAAAGAACACAATAGAAATAAAAATAATAAAAATATTTCTAACCAGTACAAATCGATGATGGCGTTATGGAAATCGGTGGTGATAATAGTTTATTATTCGTTGATAATAATTGTGCGGTACAATGGTTATTCAACCAACTTCCTATGTAAATGAAAAGAAAATGTAAAGAATAAGAAAAAAAACTAAAAAACGTAGCTAAGACGTCTACTTTATTGATGTTTTTTTTTTGTGTTTCAAAGTATCGTACCTGATAAGGACGTCTCTAGCGGCAGTAATTGTTGAAACTGTGGTATCATGATATTGGATAAAGTTGGCGATGAATAAGAAGATGAAGTGACGGCTCTCATCTTGTTCTATTCATCTTTTTCTTTTTCTCTTCGATAAATGTCGACGCCATTTGAGTAAAAGAATTGCTGAAACAGAAGAAAGAGGTCAAAGAAAAAAGGAAAAATCTAGCAAAGAAAGAACGAACAAGAACAAAATGAGTAATATAGACAAAAAGAAACAACTTGCGCAATTCGATACCAGTAATAAAAAACAACAAGATTTTGTGTCATACCTTCTCAATCAATCGACTCGATCCGAAAATTTCCAATCAATAGTTTTGTTTCAAAATACAATTTTATAGCAATAGATGATGTCTTTAAATTATTGCATAAAATAATTGACGTCTTCTTTGAATCGTAAATATGTGTATACACGTTTGCAGTGCTGAAATTATTAGAAAACCTTTAATTCTTTTTAATATGTATATGAAGAAAATAGACTGTGTAAAGCATAAAATAAATTCTGTGTTGATTTAATGCAAGAATCGAAAAATATACGATAAAAAAAAGTAGGAAAGAATAACAAGACGATGACGACGAAGAAGAACATCAACACAGTCTGTGCACCAATTGCATTTTTATAATGCGTTTTGCAGTTCTATAGAGAAAGATGAATAAATCATACTGCTTGCATCATCATAAAAAAAATATTGGTTCTCGTTTTTTCCCTTTCTGACTACTTTGTTGGTAAGCAAACAAATTATGGTATCAGTCATATTTATATATTTTATATGTACGTCAATTTATTTTCTATCGTACTATTAATATATTACCCGTTGGCCAAATTACTTCTGTTTTCCAATGAAATTTCCTGACATTTTGTCTTTTCTTTTTTCCCAATAAATTTGTGATTGATCGAAACGTTGCTACCTGCCCGTTCGATCATGCGTGCAGCACAGGAGACACTCATGTTTTGTTTATCATACTACAAGGTCGAATATCAACTTGAAAAAGAATACGTCATACATAGAAAACAAAATGAGCAAAATAATTGGCTCTGATGAAGAAGCAAGTCTGCGACAAGAGATTATATCCCAATGTACATGGAGTGAATCTTATAATTCATTAAAACATATTCTTCAACGTACAGCTAATCAATTGCCATTGCTCATATCATTTTTTCATAACAATAATAATCAACAAACAACAAATGATAATAATCAAACAATATTTTTCTTTCATCGAAATGTTTCAAATAAACTTTTATTCGCACCACTTCAACAACTTGAAGATCAATCGGGAAAATTGGATGTTTATCCTCAATATTGTACTTTTGCTATGCCAGATTTGTTCAAAGGTAATATGACAAAGTAGATATATGAAAAGAAATAATTTCTTTTTTTCCTTTGTTTTGTTTTATGATAGGATTATTTGAATTCGTTCTTGATGGTCAACGTCGTGGTCGAGTTTTTACAACTCTCGAACAGTTGAGCAGTTTTGCATCGAGTTTTAACCATTCTATTGTATTTATGTCGCGTGATCAAGCTGTAGGCTACTTGAATGATGCAAATCTTTCACATTGGCCAAGTAAAACATATCCACAAGGTGCTATTTTTCGAGCTGAACGTATTCATCGTTCATCAACATCATCTAATAATGGTCATCAAACAACTAATGATTATCTTGAATGTGTAGATGAAGACGGATATATTGCTTTTCTAAAAATGAACCAGACGGGTCGTTATTCTTTAATAGCAACTTCAGTTGAACAACAAGAACATCAACCAGAAATCTATCTTCATTCATCTCAAACAGCTAATATTGACCAATTGATAAAACGTGTAACATTATATCACGATGGAAAGAATTACAGCAATTGTATTCGTCTTGTACGTGGCTCAGTGCCACATGATTTTCTTTGTCAATATCTTTATTTTATTCGTCAACATACATATGATATGCTTGTTGGTCTAACACAAGAAGGTCTTGTCATTGAATGGAATTTAGAAAGTCATGTACCATGTCGATATGCAACCAATTTAACTGATATACTTGATAGCATATCTGATACAGTTATAGAACAAACGCTTCAATCTTGTATAGATCAAGCACGAATACATTATAAAGATAATTTTCAATATAATATTCAATTAGTATCGAGTCAAGATTGGACAGCATTTTTTCAATATTGGAAATGGACAAGAAAGAATCGTCGTAAGCATCAAAATGAAAACAATTTAACATATCAAAGTCGTCATCGATTTCATCTTGTTGCTTCTATTCAGGTATGACAAAAATAAATTTACACATATTTAAAACGAAATTTTATACCTAATTTTTTTTTCTTTTGATATCTAGGATCTTTCCGATAATGTTCAAGACCTTTCTTCAGCATTTAAAAAGTATCACAACGTTTCTCATGCATCATCTTCATTGAAAGAAAATGATTCTACTCAAAATGAAAATGTATTTTCACCTAAACATCGTTCACTATTGTCTCAAATGTCAAAACTTATTCTATCACCATCAGGCCATCGACGTCATCATTTGAATCGATCATCGAGACAAACTCTACATCCATCAAGTTTTATTCTACCAAACGGTACTACACCATTTGATGATAGTATATATGAATCGAATAAAATGCATCACTCATCATCGAAAGACACGTAAGTTAACCGAGTGATATAACTATCGCGAAACACATCGAATTTAATCAATAACACAAGCCATTTTGACACACTTATTTCACTGGCGGTTTTAAAATTTTGTATAGCTTTTAAAAAAATTAGTTGTAACTATAAGAAAGGAACGCTTTTTTCTTTTGAACAGTTACCGATCCGTTCGAATAAATTGCATATTAAATTTAAGTCTTCCGAATTTTCTTTCTAATGACATCTATGAGAATACGAAGTTAGAAAATTTTCTGATTGTTTCAAATGAATCCTTGTCAAATGCTCGAAGAAATTGAGAAAATAAATACTTTAATGAATCGTCAAATTTCATTGTTACTGTTTGATTTTACAACGATAACGGTATTCAAGTGAGGAAAGTCTTGTTACTAGATCTTTGTTATGAAATGAGTCGTGTCGTAAAGCATTCTACCATTGTAATAGTCTTTTTTTCTTATTAGCTTACGTTCTTTTATATTATTTTGTACTCGACTTAATTTGCCAATTTCAAATAATGCGAAACTTTCACAACTTATTCGAATATCTTAATTACTATAGCTGTTTTGTTTTACATCAGTTAATCCTGCAATTTCAATCTTATTTGGTTGAATTTTTCTAGATGATAATTATTTTTGCTTACTAACACCTGTCCTACCTTTGCAAATTGATGAAGACATCACAAATTAGCTTTTAATTTTGATCTTCACTTAAATAAAATCTCATCATAATACTCATGTATAGTATTCGTTTCAAAAACAATCTCTGTAAAACTTTTGTTGTTTAAAGCTTTCCAGTCAAGAAAACTTCGAAATAATAAATGATATTATTCATAATTGTTTTCTTATATAAGACATAAAACTCACTTTTTCATTCATCTCAATTGTATAATATATCAAGTATGTTTTTTTTCTTTTTATTTAAATTCATCTGTATAATGAAAGGTTCATATATTTTCAACAAAACACAACAAAGATTTCAGATGAACGTGTACGAATAAAAATTTGAAAAAAAAACTTAAAAGCGAACAATCAAACAACAAACTCACTGATACTGTCATTCGGCAAACATTCGACAAACTAAACATGTAAAAAGACATGTATAGCAACGACAACGAATGCAAGTCGCAGATTGCCAATAGTTTTGTCATTGTTGTTCTCGACAGATCGTGAGATTAAAAGAAAAATAAAGTGCCAAATGACAGTGAACTCAATTACACACACATAATGGTTGATCACAATCGATAAAACACAAATAAATAGCATTCAAAATGCGTACTGATTGATCGCACATAAGAAAAAAAGAGATCAGCAGAAAAATGCTTATTATAAAAACTAGTTCCTTTGCCTAGGAAATTCAACTTTTCTCTTTGGTTAATGCTGTAAATATTATTTTCAAGAAGAAAAACAGAAAGAAAAGAATAGATTTCATCAAAAAACAAACGACAGCAGGCATGTGTACAATTATTTAGGAAAAAAGTGATGGGCTGCATTCTTGCGCAATATGAACAAAAAATAAACGTAAGAAACAAAAACAGTAAATTAGAGAAAATAATCTGGCGTCTTACGTGTTACGTGTGGTTCACCTCGTCTTGGAGCTGGATCAAATTGAAGAAATGAATATTTCAATGAATCATCTAATTCCATTATTGCCGCTTGATTTCCACAACGATAACAGTAATTAGGAGCAGAAAATATTGTTACTACATTTTTATCATGACACCAATTGTATCCTAAAAACAAATAGAATTAGAAAAATCTGTTCAATCAAAATATAAAAATTCTACTGACCTTCCATAACAAGTTGATGAGCTCGAGAAACTAATTGTAAGCCATTCGTATGATTGAATGTTTCTGATATGTCTTGTCCAAATGTGTAACCTGCACCACGTGGTGAAATACCCCAGCCACCTCGGTCATCAGGATCCGACCTAAACATGTATAATCAAATTTTCTTCTTCTTCTTCTTCATTTTAAATGATTAAAGCTACTTACCAAAGTAGATCACACATGGGTCCTTCATGTGGTACTTCTTGTATTCGATCTAAAGCTCGAATATGATCTAATGTATCAATAGATGGACTAAGACCACCATGTAAACAGAAGATTTGGTTATCAACTATGGCTGTCAATGGAAGATAATCAAATAGGTCGGTGAAATATTTCCAAGTATTAGCGTTGCCATATTTTCTTAAGCATTCATCATAAAATCCATAAACTTGTGTGATTTGTCGAGATTCATGATTACCACGAAGAATAGTTATTCGATCTTTATATCGAACTTTAAGTGCAACAAGTAATGTAACTGTTTCAACCGAATAATATCCACGATCAACATAATCACCCATAAATAAATAATTTGTGTCTGGTGCATTACCACTAATTTTAAACAGTTCCATCAAATCATGAAATTGTCCCTAGAAAAAAAGAGAAAAACGAATATTACAAACAATGAAATAGAACAAGAACTTTTTAGTTTCTCACGTGAACATCGCCGCATACCGTCACCGGACAGTGAACTTCCTGTACATTAGATTCTTTTGCGAGAATATCTTTAGCTCGATCACAAAGAAATTTAACATGATTCTCTTGTAATTGTTTACATTCTTTTAATTGTTCAATCCATAAATCAAGCTCTTTAGATGAATCGTTTTTGTCGTCTGTCATTCTTTAGTTTTATTTGAATTCAATCTAAATAGATATAAATGATAGTAGCTTATCAATTTAGCTACTAATAAATTTTTATATAAAACACAATAAGATCGCTAGCATTATTTGCCCCCCTTATATATATATGAAGATATGAGAATGAAAAAAGAAAAAGAAATGATTAATAAGAGTTTTCTTTTTGACTCATGCAAAGTTTAAGGATCCATCAAGTAAACAAAAGTTTTAACGAATGAAAGAAAAGAAATATTTATTTAATTGACAAGACGCTACTATTGGATATTTATTTTTCAATCTTAATTAATTTATTAAGGATATAAATCAAACATAAAAATTGTGTAATTACAGAATGAAATCAATCCGAGTCGACTCGACTGATCGATCGATCGATTTCTTTTCAAAAGCATCATATCGACACATTATAAATCATTATGATATGGGTTTCTTCTTGTCGTGTCTACAGATGTCACTATCTTGAAAACTCTTTGATTCATTTAAGATTCATGAAGATTAATTTAAAAAAAATAGCCATACTTTCAAATTTTTTATTAGTCTTTAATTGAAAAGTAATCCTAATCAACCGTTGTCATCGTTACAAGTATATTGATATTGACTGATGGCCACTCGTGCCTTCGATTGCTTTTTTTGTGGTTTTCATAGGTCATTTTTGAATCAAAATAAATCTTCTTTTATAAATTGTATTTTTTTACATAAAACGAGTAAAAATCTAAAAAATTAATAATGTCAACATCAAATAAAACCTATAAATATTCTGTTGAATTAAATATATGTGCTGTTGATGCGCCTGGTACTCGGTTAACAACAAAAGGTGATATATATATCAACATTTGTCTATTGGGTGTACATCAGCGTACACATTTTATGTCACCTTATTTACCAATGCATATTAATCAAAAGTTCTACTTTGATAAAGTATGTCTAAAGTTAAACTAGAAAATAGAAGTAAATTAATTTATTCATTATAGATTTTTAAATCGTGTCACGATCCTCGAGATATTATTCAACGACTTCAACGTAAGTAATTGAGGAGAATAGTTGCTATATGAGCAAGAATTAAATTTAAACAGGTGAACATGTTCTTATTGAATTATTACAAGCGAATGGTTCATCATCAGTTCTTTTGGCAAGTTATGAAACAAGTGCAAAAGATTTTCTTCATCCATATTCATCGAATCGAATACAATATGTTGGTTTACGACGTTATGTTGTTCTTAGTCGAACAATTGATTTCCCAGGAATTTCTCCTAGTTTAGAATTTAGTGTTAGTCCATCTGTTGATGTTATGACTGGGAGAAAAAAGATAGCTACAACTCATGAATATATAAAACCTATTGTATCACACGGAAAAAGTGTAGGATATTTTTCTATTTATTCTTGCACATACAGTTTATTTATTTCTAGCCAAAACGATCAAAGTCATTAACATGGAGACCATCATCTGCATATCCAAATCGGTAATGATTGATTTGTATATTATTATTTATAGAATAAGAAAAACTATATTTATAATGTAATAGTTCTTCATTGAATGATTCAGCTATTGTATCAACGTCACTAACATCACCTACAATATCATCTGCAGTAAAAAATGATTATTCACAACCTGATATACAGGCAAAATTACGTGAATTAGCTGTACCTGGAGAAGTTAAATACATTGTTGCGATTGATAACACAGTGGGACGAAAGCCATTTGTTGTACGACACGTAAGTCCATTTATTAGTATCAATTCAACAATAATGATTGCTTTCATAGGTTAATAATGATTTAATCGGCCGTAAGCCTCTATCTCATTCTGTGTTCAATGATGGTTTAGTTGTAAATGACTATTCGTTGTCTCGTGGTAACAGTTCGATGTCATTGCATTCATTGAACGATGGCGCTTATCGCTCTCGATCAGTTTCTCGAGGTAATCGTCGTAGAAGTGGTTCAAGAGGACCACGAGCTCGATCGGTATCAACATCTCGTCGTGAATTGAGCCCATTTCAATCGTCTGAGTTTGAAGTACGAGGTCGTTCACGAACACCTGAACGACGTTCTAATTTACGTTCGACAACAACATATCTACATAACGATTATGATTCTCACAATTTAGATGATGGTAAGTTATCTCTTTTTCTTTCTTTTTCTATTTTGTTACTATTAGTAAAATATCTAGAATTTCATTCGACTATAGATTGTGCTATATGTCGATTACATCGTATGCATAGCGAACAAAATCAAAGAGCCAAATCTTTAGAGCAGGTTGGGATCTAGAAAAAAAAGTGTTCAATCGAATCAAATATCAGAGAAAGTTATTTTGCTTCCTTTTTCTAGCAACATTTTACGACAAAGTCCAAACATAAATTATATTCACCGGGTAAATTTGTTTTTGAGCCTTTTGTATAACCCTATCCCATCGCTGTTATTAACTTGAATATGCTTATTTTCAAGCGTCTATTTTCTTTTCTTTTCTTTTCTTATTAGCTGTCTACTCGCGTAGTACATCGCCTTATTTGACAAGTACGACATTAGCTCGAGATCCATTTCATTATTGTCACCGACAATCGCCAGCAGGCAAACTAAGCGACAAAGTGCTTCATACTCTTCGACGTAATCTGGAATCTTATGTAAGAAAAATCTTTTCATTTTTCTGTTAAAAAGAAACACAAATATTTTTATTTAGAGTACTCAGCCATGGCATAAGTATTATTCAGCTTTTCGTTATGCGGATGGCCATTGTGATGTTGATGGTGATGATGAGTTACTTGAACGAAGTCGTCGACTCACACAATATTAGAAGCAGAAAACTAACTAAAACTATAAAACCCTATATAAAAGCGAGTTGTTTTCATCGATTGATTAAACTTTTTGCTGCTGTTGCTTTCTTTACATTTCCGTTCTTGCTTACATTTTTTTCACATTGAAAACTAACTTCTTATCTCAGGCAGTTTTTTACGCAAGCATGACAGCAAAAACAGTGCGATTCTTTTTGTTTCAATGGTTTGTTTTACCAAGGAAGAGCATAACTTTTATTTTGATGATAAATTCCTCAATGAATGGATTTTTTTCAAATACTTATTGTCTTCTACATTCTATATAGACTATAAACATACTTCTTAGCAGCAATGCTTTTCTTTTTCTTGTCTAACTGTTCGTTGATCAAGAAAAATGAAATTTTTTTTTTATTCCTATTAGTCTTGTATTAAACCTGCTGGGATATATTTTGACATGTCTGGATTTGCCCGTGTGTTTATCTTTGTCTTCGATTTCTTTTATTTAGAAACTATTTTTGTGTGAAGAGAAATTTTGGTATTTTTGCGTCCGCTAATATTATTATAATAAAAATTTTGGCTGCTTACTTTAAATCCTAATTATGAATACGGCTAAATAATAAAAATAAAACAATATTTTCTATTCAATAGAATAATTTAAAATAGTCTTATCTATAAAGTTAACTTTTAGTTTTAACTGCATAATCTTATGATAATAAAATACATAACAAGATTTCTTTATTTTATGACATGCTTTCAGCTGGACAAATAGAAGTTAGTATATTGAAGGATTATATTTAATTCAACGAAGTGGACCCTTAATAAATAATTGATTTTTAGATTGTTATGAAACAAACAATTTTAACCTTCAAATGAAGGTCATTCAATCTTATGTACAATCTTTTACAAAACAAATAATCCCCCGTAGAAGATTATTTTTCTATGTGAAAATTACTTGAGATTCATTGGCTAAAAAGTCAAATATCGCCATTGGTTTGTAAACTTTTTAAATTGATTGCTTATAATTGTGATGCAGTTAGTAAGATAAAGAATGAAAGTAAAGAGGACAGGTAGATGCAATGACAGATTAAGAAAATCTGTAAATGATGGATTCAACTAAACTTTTATCCAGAGTATGATGTCTTTTTTTCATTAATACGTATTCTATGAAATTGTGCTTAATATTTCAAGAAACTCTTGAGAGATACTAGGTTCTTTGATAGATAAATAATGTTTGACGGATCTCTGGCTCATGACAAACCCTTTTTGATCACGCTTTTGATGCGTTCAACTTATACTAATTTGGATCTCGTCTTTTTCGTTCATTCTGACCATTTGTTAGTTTACCATCGTTCTCTTCAAATAGTTCAAATATTGTTACAGTTATGATTTTTTTTATTTCGCAACGCACACGTGCAAAAGAAAAATTTAATGAGAAGTTAATAGGCCATAGTAATGCAATTTAGTAGATTTTACAAGAGTTGAAAATTCATCAGGCAAAGTATCCATTTCTTGGCAATATGTTCTGCGATACGATCACAATACTATACGTACGAGAATAAATTATACTATTAATATTTCAATACTATGAATGAACTTACATGTACCAATGTTTCAGCGATTATATAACATTCATGGCACTCATGCGGCTGACCCAATTGAATCACGACACCGCCATCGACCTGATATGGCTTCATACTTTTCATATTGTACTCTTCCATGGCGAATAATAGACAACTTTAACACTCAATGATTCGTAATAACTACTGTACATATGACTATTCACCGTTAGCAATAATAATGTCTTACTAATGAAGAAAAGGAATTAGTAGGAGACAATGATGTTCTTTATTTTGCCCCTAATACAGGCGAAAATTGCACTGGGCGAAAAAGTGCGGTAGATGAAATATGTATATAGGCAGTTGCTTTACTAAAGTTTTTCCCAACACTATTTTGCTTTTTCTAATGGAATCAATTCAAGAATGAGATCTCTGTCGATCGAGTAGAATACGTGTCAACTCGTGTATAAGCTTAAGCTATGCCTATTCACTTGATTTATTGACTGCAATGATCATTTTATTATTCTTTACAATGAATTTAGCATTCTATATGTCTTGTATGCATGACTTTAGTATACTAATAAAGTCAGAGAAAAATCGAAATTACTCATGTGTTTGCTGCATCTTTTGTGGTCAATATTAGATTTGATTGTGTCATCATGTTTACAATTAGAGAGAAACCAGGTTGGTTTTTACAAGCTGAAGTTTCTAGCGTTTGTCTCTGAAAGCTTTTATTAAAATACTGTAGAGTAAGTTTTGCTAATACGTTTAATAAAAGAAATATGAAAAAGTAGTAAATAGGACAGATACAGTTCTCTCAGTGGTTTTCAGAGAGAAATTTCTATTTTCTGTGCGTGAGACACTTTTTCGATTATTTTAGGATAAACAATGTTTTACTACCAAATCGACTATCTTACATCCATTCCCAAGAGAAATTAAACTGATTCCTCCGAAAAATAAATGTGGACACTTCGGATTTCATCCAAGAGTTATGTGTACTACAAAAAGTGCATGGGACATATGAGTCATTCTAGAATGTCTGAACACGAAAACTATCATGAGAAACTAGGCAATTTGATTTCTGGATGCAGTTTTTGTGCATTTTGAGACGTTTTTCAGGCGATGTTTCGTTAGAAAGCTACGATTTAGTTCAAAACTAATATCAGATTCAGAATCAGCGTTAAAAACTGAGTCGATTTATATATGTTGTGGATAATTCGGAGAGAAAAAATTTCTTTTTGAAAAATCCCTGTACTCCCCCTCTCCTCCTAAGGGATGGTCTGATCAAAAATGACAATTTTTTCGATAACTCAGCCATTTCTTGACGGATCTTTCTCATCTTCGAACTCGACCTAGATATCGATGAGACGATTCTGCGCGCAAAATTTTAGTTCAATCGAATGTAATTGTGAAGAGTTATCGAATAAATGGACGGACGGACACACTGACCGATTCTATAGTGTACTCTTTTTTTTTGAGTACACAAAAAAGATTTTTACTACTGGTGACAATTACTTGCTCACTGAATTTACGAGACTATCTTTTGGACGTTTACTTATTCGTGAATAAAATCAAAAAAACCTATAAACATCAAACACGCTCATCCTATAAAGATCTATTGATTTAATGAAACGAAAGACATTATATAAATTTTAAATCTCATGATATAATGTTGTTTACTAATTCGTTTCCATTTCGAATGAAAATATTGAATGAAAATTTATTTAAAAATGCCTCGTTGTACATGTTCATCAAATGGATGATTAGTAATATAATAACGTACCTGTTCAGGATTTCCTATCTTGATCTATATAATGATGGCTCGTTTTCAACAAACAATTAAATTGTACTAGAAGAATAGTTACATTTCTTTTTGCTAACAAATATCGCTTCTTTGTACCGGTACGTAAAACGTGTTTTGAGATCAAAATATTTTCATTAGTAGCGTTTTTATTCAAAAACAGAAATATCTTTCTATAATATATGCTAATTCTTAAGACCTTTCGATGAATAGAATGAACCATATCTTTTCAGATGCAAAAACACAGTGAAACATGTGTTGCAACGTACGTTCTCTTCTGATTGATTAGATGCATCACTTCTATTTCATATTGTTACAAATATGACTATGAACAAAGTGCATGTTCTTTCAAACCAAAACGAAATCAATCAATATTCACTATTTATTACTACATAATTATTAGTTCTAATTCTGCAATAAATATACAATTCATTGATTTCGATCGAAGTTTTGTGTTTTGCAACAAATGCTTGAACAAGCATATTTCAATAATAAATCATACTAATAGAATAGTATTAGACAGTATTTCATGAATAGATTCGCATTTGATTGAAAATGCATTGTCCCACGCTAATAATAATCCTAGACTTAAAACTAACTTAATTCCAGCGAAATAATACCACAATATTGAATTTTCTTAAATATTGCAAAACTTCAGAATTTAAAAAACAAAAGTTTGATGGATACAATGCGATTTTTTTGCAATGAATTTTTGATACAATTACATATTTCGATAACGTCTGTTGTCTCCATTTTCTCATCTATCACATACACGTTTAAAATTAGCGTTCACAAGAAACAAAAAAATTTCAATAAGATGCGCACGTACACATTTACAATAAAAAGACAAATATTCGGTGGAGAGACACAACGACAATCAATGTGCGCTTAAGCTCCTCCTCACGAGTTCTATGAATGTAAATAAATAAGCAACTAAGAGAAAATATATATAGAAATAATTATAACGAGAGAGAAAGAAACAGAATGTGTCTGTCATTGATAACCACCCAAAACAAGTATAACAACGAGAGAGAGAGAAAAAAAAACAACGAATAAAATAAAGAAAAAAATGTAGATCTCATTCTAAAATCATAGCCATCACCATAAACATGCAGAGTCAACAAATTACCAATTATTTTCTTTAATAACCCACAATCATGTTAATATGTTTGATCAAGATGTGAATGATGATTGTTCATTATTGCCTGTTGTTGTTTGTATGGAACCTAAATATAAATCGATCGAAATTTATTTTAGAATTCATTTTCAAAAAAAAACTAATATTCAATTCAAAATGTTAGATGACAAAGAAAACATGCATGTTAGTATTTCTTTTCAGATTAACTATGTTACATGAGAATTGATCCATGAAACTTCAGCATCTGTCGAATCATTTGCTAGACGAATTTCTAAAGCAGTGCATCCAAGTCAGTGCAATTAATCGCAATAAGCTATATTATTATCAGACTATGCACAACAACAAAAAAAAGCCGTGTGAAGAGCAAATAACTAACCTGGTACAAAATAATTATTAGCTTGGCTTGATGATGCAAAGGTAACTGCACCAGTCGAAGGTGTTGGCATAAGATCATTAAGGGAAACATTGGGACTCGGTGCGACAGCACCTTGGGTCGAAGCAAGAATATCAACATAACGTGATTGATTTTCTAGAAAATAAAAATGAAACAATTGATCAAGTTTTGTATTTTAAACGTGGGGACCATTTGATCTGTATTTTCTATAGACTTTTATATTTCAGGAAAATTCTTTAATTTGCCTTATATTGTGATGTTTTTCCCTGTCTTATTTAGATTATACTGAAAAAAGTGAAAAACTATCCAAAAATCTGATAGTTCTGTTCTGAAGTATTTTTAACCGTTGTACGCATTATAGACATATGTTTTGAGCAGATCATACTTTAAGTTTCTATACACACACACACACACACACACACACCCTTCATCAACATCCACTTTTACTTCTATTTCAGCATTAGATACAAATAATAAAAAAAATTAACTGTTCATTTTAGAAGATTCAATAGCAAAAGTTATTACAGTAAATCAATTATCAGAATCAAAATCAAAATCATCGATAAATGCTTGAAGATTAGGGAAGAATAGAGAAATTTTTTATAGATTCGGATTAGCGTATGGATTAGCATGAATTCATGTTTTGATTTTAATATCCAAATAACTTTAATGTTTCAGGTAGTTCTAATGACAAATATAATTAATATACAGAATGAAAAGTAATAGTAATGCGCTGAAGAAAAACTCTTAGAGAAAAAAAAAGAATTTCTAAGAATAATATACAAAGTGAAGTTCCAATAACAAAAAAGGAAATCATCAATCAAAATATGCGTTGAAAATTGATGTTTTATCAGAAGTGTATGTAGTGCACGTTTGATTGTTCGTAGCTGACAAAAAATTAAAATTTATTAATGAATAACAACGAGACTTAACGAATGAAATTGATAAATCTTTAGCTATCTTAGCTAAAACAAAACTCGAGAGGTAAATCCAACAAGACTAGACTATTGAACAACAACATTGAGTAAAAAGAAGTTCATTATTTTTGTCATCTTCTACAGAAAATCTTTCATTTTAGAAAAGCTTAAAAGCTATACGGACACCTATTTTAAGAAAAATCGTAAACAAAAACAAGGTCTCAATGAGTTTTTATGTTATAACTTACGACGACTTCGAAGAGAGTATTGATTGGATGAAGTGGTTGCGGGTGCTTGAGCTTGTTGCATAGCTGCCTGTTGTCTCAACGCTTGTAGACGTTGTTGAGCAGCCGACAGTTGTCCGGGAGCCTTTTGTTGTTGTTGCTGCTGCTGTGGTTGTTGTTGTTGTTGCTGCTGCTGTGGTTGTTGTTGTTGTTGCTGCTGCTGTGTGGTTGTTGGGCGATTATAGATATAGTGTTGGTGTTTTTTTGTGGAGGCCAAACTGAATTTGTAGTCTGAGGTACTGGTGCATTGGTAGCTGCTGTGGTTGATCCTGCAGCAAAACTCAATGTTCTAGGTTGAGATGATTGAGAAGACGCTGGTGGCACTGTAGGATTGAGTGTTGTTGATGATGATGGCTGTTGTTGTTGTTGTTGTTGTTGTGATGGTAGTTGGTTAGTTGCATGTGAAGAGAATGTATTGCTTGCTGATATCATTGGCGGCGGTATAATCTGTTTTGATGCTTGGTCATCAGCTGATTTCGCTGTATCAATCCAGCTGCCTGTCTTCTCGTCAAATTTGAGCTAATATATATAAAAATATGGATAAAATATATTTGACGCAGGGATAATTTCTCTTACTGTTTTGTTCTTATCGTCAGGTAAATGCGCTTGTACTGGTCGTTTCCAACCAAAACGGCTAATTAGACTTCCAACGATACCAGATTTTTGTCCACCTGCAGCTGTTTGATTTGCTCCTGCTGGTGAAGCTGTATTTGGTTTACCATCTGATGTTTTGTGTGAATTATTCTAAAAAGAGACAGAAATAAAGTTTAATTTCAAAGCATAGAAGATATCTTACAGGAAAAACATCATCACTATCGTCAAAAATTGAATGTTTCTTTTTAACTTGTCCATTTGTTTGTGCTTGCGATTCTTCAGATATTGATGCTCGTGTCTAAATAAATAAATAAAAAATAAATATATGTATTCAAATCAATTGATCGTAGAAGAAATAACAAGCAATATTAAAAGATGAAATAATAATCAACTCAATAATGCATTTGTACTGTTAGAATGTGACACAAATCAAGCATTAGTTAGATACATAGGAGTAGTATTCGATGCAAAGATAAATTTATACCGTTGGATAGCGTAAACGTTGTGGTGGTTGATAACAGAAATTAGCTGTATCAGAATTATTTTTCGGGCTATTATTACTAGTATTCAATTGAATCGATGCTAAAGACGCTCTTCTATCATCTGTCATTGATTGTCGATGCCAATTGGATGGCGCTAAACTATCACTTTCATTAAATGTTATAATAGATGAACGACGCGTTATCAATTCCATTTGTTGATGCTATGAGATTTATTTCGATTAGATAAGATATTTACTTTTAGTCTTTGAGTATTATATTTTTTTTTATCTATTATTCACAGTTTTATGGTATACGTACCTCATTAGATGGTAAACGTTCACGTTGTTCAGCTTGTCCTGGCGGACACCATTGATTTGGTTGTTGAGATGAATATGAATTTGGTGTACTTGTGAAACCTGGTTGAATGTATTGTGATTGATCAGTGGGAGGTTGATAATATGAATTATTTGTTGAAGGCACTTGAGACGATGAATTTAAAATATCCGATTCATTTGGTATTTCGTGTGGATGTTGTGGTTGCTGAGACCACGGTTGTACATAATTATTTCTTTCAGTTTGTTGAGTATCAGATGAATAATATTGCTGTTGTGGTACTTGTGGATAATAATTTCCTTGTGGTTGCATTTGATAATTAACAGTTGTATCAACTAGAAAATAGAACAATTTTGCTTTTAGTTTTTTTGCACTATTTATAACGTTAAATTGAATTTGCTGTATATTCATCTTAGAAAATACCTATCAAATCAGTCGACTAGTTGATATAGAATATTTGTTTTTTGTCAAATGAACATTTTATTTCGAAAATGCTTCTCGACTAAAAGGACAGCATTCTTTAATATTGAGCTGAGAATAAGACGGAGAATCGGAAAAAATTGAAAAATAAAAATACTTGCTAGTAGCATCTTTGGAGCTGAAATGTACAACTCAGGTGATTTCTTCAAGATTGTTATGTCAATAAAGAGTGCGGTACCGGAAAATCTCTAGGGTTTGAAAAAAAATTTCTCTTCTCCTCATATTGCTCTATATTATTTTTTCTTGTTTCTATTTAGTGAATTCTCTTTCATTTTGGTCTAATTTCAAATCATGATTTTTATTGTGAACATTGATTTAATTGGCAAATAGCCCTATCGTTAGAAAGCTATTTTATTGAAAACAGGTTTAACAACACTACTATATATTTTCATAATATCACAAACACTCAAATGGCTTATCAGCGAAAGTATCGATTTATTCAGTTCATTACTTATGTGAGAAGCATAAAATGCCTGATCAACTATCATTTTTGACTTTAATTTAAAAGATTTACAATCATATTTCAATTTTAAGATGTTCCATAATAGCCTGAAGCATGTGGCTAATTTAATTAAATCTTTTTTTCCCATTACTAACGAACTCTGAGCAAGCAGTGTTACAATTTCGCTTTTGGTTGCTTGGGAAACGTATAGAATGATTATTAACTATTAATCTTAACCCTTCTTACTTAATTGCTTCTGAAAATCATAAAATACCGAAAATATAGAAGATAATCTGCCTCTTAAACTGTGGCATAAATTGATTATTTACCTGTAAGAGTATTTGGATAATTCGTCGCAGTTGAATTCTGATAAGAGATTGGTTCAGTTATAACTGGATTTGATGGATCACAACCATTTATAATCTAAGGAATTTAACAATAGAAAGTGAAGTAAGAATTAAAAATGAAATTTACATTTGTATTTGTTACAGATGGATAAGCAACAGATGTTGCAGGAGTCATAGTATTTATTTGTTCGGTTTGTCTACTGTTAGTTGATGGTTTTCTGTCTGTATCTATTTGAAAGAAATCATTCGTTGCTTTTGTTCAGTTCAATTAAACTTACAAGTTGACTGAGTTGTTTGCTGTGCATTATTTTCTACTCTATGAATTTGTTGCACAGATGAATTAATTGCATCGTCACGCATTGTCTTATTTAAAAATGCATTATCCTGGAAATAATCGAAATGAATTATATTTCTTTTCTTAATGATAAAACTTACTATCAAATTTTGAATTATACGTCTTAATTCAATCAACCATGTTGGTTCTTTATATGACGTGGGATCAAGTTGAAAGTTTCGACTGAATACTCGGGTTTTTTCTGCCATCTTAAATAAACAATTAGAAATTTAAGTCTTTCTATTAAATTTGAATCATAACATACGAGTATAAATAATTGTAAATCAACCAGTTGAATATATGAAACATTTCCTTGTCGAATAAGGGTTTGCCCAATTTCTTCACAATAAGCTAGTGCTTCTCTTTTCAGTCCATGAAGAACTAATTTCGATGTATAATAGATTTTCAATGGCTAAGAAAAGAAAGATATTGAAAACATTTCAAACATTTGTTAAAACTCTTACAATAAATGTGGTCAAACATTTTCTCAATGCATACTCATAAACTTCAGTTAATTGCAAATTTGGAATTGTTGCAAATGAAAGATTAGATTGTCTAATAAAAGAAGATAAAGTATGTTTCGATTAAAACTATATTCTTTTACCCAGCATGTATACTTCCGATGACAGCCAGTTTATCGGCATTATTTCTATAGGAACCAAATGGGACATTAGCAATTAAATAACAAAAATGACCAGCATATACACGTCCAGATGTGACTTGACAAAAGAAAATGAGAGATAAAATAATACAAAGATCAATAGAAGCTTCTAAAAAATTACTAAATGTATCGCCCATAGTTTTAATACAAAGATCAACAAAATCTGCATTTGTATCGGTACGATTAGCTAATATAACAGCTAGATGACGTTTCCAATCACCGTAATGTGTTTTGGTAACATTCTATAATTGATATTTTATTGAGAAATATGATTTAAATCATCGAACTTACAGTAACAACGGATGGAATTGACCCAGCTCCTAATTCATAAAATGTTTTCAATACATCACCATTATCAAGATTAAATATGACACTACAAAAAAAGAAAAAGCTTAGATTTTGTTTTTCTCTGATATAGAGTATTTACTTCTGTATTGTTTTTTCAAATGATTGTTTATCAGTTAAATATGAAATAATAAGTGCATGTGTATATAATTGGTTTTCACAAGCAAATTTGATACTTGTATCGATTTCGCCAAGTGCAAGAAATTCTCTTAACGAATGCTCTAACGACGATGACGATGATGTATTATTACTATTTGATGGTAGATCTTCACTCGTTGTTGTATTACTTGATGACCAAAGAATCTTTGGAATGTCAACACGCACATCAATAACCTAATCGAGAAAAACAATAAACAATATTTTTCGTGTGTTTCTTAAATTTATATATTTAGTTTAATTAAATTACTCCATTATTTTTAACGAGTAATGCCATATATTGCCAAATTATTGATAGGGCATCACGATCAATGATATGAATTGATTTATTAGCTAATTGTGATTGACGTTCGCAATATCGAATAACATTAGATTTAGCTGTTGATCTAAAAAATGGAACGCATTATTAATGTCTTCTCTGATGATTTTATCGAAAAACAAATCTTACGTCGTCAAGGGACCAATAAAATCAGACATTAACTGTCGTTCTTGAACTAATGATGGTGCTATTGAATGCATGGCCTAAAGAAGTAAATGGAGTTGAATTTTCTTTTACTTTATGTGATAAGAAAATAGATTTACATTTGCGGAAATAATCTCAACAGTAGCTGGTTGATTAGTATCACTGGGTGATTGTGGTAAAACTTGAATAAGTTGATCAAACACAAATTTAGCTCGTAAATGAGGTCTAATATATAAAAGTGGGGTTCCCCGTGCTTTCGAAGATTCTTCATTAACTTGTGCTAAGTCTGATTTAATACTAAAACGATCACTACTTCCATCATCAGACCCTTCTTCTTCATCATCATCATCATCATCATCATCATCATCGTCGTCGTCGTCGTCATCACCATCTTCTTCTTCTTCTTCTTCTTCTTGTTTCCCATTTTCTTGTGCAAGAGTAGTTTTTGCTTTTAATTCAACTGATTGACTTGGAATAGTTGCAGTAGTTAATAGTGTATTTGGATCAGCATTTGGTTTTGTAGGTCGTTTAGAATGATTTGGAGCTACTTGTGTGTTACCTGCATAATATCCATTAACAATAGCATTATGATTTTGACTATAATCAAAAAGAGTAAGTATATATATGTATGCAATAATAAATTTTTCAAGAGCAATTACTAGTATGGTTCATTTAGCGAATCAATTGAGCCCCATGTTTGCATTGATGAGCTACGTTGTGAGTGTTTGGATTGTGAATAAGCAGCCGAATGATGACTATATCTATCATCTTCTTTTGGCGCCACCTGTCTCCAGTAGTTCATCATTTCATCTGTATATCCAAAACTATATGGATTTTGATAAGTGGCCATCATTGATTGCCAATATGGATCAAACCATGGATTATACATTCCAGGCGGTACAAATCCAGGATATCCTTGCATCGGTAACATTGCTTGTCCAGCTTGTGTTTGACCACCTGTTTGACCATTTACTGATGACCTTGATGATGAGACAGGCGCTGCAGCACTCTGTCGAGATGGTGGACGAGATGATGATCGATCCGAACCAGCTTGGGGTGGTATCATCATCATTGAGGGTGGATATTGCATCATAAAAGGTGCAGCATAACCACCAGCACCACCCCATGATTGTTGCATTTGCATCATCGCTGCCATCTGTTGTTGTTGTTGCTGCTGTTGAAGACTTAAGTTTGATGTTGATAGATCAGTACCCAACGTATGGGTAGCTGTTGGAGGATATTGAACGTGAGGAAGTTGTTCGGTTGTCATTAAAGGTGGCTGCTGTTGCTGTTGTTGATGATATTGTTGATTAGGTGTAGACATTGGAGAGGCTGAAGGTGGAATGTAGTTAGTCATCGGAGGAGGGCGACTTCGAAGGTGATCAGTAATAGATTGATCCATCATCTACAACGTTTGAATAAGAGAGATATAAAATACGAAATGCATAAACTTTTTCACAGCTTTGCATTAACAAGTAAGTGATGTACCGTGGTAGAATGAATTGAATTTAGCGTGGCATTTTTCTACGAATATAATTCGTTACTTGCGGCCATATGAATCACATATGTCTTTTTATTTTAAAACAATTTCGTTTCCATAATAAAAAACAGATTCCTTTTCAAAAACAAATTTCAGTTTCATTGAAAAGAAATATTAAATTTTATTATTTTTTTAAAGTATAAATTCTACGCAATATATAGTGCCATCTATCAATCGAATGTACATGAAAAAACAAAATGAGTTTCAAAAGCAAAGAAAAACAAAACTTCAGTTTTTATTTAACTTCTTGTCTCAAAAAACTTCACTTGCTTGACTAAAATTATTTGGATTTACAGAATGACTTGCTCCATCCACTTGATTTCGATGTTTTCCGAGCATTGCCTCTAATCTTCTTAATAAAATTGGAACATTTCTTGAAAATAATTCGTTTGTTGTTAAATCAATACATGAGGAACGAATATTTTTACGTAAAAAATTTAATGTTGTCATAGGTAACTTTGATGGTATGAAAGTATTAATTTGTTCATCGAGACTTACATTTGTATTTGAAATATTATTTGCATGATAATATTTCATATGTCTCAATAACACAACAAGAATTGGCTTTTGATATATTTCACATAATCGTAATTCATTTAAACAATGTTCATTGCGAAAATATTTTGGTGTTAGACAAACAATCATTACACGGCAATGACGAATATCACCTGGACCCATTATACGACGGATGTCAGCCGTTGTAGTTGTTATGGATGATGGATTAAAACCATGAATATACGAATCATTCGGATTGATAGACGAAGGTTTTGATAAGATTTTCGGTAAATGAAGACTAAAAGTACGACAAATAGACTCGGCATCAATATTGTCTTTTTTATCAATAATTCAAAAACAGCAACTTGCTTTCTAAAATTTAGTCTCTTAACAATGTTTTAATTTCAAATAGATAGATCAAATATCAGTAATGAATTATATTATTATGAAATACTAGTTCTATGATTAAATTCAAATACATTCAAAAAAAAAAGAGAAGACTGTCGAAGATTTCTAGGGCTACGTATTATTATACTGTTTAATTTACTTTAAGTGAGAAATCTTCCAATCTGTATCTTCCCCTGTATACTTCAAAGTCTTTAATCTAGTCAACAAAATAGATTATGGTCACTCGACATATCTCAAATGATCCTGAAGACAATTTTCTTACTTGAAAACACATAGTTTATTCGTCAAGCATAGGTTCTCTTGGGAATAAAAGCAATAAGAAGATGTTCCTATCTGAATCCTGTTTTCATTAATATGTGAAACATGATGGAACTATTACATTTGTTAAACAGCATCCGACACATATGAATCGTATTATTCTTGAGAATTACACTGGATAACCTACCTATTGAAATATTTGTTTAAGTCTATGGATGTTGCATGTACTTTTGCTCATCACTTCTATCCATCAAAGTTTGTAGAATACAAAGCAAGTACTTTGTTTTTCATACTACGCCCTTTCCTTTTCTTTAATTAATTAATTTTTAGTTTATTACTTTTCGGTAGTTAATGCGTAATTAAGTATATTTTAATCAAGTTCTCAATTTGTAATTTAAATAAGGAGCGCTTGATCATGGTATGTCAAGGTTTTTTAGAATATTGGAAGGATAACAACTATAAATTTTAATTCTTCTACTTCGAAATTTCTTTTAGATCACATTGTAAAAATGGATAGAAGGCGTAGTTCATGAAATTTTTTGCAGATATTTCTCATGTTAAAGAACTTTCATACTCTTGTATATTGAAAATCAAAATTTGTCTTTCAAATTTATTTGTTGGACAGTTGAAACTTAGGCATACTAAAAATAATTCCTGATAAAGTAAAGTACATGCTTTGGTTTTCAAGATTTTACGATTATTGCTGTTATATGGAATACACATAATTTCTTTTTTGCATTTAATTATCGAATAGAGAGTGTTTTTTAAATGCTTTTCATTCTGAAGAATTGTATTTTTGTTTTGATCTCAATAAAATTTTGAATTTTCAAATAGTACTATAATAGGGTTTCAAAGCAAGTATAGAAAGAAAATATTTTTAGGTATTTTTGTGAATATTACCATAGAAATCATTTTCAATTGAACTTGGAAGTGAAACGAAAATCATTCTTTATTAAAAATAAATCAAAGAAGGTGTTATATCCTTCTATATCAACAAAAGACAGAATATCCTATTTGTTGACATAAAAAAAATAGTAGACGGGTCGCTTATTTTTCATTTGAATGACTGAAATTTTTTTAACTACTTACGGGTCACTTCCTCTGTCAGTATTAGAGATAGTATTTGCTGTTGCAATTCCAGTATGAAAATGATTTGCTTCAAGTACAAAAATAAGACGTTCAACAGCATGAATAACGTTCCATTTTTCACTTGTTTTAGAATAGCTTAAATAAACAAAACGATGATTAGCCGAACCGTCTAGATAAAAATGAGAATATCACAGATTTTTTTTTTAAAAAGAAATTTCTTTTCTTCATTTACTTTCATTCGTTGAACATGATGGTTTTGGTTTTAGATTACTATTATATGTTGCTATACTTGCTAGTGGCCGAATTGTTTGTTTAAGTTTTTGAACATAGTCATCGGGTTCTTCTGATGAAAGCATCTGTGGACGAAGATAGGCATGTAAAATTGTAAGACTTTCATGCAGTGATTGATGAATAAAATCAACTGATGGATAATCAGCTAATTTTTAAATAAAATTAAAGAGAAAAAAATAAAACACCTAATTGATTTCAATAAATTAAAAAATAAAATTCTACCAAGTAAAGCTCGAATTGATGATCTCATATTTGTCCAAACATGTTCTAGATAAACTGTAACAATTGGTTTTTCAAACCATTCAGCTAATGTTAATTCATGAAATGTAAAGGTTGAACGACACGATTTTGCTGTAAGCAAAAAAATAACATCTTTTGTTCGAGCCATAACAGGTCCATTTAAAGCTACAAATTCATGTTTGTTTTTTCCATATCGTATATTGTGTGTAAATACCTTGGAACAAATTGTTTTTTTTTTAAATTGTTCTTTTCAGAGAAAAAATATTAAATTCAATCAATTTACTCGAAACTTTTTATCTTTTAAAAAATTTGAAACTTCACTTGCTATTGAATGATCCTCTGGATCATAAATTATATAGACATAATCATTTTTTCCTTTGGTTTTTTTTGCTTCATAATGCCATTGAGGTAAAGTTTGTCGTTCACGATGAATTGTTTCTAGGAGCAAAAAAAGAAACAGAGAGAGAAACAAATGAAAATAATTTTTTTTCAAACTTAAAATTGATATACATACGTATAACATTCTCAATTAACATTTGTCGAACTTTACGATTATTCATTTGAAAATAATCTTTTAATTCATTCTCAGTACATGCTAAAAGTAAATAGCCATCGATTTGTTTTTCGGCAAATATATCTCGACTTGATTGTTGAACACCAACACGAGTTATAAACGATTGAATATCTTTTGCTGTCCAAGAACATAGCTGTTTAGGTTCTTCATTTATTTTATGTTCATGCATTGTAGCATTATTTTGAATCGAACAAAATTGTTTATATGGTATTAATTTTGTTAATAATTCTTTTAAAATCATTGATACACGTTCTCCAACTTCTGACATCGAATCTGTTTTATTAAAAGCATAGAAAAAGTCTGCGCGGGAACGTAAATATTGAAAATCATGACATTCATCTAACAAAATAACAAATAAACCATATACAGCTGATGTACCCGATAAAAGTTTTCTATCAGCAATAGCTTTTGATTCAATTGTCATCAAACGTTGATGTTGACACGCATTAGATAGTATCAAAATACTGCCAATTGATAAGTCAATTGCTTCGAGACGATCAGCAAACCAAGTAGCCGACTAAATACAACAACAAAAGAAACAGAAGGCTAAATATTAAAAAAAGAAAATCAGATTCCTTTTTATTAAACCTTATCAGGATGTATTCCTTGGTGATGATCAAACCAAATCACACCTTCACCTAAACCACTTCCTACCAGTTGTTCATAGAGTTTAACAACAAAATATCGTTCTATAAAACCAGTTTGATTAGAATATGACAAGTAAATTGGTGGTATCGCCCTATGATGTATTCGTGTTGTTATTGATTCTTCACAAGCCATCAGATTTACGTCCTCTCTGTCTTTCTTCGTTGTAACGACTACAATGTCTTTTTTATTAACTTATAAAAAAAAATTGAAATTGAAACATGAAGTGTAGAAAAAGAATGCCTCCATCGTTGCTTTGCCTCAAGCTACTTTTTACTCAATTGATCGTCAATGGTGGCAATATGAACAGATGTCACAATGAAAATTGATCATTCTTTTTTAATAAAATTTTTTTTTAAATTTTTTTTAAAATTTCACTTCATCACTTTTGGACTCTTCAGCATTAGACAGAAAATATACTACTAATGAGAATTACTACCATTCGCCTGACATTCACACTTCAAATATTCACATTTGTTCTTGATTGATATGTCACAAGAATAGTCAGTAGTTGATTAGAGTGGATCTGTCATCATTACTCTCATTGCTGATGTTAGTCCACGTGTTACTATGACCATTTATTTATTATACTCATGGGAAATAGAAACAGCCATTTATAGAAGGACTATTGTTTTTGACGTTAAACGTGTGTATAGTTAAGGTCACGCAATGTCAATCATTATCAATGCTTTGTCCATCCTATGATTAGAGTGTACAGTTAAAGATGAACCCATTGAGATATTGATTGAACAGAATGAATATGATGCTAAGTTTACAGCCTAGTGATTAAGAAAGACAGAAAACTCATTTAATTTATTGTGTGACAAATTGAACTGAACTTGACGTTGACAGCAATTCGATTGCTCCTTTAGTTCCGGATACACCCTGATAGATTTTTCAAGAATGAAAAGTCAAGGTTTCTTTCCAATATAAATAATCAAGAAAAAAATTCAATCATTACAATAAATGAAGATTGGCATGTCATGATAAAGATCAATTACGATTTTTTTTGTTTCTTGTGCATTTGAATTGTATCTTATTTATACAATTGATAACATATGAAACATTTTTAAGTAAAGATGTTGATTATCATCGTACAAAAGCGATTTCCCATTAGAAATTATCAATTATGACGAGAAATCGATAAGTTGCATGTCAATATTTGATGTCACACACTCATATATGTTGTTATCACATTCTTATTACTTTATATTAAGTAGATACTTTGGTTTAGTTCGCATTCTTGGACTTCTTATTTTATGTATTTAAATATCGCCGACAAGTAGACAGACCGTAGGGCGTAATCGTATAGTCATACATCATCATTTCTTGTCTTCAAACAGGGCGTTTAATGGTTGACCCGATCGATTTAAAGTCGTTTCTTTTTTCATCCGTGTCGAACGCGTGACAGAAATATGTGTTTGTATAGGTCAAAAATGAATAACAACTATCGTTATCAATGAATGAATGAATAAAAAAAAAGAAAGAAAAAAAAGGAGTGAACAAACACAATTGAATAGCTCATAAAAATAACGAACGCCATAAAATAAGTTCAAACAACAACATGTACACACACATGCATATGTATGACTATCCATTAACTGCAGTTTCTATTCTTTACAATCAATCAAACTTTTCAAAGATGAAAGTCATTTGACTTGTTATAATAGTCAGAAACTCTACAAATGTAATTCAATTTTGAAGTAATAATTTAATTTATTTTCTTTTTCATCTGTATACAAGTTTACTTATACATAAAACAAGCACAAGACGAAATGACAATAGAAAAAAAAAGAACAAAAAGAAATCTCATATTCATATAACTACAATTCATGATTTGTTTGTGTTGGCGCGTCAAGTCCTGAGACAAGTGTTAACTGAACATTTTTATTTAGACTAACAGCAGGATAATAAACACCACCTTGTGTTAAATTTGAAAATGCTATTGGACCATGTGGTTCATCATTTATATAAAAACTCAATGTACCATTATTTAAATCCAATAAAATTCCAATTACTGAGCCAACCGTTATCCCACTATTAATACGATTTGTATGTTGTCCATTATGCATAAACCATGAACGTTGAGAATCAATATACATACACCATGACTTCGAATCTTTACCTAGAACAAAAAAATATGTAATTTTACAATAAAAATAAAGCAAAATTTTCTTTTTTTCAAATCATTATTTTTACCTAGCATATGTTCTTTTAAAACATCAAAACGAGCAATACCAAATGCTGGATCAGGTTTATCATCATAACGTTGTATAGTTATTTCCCAATAATGTTTACCCTTACGAAAACCTCTTGAACCAAGTGCAACACGTTCTTGTGAACTAAGACATGTTATAGAATCAAAACTATAATGATTATCATTTGTTAATGATGTGGAATTTGATATAAATTGAATATCCGGATGTGCTGTTCGAGGATTAAATGTAAACCAATAAACTATAGAGAATGGAAAGAAACCCCACAACAATTCAAATCTAAATATCCTGTTTGATTTATTTACATACCGGAAGATGAATGAAGCGTTATACATTCGCTATAGGCACTTTCACCTGCTTGATTATAAGCTTTCACTCGTGCTGTATAGACATTGGATAGAAGAAGTCCATCAACTGCACACATTGTTTCAGTACCGTCATATACTTCCTGTAGAAAAATCCTTATTTATTCAAAAAAAAAGTACTATTTTTTTGCTTTTCTCTTACCCGAAAGTCAGATGCAAATGTTCCATCGTCTAATTCAAGAATAAAGCCTTGTATAGCTCCAACATCACGCATAGACCATGCCAGTGTTCCAGAAATAGTTCCCGACTGTTCATCATGGCATAGACACTGCTCAGCAATAAAACGTGGAGATAAGGGTGCTAAAAAAGAAAAGAGAAATGATGAACATGCATTTACGTAATACAATGTCAATATTGGCTCATTCGATTAAGACACATTAAAAGCATTGTTCATTTATTGTTAATCGAACTCACTCTCTCTCTCTCCCTCTTATTCGCTCACTAGGGGAGAAAAAGTAGCCTTGAAAGACATAAAAGGAAATCCGTACACAGCAGTTACCATGAGAAATCTCTTTACATCATAAAAAAAAGAAGACGAAGTATTTCCGTCAAGTGATAAAATCTTTTTTGAATTTATTCAAAAAAAAGGAATCAAGGTCAATGCCGATCATTTTGATAATATAAGACATATGTAAGAGAAAACAAAGACAATCAAAAGAATATCATCCGGAAATCTCTTTTCAAGCTCAAATTAACATAAAACATGTGTCGACTGATTCATTAAACCGTAAATAATTCATTACAGTCATTAAACAATCGCAAGTATATACTTTTTTTTTCTTATTTCAATTTTAAAATAAACAATATGTGCGAATTATTTATATGATGTAACTCAAAACAAGGGCGAGAGTATTGGCAGATGTACGCGTTCTTCTTTTTTTCTTTGTTTATGCATTGTCTCGTTTATCAAGAAGCAAAAAAAAAGAGGAAAGTTTCTTTCTTGATCAAAAAACAAAATAGGTTATATGAACATTAATGTACCGCAAAGATGTCTGTTGTAACTTAATATTTCTAGTGTTTAGATGAACGCCGCGTCTGGGTAAATATAGATAGAACATGCTAATTGTTTCTTTGTATAAAACAGAAGCTCAATCGAGAAAATTCTTTTATCAAATATAAATTGATTAGACAATATTAGTTCGGATGATTTGTTTATATATAAATAAATAGATTTGTTTTACTCTTACGTTTTATTTGTTGAAATTGTAAACGATGAATCTCTCGATAAAGACATTCAGTGTTAAATGTAAAATCAAATTCGAATGATGTATGTGCTTTACATTCATATTCATCCGAAAAACTTCCATAAATTGATGAACATTTACTATTTAAACCATGACATACCTAAAAGAAATATTTATCTTTATTAGAAAAAAAACATTCAAATGACATTTAAAATAAAATCACGAACTTGAAGATAAGATAATGGATCCGATTCTTTCAATGCTTCAATCGAAAATTGTAAAAATCCCGTTGTTCTTTGTATATGTGCATTATATGTTGAATATTGTTGATGTATTAAAGAGATTTTTCTTTCAATTTCTTTGTGTACATATGTTACTAATTCTTGTTTTTTATTTTCAAGTGTTTGGATTAGATTATCAATATCTTTAATCAAATTTGTTTCAAATATTTCACCATTTTTCTGTAAGAAAAAAAAAATACTCAAATCATTCTCATGAGAATAGTTTTTTTTATTGTTTGATGGATTTGTTCATTCAATCGCCTTCGTCATTGAAATGATTTTATCAAGAGAAACATGATGATGATGATGATGTTGTTACGTTGCTTTAGCTTCTTATCCTTGCATGTATTCACATCCGACATGCACATCTCTTGAGATAGAGAGAGAGAGAGAGAGAGAGAGAGAAAGACGAAGAGATTCTTCTAACAAGGTTATTTTGTTTGAATGATGGATCTAATGAAGCATACAACTAATAGTCATTAGTCATTACCCGAACGCAGAAGGAAATAAAAGATCAGATTTATTTTTCTTGTACTATTAAACTTAGGACAATGCCAGGTGATTTGTGTATTAATATGTTTCTCAGTTGGATCAATTTATTTAATAGAATGATAAAATAAATATCTGAACGGAGAATGACCTTCACTAATAAATGACTAGACGTTTGACCATCTGCCTTGATTATCTCTATCTATGTTAACCTCCTGCTAGCTGTCTTCGACTCGTTTTTTCTTCTACTTGTTCGATCGCGTCTCAGAAGAAGAAGAAGAATGATCAGGTCTTATCACAAGTAAATTACCTTGATATAGTCTGGATATAGCTTCAATTTGGCTAAAAATTCTGCACCATATTTGGCTTTTTCCGATAAGCATTGTAGTTGTGATGACAATTGAGTCTAGATACAAGGACAGACATTAAAATTTCTTATTTTTATTTTGTTATTAGTATTAAAAATTGATAGATAATAGAAAGAATAAAAAGAAAATGAAAAGGTGTCACCGCATCACATTATATATTCGAAATAAAAAGAAAGTGATTTATGCATACACATACATTTCCGTTGATTGCATCATCATACTTTTTCCAATT